ATTCCTCCTAACGGGCTAACAAGGTAGTTGGTGAGGGCTTCCTCCAGTGGGTCCGGCGGCTGCACACTGGCACGGGTGCCGTTGCGCTTGTCAACGGTCATCGTTCTGGGCGCGTGGCCATTACCTCTGGCGTGCGGCAGGGCTGTCCCCTTGCTCCCTTGCTGTATTTGGCTGTGGGGCAGGCCCTGCTGTGCTGGCTCCAGCAGCATGGCATTGGTCTCAGTGTTGGAGGTCAGCAGCAGGGCGGCTCTGGTGGCGACCTGCTAACAGCATCCCAATATGCAGACGACTGTACACCTTTCCTCGCCAGCAAGGATGACCTCCCTCGCTTCCTGGCAGTCATGGAGACGTTCCGCCTGGCCTCGGGTCAGCGCCTCAATCTGAACAAGGTGGAACTTCTGCACTTGGGCTCCCCGGCGGGCTCTGCCGTCCCTGTCCCCGCTGCGGGAGCTGCTGGGCCAGTCTCCTCCGGTGCTGCCGGGGCTGCTCCCGTTGCTGCTGCGGCTGTGGCTGCCCCGGGCCCCCCTGCCCTTGGTCCGGCTTCGCTGGTCCTTGCGGCCCTTCTCCACCATCTCCGTGGTGCTGCTGCAGTGGGGCTAAGCGCCCTGGGCTTCGGTCCCCGCCCGCCCGCTGCTGCGCCTTCAGTCCCCCCTTCAGGCCGTGCCCTGCCGCCCTCCGGGCCAGTTGGGGGTTCGCCTCCACTTCCGTCCCCCCCGGCGCCTCTTGCAGCCGCCCCCGCCAGCAGTGCGGCTGCCCCCCCGGCTGCCGACCTCCCTGCGCAAGCAACCACCGCCCCCGCAGCTTTGCTGGGTGCCGCTGCCCCGTCGCCTGCAGGCGCGCCCAGGACAGTCTCTGAAGCCAAGACCCTTGGTGTGCGCTTCCGCATGATGCCACGGTCCCTCCTGTCGACCTTCGGGGAGTCCTGGCGTCCCTGACCAGGGTGGCACGTCTCCCGCTTTCCACCTTCGGGCTGGCCGCCGCCGCCTCTGGCTACGCTGTTAGCAAGGCCCTTTACCACATGGAGTTTCAGGGCCTGCCCAAGGGCCGAGAGCTGGAGCGCCTTCTTGGCTCCATTGCTGCTGCCGTCGACCGTCGACTGACGCCTGCCCAGCACGCTGCCCATCCTGGCGTTCACCTGGTGGGGGTGGGGGTGGGCCTCCTCGCCCTTCCCCCCCTGTCAGGAGGCTTCGGTCTGTTGCCACTGGTTCCGCATGTTCGTGCTCGCCATGCTGTGGCGGCGCTGCGCTGTGTGGCAGGTGCCTGCGGCCTCACACCCTATCGCCCGCCTTGGGGTGCTGTCGCCTGCGCCCTGCTCCGCCGCTGTCACCCGGCCGCCCACCCGCTCTGCCTGCTTGCGCCCAGCGACGGTCGGGTTCTGGGTCGACCGGCACCGACGGGGTGCCCCGCCTTTACACGGCTCTTGGGGGCGGCTGCGCACTTGGGCCAGCTTGTTCTTCCCGACCCGGAGGCGCTTGCTGGATCCTGGTGCTATGCTGCGCCTCTGTGGGGCAACCCGGCGCTTACTACTCCCGACGGCTCGTGCTTGGAAGCAGCTTTCCCAGTCCTCTTCGCCTTGCGAGGCCTCACCACCGTTGGTATGGCGCTTCGATGCTGGCAGGCCCTTGCAGAGGTCCGGGAAGTGCTTGTTCACTGCCGGTCCGGGGGCTCCTCCGTTGTCTCCACCCGGGTGGAGCGCCAATGCACTCGCCGCCTGCGGACGCACGTTCTCCGGGGTGTGCTGGCGTATGGCGAGCTCGGGTCCGCACTCACCGTTTCTGGTGTCACAGTGTCCGACCAGCTGGATGCCTTGCTTGCGCGGGTGCCGCGTAGCTGGGCTCTTGCGGCACAGGAGGTCCTTACGGGAGCTGTGGCCGTTCCTCCGGCCCAGGAAGCCTGGGCAGCCATCTTGCGCGGACTTGTGTGGCAGAGCGCCAGTGGCCTTCGCGTGCCCGCCCTCCGCCTCACAGTCCGGCTCGGCACGCAGCTCCAACTCTCCCCCGCGTTTCAAGACCTGGCCAGCAAACATACTGCGTACATCTGCGAGGCGTACGGTGTGGAGGCTGTGCCGCCTGACGCGTTGTCTTGCCTGCGGAGCACCTTCCGGCGCCTCTGGCGGCTGCGCTGGGAGAGCTGCCACAAGGAGGCTTTGTGGCGGCTCGCAGTCAACGGGATCGCGGGGTTTCCCCTGGCCGCCTCACACGTCGCACGTGCGGCCGCTGAGGGTCGCGAGTTGGCACGGTTCTGTCCATGCGGTGTTGCCATGTCGGGCGGTGGGCAGTGTTGGGTGCGCCGGCATTTGTTCTGGGACTGCTGTGTTGCTAGGACCCTCCGTGAGGCTATGGGTGCGGTTATGGGGGTTGCGGAGGGGCCTCACGGTGTTGAGTTTTCGCGGGCCCAGCTATGGCTTGTTTTGCCCCCACGTGGGATTCAGCCCGTCGTTTGGGATGTTGTGGCTTTGGCTGCCCTGGCGTCACTGGAGAGAGGCCGCCAGTACTTGTATCGTGATTGGGATTCACGTACACCTGTTTCCCCTGGTCGTCTGCGACACATCGGCGTCGAGGTGGTTGTTGATTTCTGGGCTAGGTTATCCTCGTTCGCCAGTTTAGGTATCATCCCCCGGGGCTGGGCCTCGGTCCCGTCGGACCACCCGTTCCTTGCCCGTCAGGGTGGCCGTGTTGTGTTTTGTGGGCCGCCTGATTCCGGTTCTCCCCCTAGTTCACCATGATTGTGACTCTGGTTGGACTACTTCTGGCCTCGGGGCCTAGTTTGGCTTAGCCTCAGTCTGCGGCCATGTGTGTTTGGTGTTGGTGACACTTGGTCTGACACTTAGTCGTCGGCTCCCTCCTCTGTGAGGGATGTCCCCCTTCGGACATGTTTCCTTCAGTCCGTTCGTGGGCTCTGTGGCTCTCTGTCCTAGGTACTTCGGCTGTCCGTGCTTGGTGTCGGTGGTTTGCGGCCTTTCTGTCGGGCCTGGTGTGCCCCCTGGGGTAGGGCGGTCAACGCTCTGTTGGAATGTACGTCTAACGATTGGCCAGTACGGACTCCTTACTGGTTGGTCCTCCAGTGTAATCCTCGCTTCCTAACAAGGTATCAAGACGGTTTTGAGCTGTGGCACGGGCGCTAAGTTGTGGAGATGCTCCCCCAGGGCGGCCAGCCATCCCTCAGGGGACAACTGTCGGCGACACGTTGTTGCAGCTAGGGCTGAACTGCTGTTAACCAACAGCGCATACCGTGCGATCGCCACCATTAGGGAAAGAGCTCTTGCAAATTAAGCGTTTCGTTAAGTTTGGTACCACCATCGATGTTGAGGGCAGCTTGACCTTAGCATCTTGTAGTAACCATCATCAGAGTCATCTTATACTGAGGTTGCTACAAGGCTATGTATGTCAAGCCATAACACGAGAACGTCGTGCAAGTCAGACCGCCAGGTATCTTGTATCCCCAAGCGCTGACGGCAAGAGGAAGACAGTAAGGCCTATTTAACGATGAATTATCAACGCCACACGGTTGTTCTTGGTCCCGGTGTTGCTCTTCGTCTACGGCCTTCCCTACTGCGCGCCCGACCTCAGAAGCTCGTCCAAATCACGTGCTGCCGAACACCGGCAATTTTCTTGAAACATACTCCTTTAAGCTATGTTTTCTCTTAATGCGTTATTATCCTGATCATTAATAGGCTAAGCGGTTTACCGGTGTCACCTGCATTTGTTCAGGGCTCCAACCGAAAAAGCTTCTTAATACCTTTTGCAGGAGAGCGGAACTATAGTTCTGTACCTCATGCCCTCCCTTGCCCGAGATACCCGGGGGGTAATAAAATTCATCAAATTGTGCCCCTTGAACGATTTTTGGGCCCGGTCCCTGCAACCAATTTGCCTAAAAGCCGAAGTGAGAATAGAAGGTACCAATAGTATACGCGAAGATGTAATCCTTACAACACTTACGTCAAGGAAAGAAGAAGGTAAGAAGAAGATTGCCGGTGTTTGGTAGCACGTGATTTGGACGAGCTTCTGAGGTCGGGCGCGCAGTACGGAAGGCCGTCGTCTACCGGTATTACGGGTACGGTGGATCCACAGTACCTGTACGCGAAATAGAAAAGCCAGTGGCCATTCTTGGGATTGTCGGCCCCTGAAGCCGGAGTCTGTGTAACCACACGACAAAACACACAACTGTTGGTGCTCCTGCAACGGTACTCAGAGTCTGGTCTGTACATAGAACCAGCCTGCACACGAACTTTTTAGCAGTAGAAAACAACCTCCTTTTTATAGCAAAGCCTGCTCAAACTGCCGTGTAACCCTGTCGTCATGCTGTTGATGACGACACCTATTCCATCACCTTCGGAGGTGATTCAGCAGCACACGCCAGGCACACGCCATAACAGCGCCCGCCCTGGCCTATATATTACTCTTCGCGCCGCACCTCTACGGAGGCGACCCGTGATCCGTCCGAATCAAATCCGCCTGCAAAGTAGATGTAGTTATCCACCACAGCACAACCTGCACCAGACCTGCAGGCATGCAGAAGCAGTAGCAGTGTTGGGGACTGGATTGAAAGACAGCAAGCGACTGTCCGGGCAGCGGCAGGAACATGCGGATGAGTCGGGGGGTTGAGCTGCCCAAAGTATCCTGGAAACCCGTGTAATATTTTTTACCCTCACAGGTTAACTGCGTGTGCCCCTCCCTGCATACCGCGCACTGGCCATGTTGCTGCTGTCCGGCAGCAGCCTCCACACCCCGGTGGCGGGATCCAGCTGCTCCACGCTGGAGAGGAAGTTGTCAGCATCGTCAGTACCGCCCACCAGGTATGCCTATGATGGTGACCAGGGGCTGCAACAAGCTGGGTAACTGACTAGGACTCGTACAGCCGTAGGTTGTGCGTCAAAGCACCGAGCTCCTTGTGGTATGCATGGTTGGGACCGTGTGTGTATGCATGGCTTCACGACGGTCATTCAACCGGGCGGGCCTACTATACAGACCTTGTATACAAAGCTCTGCCAACGGCCTGGACCCTGTCGCGTTTTAAAGTTTTAGTAGGCAGTGTGACACGGACCTTCCCGGGCGTGGCGACTTGCCTACAAGGCCACGTTGGCATCAAGTACGACGTCAACTCCGGCCACTGCTGCAATCGGGGCACTGCCCCTTCCCTTGCAGGGTAGGGCTGGGTGTCATCTGCCCTTACCTTTCGGTTGGGATCGTCACTGTAACGGTCATTCATTCGCGGTGATACCCAGAACGTTCGAGTTGAGTTTCATATAACTTGCGACCGTAGTTCTTGAATAATCGCATAGTTTCACCGGTCAAGGATAAGAACCAAAGGAGGGGCCGCCGACTGCTCCAGCATCACTAAACCTACGTTCAACCTGCAGCAGGTATTACTCCCATCAATCGTGCTTCGCAGCCTCCTTCAACTTCACCTCAGCACACACCGCCCATGCGTGCTTGCGCCAAACGCCTAGGTTGTGCCACGCGCGCTACCAAACCCGGGCAGCGGCAGCCTGCTGGCGGGTCCTCATGCACAGCTTACACCCCTAGCACGGTCTGCATGCTTACACCCAGCCCAGCTGCACAGCGGCCGGGTCAGCACTAGCGCGCGTCAGGAGCTGCAGCGGTTGCTGGCGGCTGCCCATCTCTGCCGTACTGGGTATTGCTGTACACGTACACCCTCTTGGAGGCGGTGTACTCCCCGAGCGCATTGGCGGGATTGTAGCCACCAAAGGCATACACGCCTCCCGCCACCCAGGCCATGCCAAATCTGCAGCATGCGCGCCGCCGCAAGGAGCAGACGATCAGAAGGACTTGTGTAAGTAGGGTGCAGAGTGATTCATTGAGCAGGCGTGCAGAAGGCGGGAGAGCCAAGAGCGGGCATCAAGAGGAAGACGGGCAGGGGCATTGCATCGGGTGAAGTTCAATATCCAAACGACAAGCTTTGGCTGCGGGCCCGCAACCGTCTACCTCTCGGTGCACGTGTGAGCGCCACCGCACCGCAACTGGCAAACCCCTGCACCGCCCATATGCCTGTCCCGCACCCACCTGTAGAGCGGCTGCGGCAGCGGCGCCCTCCGCACCCAAGTGTTGCCTACCACGCTGTACTCCTCCACCTCGCTCCAAGTGCTGAACCGTCCGTCGACGATGCACTCAGCGTTCGCGCAGGCGCCTCCAGCCGCTAGGATGCGTCCGCCCGGCACCGTTGCAATGCCAAAGTCGCTGCGCGCCGTGGTCATGGGGGCCATGGTGGACCAGGTTCCGGAGGAGGGGTCGAACCGCTGCATGGGGCAGAGGGGGCGGCAGCCACGTTCGTTCACTAGCCGGAGGAAATTGCGCGATATATGGGGGTAGCTGCATGCTTGTAGGGGTAGCTGTATGCTGGAGGCGAAAGAGTAGGCGCAGAGGGTCTGCGGCTGCCACTGTAACCCCATGTATCGCCATGGCGGGAATAGCGTGTGGGGCTCTGCAGGAATGCCGTACACCTCCAGTACCGCTCCTCCTGCCCCAGTGCTGTCAACTCCCTGTATCCTCAACCGTACCTCCACAATGTCAAGGGTGACTGGGTAATCTTCCCCATGTCCCCCCGCCACGTATATGTAGCTGCCCACCGCCACGGCCCGCGCATGTTCCCTAAAGGGGCGGAGAGGGAGGGGAGGGAGAGAGAGGCATCTGCAAGCATGGCTGCAGCCACAAGCTTCAACCGGGGTGAAGATCTGGCATGCAGCCAGCTAGCCACCTACTGTGGGCAGGGGAGGATGACGAAGAAACTTCCGAGAAGGTATACGTTAGGCGAGGCATTCGAATCCAGGAATCACCTGCTGCGTTCCACCTTGCATCATTGCTCTTGCCTGTGCGGACATGGCAGGCTTCCCCGCCTGCCTTCTGAGCATGCCATGGAACACCAGTCCCGCCTAAGTTGCCCGATCCCGCTCTCCCTACCGCGCACTGGCCATGTTGCTGCTGTCCGGCAGCAGCCTCCACACCCCGGTGGCGGGGTCCAGCTGCTCCACGCTGGAGAGGAAGTTGTCAGCATCGTCATAGCCGCCGATGATGTAGACCTGGTGTGAAGTACGGCAAGCAGACATGACAGGTATTGTATCCTCCTCTTTAGCACCGGTCCAGACGGGACGTCCGGCATCATGACTAGCTGCGGCTCTGTTGACCCACCCATATGGCATATTATGAGCTGCCGTACATGTCTTGTGACCCGTGGGTCAGCCCAGCCGCGGGATCTCACCTTGCCGTCCAAGACAGCACTGCAGGAACCTGTGCGCTTGATGTTAAGGCTGCTAGTCCAGCTCCAAACATTGCTGCTGATGTCGTACACCATTACGCTGTTTACCGCGCGCCAGAACAGCGGTTGACCGAAGTAGTCCGAGCCGCCAGTGACGTAGATACTGGCGTTCACCAGTGCCACTGCAAAATGGGACCTGCAAGCAAGACCGCGGTTTGGCAACTGCGCTTGAGCTCATCATAAGGAAGGCGCTCTTGGCGGGAAGGTGCGGTGGCGAGTTGGGGCAGGGGAGGGACGTCTACACCAACACGTGGCAAGGGGCAGAACCAGTAACACACCGCACCTGTAGGCCAGCAAGGGTGCCAGTTCTTGCATCTCCCCAGTCTCCGTGTCGTACCGGAACAGTTGGGAGATCCCAATGGTACCAGCCACCAAGTACACGAATTTGCCATACGCAACGACCTGTCGTGCAGGCGGCAAGTGTCAAGGGGTAGTTGCATTTCCGAAGTTTTGGTTCAGTGCACCAGGACCGATGGTCGTGGCTTTGTCCATGACTCGTCCCCTTGAGAATGCGAGTATCCCATGAGGACGTTCGCCGACGCGCGTGGGCCTATTACACAATTAAGGCACGCAGGGGTCAGCCTACCAACTAGGGTTGCGGGGGCCTTAGGATCTCAAACAAAATACCCCCCTATCTAGTATGGTAGACCTTTCTGCTGTTGGGTTGTAAATGTGGATATCAAATGCCGGAAGCCTGTGAGAAACATCAATATTATAGGGATAAGAAGTTTAGAGGTCCTTGTTACGTATCGTGCCGGCGGCAGGGATGGTCGATGGTCAACCAATGACATCCCCTCTCCATTGACCGTCACCCGGCCCTACAAAAGCACCGCCTACAGCGAGGAAACAGTCATGTAGCTGCCCAAGTCGAGCCTTGCATGGTTTGGCGCGTCGTTGGCTGGCCGTGCGAGCTGTCGGTGCCTGGGTTTGGCTATTGGCTCAAGTGCTCATCCAACCACCACAACGTTTGTTGGAAACGCCTGGATTAGTGTGAGCGGTTCCATAGGAAAATGTTCTGAGTCGAAAACCCCCTCTTAAGTAGAGTTAGGGACCTTGTTCTAATCCTAATCCTAATCCTAACTGGATTCTTCTGCGGTTTGCAGCCCTACTAGCAACTGTAGCAACCAGCCATTCATAGTACAATCAAGCCATTGCCATTCCCTGTAATAGTTTGCAACATAGGGTACTCCTGGGGCCACCAAAGCGTGCCTCCCGTGCGGCCTGGCACCCTACCCTAGTTTTGCCCTGTGCACCTGTACCCCGTCATGTTCCTTACCCCATGCCCATCTAGAGCTGAAGTGATGTTGTTGGTGGTGCTCCAGCGGCCGGGGTCAGGAGGAGGTGGTAGTGGCGAGGAAGATGGAGGCTTGGGCGGTGCTTTCCGGAGGACGGGAGGCACTGGTCGCGGTGGCGGTTGTGGTGTGGGAGGTGGTGGTGGCGAGGGGTACATGGAGGCCGGTGGGGGGTCAGGCGGGAAGGCCGAGATGGTGGGGAAGTGCGACAGACGAGACTGCGCCAGGGTGTGGATTACGTCGGCTCCTCTATGGTATGCGCGATCCTCTGCGAACTGGTAGGCGCGGAGTGTTGAAGCGCTGTATGCGCACAGGAAGATGGCAACTATGGCCATGGAGCTTAGCAACGCCATGTAAACGGGGCCATAGGCGCAGGACGCGTACTCGAAGCTCCATTTGCGGGGAAACAAGGGATCAAGACGGTTTTGAGCTGTGGCACGGGCGCTAAGTTGTGGAGATGCTCCCCCAGGGCGTCCAGCCATCCCTCAGGGGACAACTGTCGGCGACACTTTGTTGCAGCTAGGGCTGAACTGCTGTTAACCAACAGCGCACATCGTACGATCGTCACCATTAGGTGAAGCGCTCTTGCGAATTAAGAATAAGTTTCGTCAAGCTTGGTACCACCATTGACGTTGAGGGCAGCTTGATCTTTTATGTTGTAGCTCCCTCATCCAGCGTCCATCTTATACTGCGGGTACTATAAGATTATGTATGCCAACCCGTAACACGAAAACGTCGTGCATGTCAGACATTCAGGTATCATGTAACCTCAACCGCTGACGGTAAAAGAGGGCAGCAAGGCTCAGGAAAGAGTGGAATATCAACGCCATAGGGCTGTACCAAGTCCGGGTGTTGCGGGTTGCCCTTAGAGGCTCTTCGTCTACCGAAACTACTGGTTTACGGTGGATCCGCAGTACAAGAAATGTCAGCAGCCGGTCTTAACTCTAAAGTCTTATGGCTATGGTACTAGCAGCTGGCATGCGACAACCATTAAGCTAGCTAGGCATCGTCGACAACGGCGTCCGCCTGCATCGACCGCAAAAGTTGAAGCTTGATGAGAAAAAATGACAGCAATAGAAACGTATCGTTTATTCCTGCCCTGCGGACCTTGTAAGCAAAATTGTAAACGAGCAATTGTAAGCCCAAGACGCGAGATTCCAACCATTAGCCGGATGAATCGAAACCCTGTGAGTGGCCGTTTACGGAGTACGGACATACAGCCCCAATGGTGCTCCAAAGAAGGAGCCTCGAGCCGTCTCAACTTTAACCAAGCAACCACCGCAAGGGCAAAGCACTAGAACAGGCAGCCTAACCAAGGCTCGAGGGAGTTCCCACATATGGGAGCCACGACAGCAGTACAGACGACAATACAGGTCAACGCAGACAACGCCAGGGGTGTCGATTGCCCAATCTTGCCACCCTCCCCCTCCCCTCCCCTCCGGCCCTCTCCCATAACTAACAGGAATACACTGGGCAAGGATCCCCCGAACGCAGTGCCGTACATCCATTCAAGGCGTGGCCCACAGCAAATCTGCCAGTGCGACCAGAGGACCTGGTTCAATCCCCAAACTGACCAATCTACAGTAAGCACCACAGGAGAAGAAGTCTAGAACCATGCGAGCTCGGGGACAATGATGCCGAGAGGTGCTCGATCCGCTAGCAAAACAGCCACTCTGTCCTGTAACAAATGCACAACGTCTCAAATGAACATTGGCGAACAGTTTCCCCCCAAAGGCTGCATCCATTCAATGCACGGCCCCCTGCCTGCTGTCGACCCTACCGCTTCATAGCAACAGGAAGCAAGTTACTTTCAACCGGCTATGTACCGGTACACGTTTTCCAGCCTAGCATCACACTTAGACATAAACCACGTTATTCATTCCTTGCAAGCATACACACATAGCTGCCGCAGCATGCTGACGCGTGGAGAAAGGACACAATCATTGTCCAAAATTGACAGCTCTACTTGTTTGCATTTTAACGTTGCCATGCCAAAAGGCTACTTGCATCAACACTTCTGATCTTGCGTGTCGTGCCAGCAAAGTAAGCAAGCAAGCCAAGACACAGTCTCCTATCTTCCGAAACCTGTTTACCTGCTACATGTCATACTGACAAACCCAAACATCCCCTCTCTGCCCTTAATCGCACCACATACATGAGGATACGCAAACGTTGGCCACTCGATCCTAATGCTAAGTATACCATTTCTAAGAAGAGAAAAGCAGCCTCAGAAACCCGACACGGTACTGCTGCTTTGCTACTACATCAACAGTAAGCCATGATGTTAAGGATTAACCCAGCCGCAGGTGTCTCCTGCTCGCCCGTTCAAGTCGTTTAGCCCGAACATAGCTGAAAGGGCACGGCCGCAATTCCTTGAGGAATGGGTAAACCCCCAACCACCCTGCGCGGCCCAGCCATCAAGAGCCCCTCCATGCACGCATGCATGGCTGATTCATGACCCGACCCTCCAGCTGACGCCATCAGCTCCCTGACCCTCCGGCCAGCGAGCACGCATCTGGCTGGGGGTGCTGATCAGTGCGATCCCGGGCTTGCACTCCGCCAAGCGCTGCTGCCGAGCCTGCAGTGGGGAAGATCACAAAGAGGGGACCCGTACAACCGCGCATGCAACGCACACCGTAAGCATGTCGACAGGTAGCGATGCTGTGTGGTGGCATGCCTAAAAGGATAAAGAGCAGCAGCCAATGTCGGCGAACGCTTATAATAGAGTTTCATCAGTTTGCTGTTTGCTGCACATGCACAAGCCGGTCATCAGGTCTACACGTCACGCCCCGCCTCCGCTCCCCACGACCAACGACAACATGCATCAGACACCACAGCATGTGCAGCCCCTTGCTTGCCCGTTCTTCTCACCCTGGCACCGCCTCCGTTAGTTTCCAGCCCATCCAGATCCCATGCCATGTGCGGCGGGCTAGCTATGCGGGGGCTCAGGCGAAGGTGTTGGAGGTGGCCGCTGTAGAGGAGGGGACGACGGAGAAGACGGGGTTGGGGATGGTGGCGGGTTCTCCATGGGATGGAAGGTGTATGCCGCGAGAACTGGGGTGACAGAGGTGCGACTGGGGGTGTCCCCGTCGGCTGGCACGAAAGAAGTGGTGAGCCCGCCGAACGTGTAAGCCATGCCTGACACAGTTACCATTTTAAAGCTGTGGGCGTAGCAAGGGGCGGGGAAGCCATGTAAGTGGAGCGAGGAAGGGCATTGGGGTAATGGATGGAGCAGAACGTAACGGTTGGGACGCAGAACACTGATATGCGGCGCAAACTAAACATTGCATTTCTACACTACGGTAGCTAAGATACCGCATAGCATGTGGACACGTCCTATGCAATCCCTGAATCATCAAACGCTTTCTAGCAGGTACTCGGAAAGCGCACGCATGCGGGTGGCTAGCTGCGAAGAGGCCCACTCGCGGCACCCATCACCTGTAGAGCGGCTGCGGCAGAGGCGCCCTCCGCACCCACGTGTTGTCTGCCACGCTGTACTCCTCCACCTCGGCAATGGCAGCAGAAGGGGCTGTTGGCGTCCAGTCGGGGTTGACGATGTCGCCTCCCGCCACCAAGATGCGGCCGCCGCGCAGCGCTGTCATGCCGAATAACCTCCGCGGGGTGGCCATGGGGGCCAGGGGGGTCCAGATTCCGGAGGAGGGATCGAACCGCTGCATGGCGACATGGGATAAGGGATGGACGAGGTGTGGAAAGCAATGCGGGCCTGGGCGTTTGGTGCAACGACCAGAGGTCAGCGGGTAAGCACGTGTCTCGGAGGCAAATGAAGAGGAAGGCCAACCGTACACAGGCAGAGGCCCAAGCAGAGCCTTGTTGGGCCCCGGCCGCGGGTAGAAGGGTGGAGCCCGGCAACTAAATCCGAACGACCTATCCAAATCCCGACCTGCAAGGCGAGTGCACATAACCAAGAACCCTATCCAATTTATTGTATCCTGTACATTCCGTCGTTACTCTTCGCGCCGCACCTCTACGGTAGCGACCCGTGATCCGTTCAAATCAAATCCCCCTGCAACGTAGATGTAGTTATCCACCACAGCACAACCTGCACCAGACCTGCAGGCATGCAGAAGCAGTAGCAGCAGCATTGGGGACTGGAATGAAAGACAGCAAGCAACTGTCCGGGCAGCGGCAGGAACATGCGGATGAGTCGGGGGGTTGAGCTGCCCAAAGTACCCTGGAACCCCGCGCAATATATTTTACCCTCACAGGTTACCGGTATACAAACCAAGCCGCACCAATGCGTGTGCCCCTCCCTGCATACCGCGCACTGGCCATGTTGCTGCTGTCCGGCAGCAGCCTCCACACCCCGGTGGCGGGATCCAGCTGCTCCACGCTGGAGAGGACGGTATTATTCCGGTCGGCCCCGCCCATCACGTAAACCTAAGCATAGGGGCAACATGGCAAGACGCGGCGAGGGTGCATGCCTATCCACGCCAGTGATACGCAGGGCGCCTTAACACGTGCCCGGGATACCCATTACCCCCGCTGCTAGTATTTAACGCACACCGGCAGGAGGGCCACCAATCCCGTGCTCACCTTGCCGCTCACGACAGCGGCGCATGCATAAGCGCGGTACTTGTTGAGACTGCCAGTCCAGTTCCAATCGCGGGTAGCTATGTCGTACACCATGGTGGTGTTCCCCGCGACGGCCCCGCCTATCACATAGATCTTGGCATCTAACAGCACGTGAGCAAAATGCGCCCTGCGAGTGGGGGGCCAAATTAGACCAAACATAAGAAACCGTGAAGGGCAAAACTGGGAAATGAGGCGGCAGGGATCGACAAGACAGACGCGGGGAAAACATGCAGCGCACGGTGCTGGTATGGGACGCAAGAGGGATGCGAGAAGGGTGTGATTGGGACTCGTGGTGCGCATGGGATGGGGCTAGCGGCGGGTGCAGCACCCGAGAAGACACGGACCCTGCCCATGTAAGCCTAGGGAATCCCGGGAAAGAGGACGCTTATGTGTATCCGCATTGCAGCAGAGGCACCAGAAAAGCGTTACTCCTTCAATTCATTTCAAGGGGCATGCGCCCAAACCGCCTCTCTGGCGGGTCATCCAACCACGCACCTGCGGTCAAGGAGCGTCTTAAGGTCCTGCGAAAGCCCCGTCTCCGTGTCGTACTGCCAAAAGTAGTTGACCGTGATTGCGCGGGAATTTGTACCTCCCATCACGTACACATACTTGCCGTACGCGATGACCTGTTTTTGTACGACAGCATGGAAAGGTACGGCAGAGTGGAGGACACGGGGATCCGCTATGGGTGGAGGAGCGCGTGCGTTGTGTCCAAGAGCGTATCTGGCATGTATGGTGGCAGGGACTGAGGTGTGAGTGTATAAGGGCAGGATGAGGATGCACGGGTGCAGAATATGACTTAAGATGCGGTCCTCCAGTGGCGCAAAGAGCTTTTCCCTTCTGCTGACATCGACACTGACACGGGCAGGATGGAAGTCAGCAATGTCATCAACGGGATCACACGGAGCTGTGTCCTCACCCCATGTCCCGACCGGCCATCGGGTATGCTGGCGCCGCGGCTCCAATAGCTGACGTCAGCACCGGGAGGAAAGGGTGATGGTGACGGCGGAGGTGGAGGGGATGGGGGATCCGGAGACGGAGGATCCGGAGACGGAGGATCTGGAGACGGAGGATCCGGAGGTGTTAGAGGCGGTTCTGGAGGAGCTGGTGGCAATGGGGAATATGGATGTGTAGGATATGATAGAAGCGATAGCGGCGTCGGAGGTGGTGGTGGGAGACTTGGAGGCGAAGGAGGCACGATGGCTGGCGGATAGTAGCCAGGTAGGGAGCCCGACATGGCCGCGGACAGTGACAAGCGCGTCTGCACTAGGGAAATGAACCGAGCCACGCCGTCTGCTGCCGACTGTTCTGATTTATTGTAGACGCGAACTTTTGCAATGCTGAAACAGCTTAAGAATAAGGCGGCCAGCGTAATTGAGGTGACGAAAATCGGATAGATGGGAACGTCAACACAAGACCGTCTCACAGCAAGGCCCAATTTACTCCGATTAACTGAGGCAGTCCCCGTCTGTGCAGCCAATTGGGGGCCGCTCGACGGGACAGTTCCATCAATGCCGAAATCTTTTGCCATACAGTACATGTACCGGTAGTCGATTTAATCAAGCTCCATGGACGCTGCAATTTGTAGCTAGTTGAAATTTCAATGACTGCATGCGGGGTATAATCCGGGTCTGGTGTTCAGCCAGTACAGTAAGTTTAAGAGTCCGGTACGTTCACTGCTGGTGTCAATCCTACGAGCATGTATTACTTTTCTGGGCATTTGGTAACAACGATAGACATGTTATAGCCACTGTTGTGACCACTGTGTAGCCCTGGGCCCAGATGGGCACGAAGTAAGTACGGTAGGCTCAATATGCCACAAACACTATGTACGCCCAATGGCCTGGCTTCGTCAGCCTTGGGCCCAAAACTGTTCATGGCCTCATCTCCTTCGTACTTCGAAGCACACCTGTGCCAACACTAGTGCTTCACTTCTTCATCTTTACCCCTCCTTCCCTCCCGCCCCCACCTACCCAATTGGGATTGGGACTCGTTGTTTCACTTATTTTATTTTTTCCCCCACCTACCCATCCCTCCCTCCCGCCCCACCCAACCCTCCTTCCCTCCCGGCCCCACCTACCCCTCCTTCCCTCCCGCCCCCACCTGCCTGGTCCTCCCTTACCCTACCGCTACTTTTGCTCGCATGTACTCCTTCGTGGCTGGTCTCCTTCCATCACGCCGGCCTGCTCTACGTTCTTCCGGTCGGCGGCTCAATCTTTTGCGTTTCCAGGTAAGTCCACCAGTGCTGCGTTTTTAGTGCGTCTTTAGTTATTTCGGGTCTGTTCTTTGTGTGTGGGGTTGTGTCCTAGTTGGCTCCCTACGGACCGTCGGCGCGGCTGCTGGCTACCTCGATGTACTGGCGACGCTACTCTTTCCCTCCCTATCCCTGTTCGCTCTGGCTTCGGTAAGTCTTCATTTTTTGGTAAGTGCATTATACGTACTGGCTTCGCTAATTCGGGCTGGGCGGGTCGGGCTGGCTCACATGTTGCAACCCATGTTGACGCCTTATCCCTCAGTCAGGTAGTTGTTTCCTCTTTACCCCTCCTTCCCTCCCTCCCGGCCCCACTTACCCCTCTGCCCCTCCCGTCCCTTCCGGCCCCTCCTTCCCCTCCCTCCCAACCCCACATACCTTACCCACCATCCCTGTCCACTTACCTCTACATTAATGGCTCCTCCTGCCTTCCTCCTTGTTACAACCTACCTGCTCCTAGCGTCCAGGCTCCCTTCCACCGCATTGGAAACAGCCAAGAAGGATACGGCAGGAGTGTATGATACATGTGTCTGGGGTACTATGCACCTGCGTTTAATGGTCCTTGTTGTCCAAGCTATCTGAGGCCATCCGCTGACAATGTAGGCTGCTGTTATGGACGCCGTTGGGAAGATTGTCATATATCCACTAGCATATAAACGCCCTGCGGAAATGTTGTAGCCTAAGCACGTTCGCACGTCGGCACGTAACATGATACCTCGATCACCATCTGTCGCCTGAGAGGGGGCACGTGGTCCTGTCCTAAGCAGGGGGCTACGCCGAAGGAAGGAAGGTGACACCGTGACGCTATTTAAACCCCAGCTGAAGGCCGTGGGCCATGCAGTCTTGAGATTGCAACACGATAAAGGTCGTAACTGGCACGCCGCATGGCTTGTTTCCACTTACTGGGTTGCATGCGGTACGCTGGCCATGCGCGACCCGCAGGGACAGGCGCGCGTGTCACACCAATACACACCAATAAACCAACTTCATAGGATGCACAAGAAAGGTTATTAGCGGAGAGAACCCACCATCCCACGCACTGACGCTGCCAGTGTGGTTTTCCTAACCCTGCCAGTCAGTGGAACGTACAGCCTGCAGGGTGTCGCACAGGTGGAACCGCCAGAACGCATGTGGCATACGACGGAGGTTGTGCTTGGGTACTACCATACCGGTACTAGGCCACCTAAGCAACTTATACACAATAAGGCTAGTGCATACCGTCCAAAGCAAGGGTCTCGCTAGCTCAGCACATGACGTCTTTCCTCCCAAACAAGGAAGGAGGTCCCACAAAACCCCAATGCACATATGACACGTCACAGCAGCAAAGCTTCAGTGCGCAAAGGCTATCCTCAACATCATTCATTCTTGTCTCTTGCTATTGTTCAAGTAACAATTTGCATAGCAACGCGTTTGCTTGACACCACAACCCAACCACACTATCTAACAGCAATGCCCTACACAAGCAACTCGCACACTCGTCACGAGGCAACCGTGCGCACGACAACCACCAACAGCAATGGCCTGCGTTGCAGTACCGGGCCCATCCCGCACGATCAGTTCCTTTAACTGAAGTATCATGTCATTATCATACATGTTAGGCAGGATAGCGCCTTACGCTTCCTATGCATGTTGCGGCATGTAAGCACATGTCCACAGCTCCAAGGGAGCATACGAAGCGCCGATTGAAGTCACATGTGAGGTGGTGGGACAGCAAGCGATAAGTGTTTCCTGCACAACACCTTGCCTTCACACGCGGTCCCAACAGTTAGACGACTGCAATTTAAACCCCTGTCGAGCCCATCGCCTACAACTCATCCCATGTATGTAGATCCCCCTTCGGCATCTACAAGGGATAGCTCGACATACAACTGGAATACCTGCTATACACCAAACAACAACCGGTCTTCAGGTCCCGTGCACAAATAACATCCCCACGCTGGCCCCCTTCCCTACAGAAAAATCACGGCAACCACGATCACGCTTGCCACCAGCAGCACCGCGAAGAAGACAGCAAACACCCACGACAGCCCCAGCCGCTGCTGAAACACCTGCAGCCCGCCGCAGCAGGGCCCGCACTGCTCGTCCAGCAACCCAGCAACCCAGCCGCCGCTCCCGCCGCCACCACCGCCACCGGCAGGCCCCCCAAACGCGCCCTTCATCAGGACCATAGTGGAGCCTTGCGTGGGGCCCTGCAGGGCAACCAACGGCAGCTCTGACCAGCCGGACAGGGTTGCACGGATCTGCGAGAAGGTGGGCCGCTCCGCCGGCTCGTGCCAGCAGCTCTCTATGAAGGAGCGCACCTCAGGGCTGAGGCCCCCGGGCAGCTGCAGGCGGCGGTGATGGAAGGCCACGGCGGCCACCACCTGGCATGTGGGGAGGAGGAGCGGGGATGGGGGGGAAAGAGCGAGCAAACCGTAGGCATCCACAAGTTCGTGCAAAGCAAATAAGCAATAGGGGTAGCAGGCGACAGGGTGCCACAAAGTGAGGGATAGCGGGAAAGGAGGGCGCATAGGTAGAGAGGGAAGCTAGGCGGCAGGGGCAGCGGGGGAAGGGTGGCTTGGAAGGGGCATTGATACCGACGGCTAGTAGAAGGGAGTCAGTCATTCGCTTGCAGTCCTAAAGCAGGTCACGGTGATTACGGTGCGGGGGCAAACAAAGAGGCACCAGCGTGTTGGCAAACAGGGTCACTTCTGCGACCCGGCTGATGGTCCGCCGCATACACGCACCTGCACGTAATCCAGCCCCTCCCAGGGCCTCCTCCCCGTCACCAGCTCATACATAATGACCCCGAAGCTAAACACCTGCGGAGGAGGTCACCAGCATGCAGCCATGTGATACCGGGTTTAGTATCAAGCCATGCGCTTGGTTGTAACCCAGGTGCGTAACAGCTGAAGCCAAGGTTAGCCAGGTTATCCAAGATCACGCTGAGAGGGGCTCTTGCGGCTGTCAAGTCAAGTTCAAGTCATTTTCCGGCCCCACTCACGTCGCCTTTTTCATCACAGCTTGACCCCAGCAACACCTCTGGGGCCATGTACGGCGCCGTCCTGCGGGAATGGGGCAACCAACCATGACGACACGGCTTGTAAAGGTAAGGGCACAACAAAGAGGAACATTGCACCTACCACCACAGCCCAACAGAGCAGACACGTATGAAGTCAAGAGTACATCTTCATGATTGCAGGCCATCACCCAAAGCTTACCCCTGTCCCTTCGCCGCGGTCCGGGTAGCGGTGTTGCCCATGGTCCTCGACAGCCCAAAGTCGCAGAGCTTCACCGTCCAATCGTTGTCCACCAGCAGGTTCTGCGTCTTCAGGTCGCGGTGAACCACCGGCGGGCGCAGGCCGTGCAGGTACTCCATGCCTGCGACGACCCATGGGTCACCAAGCGAAGGCGGGGACTCATGCGCCATGCCGTGCTGCTAAGCCAGGCCCAACAGTGCCGAGCCTTTCAGGGGCTCCTCAGTGGTCCATGCTGTCAACTAACGTGTCAGGGAGTCCGCTCATGGCGCTACCATCGCCACCACAACACTCCTGTCACTCCTATTCAAGTCCGCAAACCAAGTCCTCGCTCCCAGCTCTCCGTTCCCCCTGCACTTGCCACCTACCCTTCACCACATCCTGAGCCATGCGCAGCCGCAGCCGCGCATCCAGCTGCACCTCCCTTTGTCGGTGCAGCAGGTTGTACAACGAGCCGCGCGGCATGAACTCCGTCACAATGGCCAGCTTGTCTTCACATGTGACTGCTCCCAGCAGCAGCACTATGTTGGGGTGGCGCAGGCGGTACATGATGGTCACCTCCGCTTGGAACTCCGCCACCTCGGCGCACGACAGGTCCTGCACCCTGAGCTGCTTCACCGCCACCTCGGTGCCGCACCAGGTGCCGCGGTACACGGTGCCGAAGCTGGGTGGGGGAGGATGGGGTTGGGGGAAGAGGAGGGAGCGAGATAGGCGGCAGGGTTGGGGGTTTGCATGGGTTTCAGGGACGAGGGCAGGGCGGCGGTGATGTGCAGAGCTACAGCCAAAACCGCAGGATGCACACCTCCGGAGGATGGGGAACCGGTAGTAAGAGGCAGCGACACTGCATGGGCGGTGCAAGCGCGATCCTCCGAGCCCACGACGTACGCGTCGCCGCCGCCCTGCCACCAGCAGCACCCATCTCACCCGCCAGCCCCGATGCGGGCTCCCACTGTCAGGGCGTCCGGGCTGATCTCCAGGTCCTGAAAGCCCGCCCCGCCCGCACCCGAGCGCCCCAGTGAGCTGGTCTGCGCTGCTGCCAGCGCAGCCGACAGCTGCGACTGCAGCGCAGGCGGCGAGTGCTCCATGCCAGGGCAGGGCTCCATGCTGGCGGCAAGTGCGTCGAAGGGGCTGTCACAAGTGTGCTCAGCAGCGGCAGCAGCAGCCGGGTCAGCAAGGGCCCCCGGCACCTCCTGCTGCAGCTGCGGGGGCTGCAGGACACCCGGTAGCGGCATGGCGGCGGCGGACTGCATCACGGGTGCCAGGGCGGCGAAGGGGCCGGCGGGGGTCGACCCGGCAACAAGCATACCCAGGGGGTGCAGCTCCCGTGGCGGCAGCCCCAGCCCATCCAGCAGCGGCGCCAACCCCAGCACCTCCGGCGGCGGCCCCAGTCCCAGCAATCCCGGCGGCGAGAGCCCGGGGTCGCCCTCCCCCGGGTGCACGCCCTTGGCTTGCAGCATGGCTGCCAAGGCTGTAAAGGGACCTCCCTCCGCCAGCTGCTCCATGGGCTGGATGCTTCCGGGGCAGTGCGACTGCTGCTGCGGCTGCTGCTGCTGCTGCGTGGGCAGCGGTAGGGGCAGCTGGTGAGCGGCCCCCAAGGTTGCCGTCGCGGGTTCCGGGGGCAGGGCTGGCTGCGTGCGGGGCGCTGCTGTTGCTGCGGCGGCGAAGCGGCTGGACTGCAGCCCCCCCGCTGGTGCACTGCGGTCGCCGGGCGGGCCAGGTCCTTGGGTGGCGCCACCGCTGTTGCCCTCGGAACAGGAGGAGGAGGCGCCGGAGGGCAGGCACAGGCCCAGCGGGTTCGAACCTGTGTGCCCGGACAGGATCAGCGGATTGGGTCCTGTGTGGCCGGCGTAGAGACTGGGCGATTGGGTGAGGTCCTCGTCGCCGGTGCTGAAGGCTGCACCCCAGCTGTCAGCGCAACTGCATCGGGGAGGTGGTTGGGCGGTTGTTGAGGTTTGGCGGTTTGCGGTTAGTAAGTAGCAGGTGGTACGGCATGTGCAAGGGGTGAAGGTGCAATTGATTCACGGCGTGCATAGGACGCGTGTCACCGCATCCTCTAAGGCCTTTGCAGCTGGAGTCCAGAAAAGGGGAGCCAGGATGCGCGGTAGGGGCAAATGCTAGTTTGCGGGCTGGGATTGGCCGCACTGCATGGCGTGCTATGACAGCATCCCTGCCCCAGCATGCAGACAAAAACACATCCTGCAACATGGCTTACCACGCACCGGACACAGTAGTCTTCCAAACCTCATTCCCAAGACCCAATCGTTCTTGTTGCATACCTTACGGCCATTGAAGTGCTTCCCTTTTCCCGCTCGGTCCTGCTGTTACTGGCTTCTGTTGTATCCACCGCGGCATTGTGGGTCTGCTGGTCCCGAGAGGCATCCGTATGCTCTTGAACACTTGGAAGGGAGCTCGCCTGGAACACTGCGCGTGGGGTTAAGGTTTATACGGAGAAGCAGGCATGACATGACAGTGCGCAGCTCTTACATTCCCCTTGACGCTTCTGTACCATAGGAAGCAAGCCCAGCGCTGCCGCCCACAATGTGGATATTAATTTACCCTATGTAAAAATAGCCCTTCTCAGGGCTCTAAGGAAAAGCTGTCTGTGGAAGTGCCAGACGATGGCATTTTCGGATTGCATGGGCAGAGCTTAGAGACGCTCCCGCTTCTGTGGATGGGCTGGCAGCGGCCATAGCAGCCTCAAAAGTGAGAGAGCTAGTAGCCTGCTATGCTGCGTTGTGTCCGCAGTGCGGTACCGCAATGCGGAGGTCCGTTCAGGCGCTTGTCATAACGAACTATACGATGTATCAATGCAGTACCTCTTTAGGAAGTGTAATGACAGAGCTGGCTGCGCCTAGCAAGCATATTAAAACTTCAGGTCTACCAAACACCTGCGGATGTTGCCGTGACAAAAGGCAGTGTATCCATCGCGTCCTGTTCAAGGGCTGTATTTCGTCCGCAATAGCAGTCCTGATATGATTTTACTAAAAAATTCCAGCGCCCGCACCGTACACCATGGCATGTACGTATATGTGAAGGTCTTTATGCCGCTGCGCTGCCTGTCGTGATAGCTGCCCCTTGACCAAGCAGCGTGCCAGACCCCTTCTTGCAACTCCAGCCTCCCGGTAAAACCCAACAATCGTAGTAGCCCAACTTCGTATCCTGCAACGCGTGTCCTGTGCTACCAGCAGTCGCCAGAGGCTCGGAGCATGATCTCCGTCTTGGCACCATTGCAAACGCCCAACACGATCACAGGGAGCAACGGCTTCACGCCCCATATTTAACATGCCTTGTTAACATACATCAGGAATATGTCCGGTACTGGCGAACTGCGGCGGCCCCACCAGCCACCTTTACGTTTGCACTCGGCTGTAGCCATGCCACCTGCTAACCCTCGCAAAAAGTTGCATCAGCCTTGAAGCATGCCATCTTTGCCCTCTTCAACTCACTAGGTCCGTTCAACTACGTGTAATGCTGCCAGGCCCCGTAATGCTACACCGTTTTCCTAAACGCGACTAATTTGCGCCCGTTTAATTACGTTAAACGCCACCTCAGCAACCTGCAAGCGGCCAAGCAACCAATTACGCCTCACTGCGCGCCAGCGTGGCCCGCATCAGGAACCGGGTTAGCCAGCAGAAGCTCCGCCGCTCCGCTTCTTCGTTCCGCCCCACACCTCTCTTTCTGCAGGCAACGGTTACCGGTACTCACCCCGGCATGCAGAAGTAGCGTGCAATGTGCTGCCCATTGTTGCTCGGTACGTGCCATCCCCAACAAACAACATCAATAAGCAACCGCAGCCCGACCCTAGAGATCCTAGAGTCGCATGCAAGGAGGCGACACGTTAACCATCATACACACTGGCAGTGCGCCGCTTACCGGTACCGGTAGCCACAGAAAGCGTACTGGCCATGACAGGTGGTCATGATACCACTGAAGCAAACGCCGCACGACTGCCTCTGTATCAGAGCACGCATTACTATGGAAGGTAACGCAAACCGACGAGCCGCAAGGCGTCACCGCACGCCGTTAAAAACCAACACGTCAGCATGCGTTCAACGGGCGGGGCGACGGGACTGCGCCCACGCCCCCTAACAATCTAGCCCTTGACTCTTAACGCTCTATTGTGCAGCAGCGGGGCTACTGGCATCTGTAGCTGGATGTTTTACGCTAACTGTTCGCCGTCCTTTCCCGCCACTGTTCATCAGTACAAAGCCCGTTAGGCATTCCGCCTTGCCGGCAGCCCACGCCAAAACCACGACCATCGCCGCGCACTACTCCAGCGCTCCTCTAACGAAAGCCACCACTGCCCATATCCTGGTCCCTATTGGCCCGTGGCGGCGGCGGTGGCGGCGGCGGCGGTACGAGTCCTATCAGGTCCGGCGGTGGCGCGAACGCTGCAAAATTCACACCCGCGCCTCCGCCGTTGCCGCCACCAGCGCCAGGCCCGCCACCGTTGAAATCCATCAAGGGCTGACCCATGGGTCCACCCATGCCGGAGCCGGGTGCGGATCCCATGGGAAACATCGGGCCCACGTGCCCCGGGCCGCCGCCAGCCTGGGGAGGCGGCGGTGGTGGCGGTGGGCCGCCGGGAGGCCCTGGAGGGACTAGTGTAGGGCCCTGCTGGGTCTGCTGCTGCTGCTGCATGGGCTGCTGCTGCGGCTGGTTGCGTGGTGGCGGAGGAGGAGGTGGCGGGGCTATGAGGCCCGCCGCCGCCATGCCACCGCCTGCTGGCGAGAAGAGGGGCGGGCCACCAGGGTGGCCGCTGGGAGGCCCGGTCTGGAAGTGCGGCGGGGGCCCGCCAGATGCGCTGACGAACACGGGTGCCCTGCCGGGTAGGAGGTGGTGTGAAGTGAGGAAAGCAGGTGTGCAGCAAACCTGTTATACAAGAGCTGGGAAACGCCGAAAAGGTACGCACCGGGGTTGCAATTGCGCACGCGTTTAGTCACACCCTCCCGCCCCGACTCCGCAGCACCCAGCCCGACGCGAACAACCCCTTAACCACCCGCAGCATCACCACACACACGCGACCGCCTTACCTCATCAACGCTGGTCCCCCCTGCAGAGCCGGCTGTTGCTGCTCCTGCTGGTGTTGCTGCTGCGGCGGCAGACCGTGTGATCCCGGCTGCTGCTGTTGCTGTTGCAGCTGCTGCTGCTGCGGTGGGGCCTCTTGCGGTGGCTGATGTTGCTGGTGTTGCTGCTGAGGGTTGGGTTGCATGGAGGGGCCAGGCGGGCCTTGGGGAGGCGGCGGCGGCGGCGGCGGGGGTCCGGTGGCCCATGGCGGCAGTGCAGGCATGCCCCCACTGCCCATCTGAGGCAAATGCGGACTGCCAAGCGGCTGCAAACCCCCTGGTTGCTGCTGCTGCTGTGGCTGCTGTTGCTGTGGCTGCTGGTGCTGTGGCGGTGGAGGCGGCGGCGGCCCCGCTTGCAACATGGGCTGTGTAAGCTCTTGGGACTGCGTCTGTTGTAAATGCTGCTGCGGGTGGTGTTGGTGGTGGTGCTGCGGCGGTGGTGGTGGTGGTGGCGGGGCGTAATGGTGCTGCAGACCCTGCTGCTGCGCTTGCTGCGGTGGCAGTGACGGAGGATGGCCCCCAGCGTTGGGCCCCATGCCGGCCGAAGAGTGTGACAGCAGCTGCTGCTGCTGTTCTTGCTGCGAGGGCTGCTGTTGCTGCTGCTGTTGCTGCAGGTGAAAGCTGCCCAGCTGTGGCGACGGCGGCTGACCTGGAGGCGCGGCGGGCCCGGGGGGCCGGAACGGACCCATGGGTCCAAACGGCTGCGGGGGAGCCTGCGGGCCCTGGGGCGGGCCGGCGGCAGCAGGGGCGCCCCAGGGAGGCGGCGGCGCTTGGTGGTACGCCTGCTGCTGCGGCGGGGGTGGGCCACCGGGGGGAGGCCGTGGCGGCGGGATGCCCTGGGGATACTGGCCGGGAAACGGCTGGTAATGGTGCGGCGGCGGCGGTTGATGCGGGGGTTGCATGCCGTACGGTGCAGGAGTGCCGTACGACGGCTGCTGCTGCGGTGGTTGCTGATGGGGCGGGGGATAGCCCATGTATTGTGGTGGCGGAGGCGCATGGTGTGGGTGAGGTGGTGGGTACGCCCCTGGCGGCGGCTGTGGCGGAGGTATGCCGTACGGCTGCTGCTGTGGTTGTTGTTGCGGCTGCTGCTGTGACGGCGGCGGTGGCGGCCAGTGGTGCGCAGGAGGTGCCTATGGTGCAGGGGGCACGAAGTGTTATGGGCTAATGGCTCGACAAGTAATGACAAGTAAGAACATCATAGCAATGTGCAAACAGCAATATGCAGTCATCCAACACTATGCCCCTCAGCTCCCTGTGCCGCGGCCCCATGCACTTACCGAGGGTGGCGGAGGCGGGGGCGGTGGTGGCGGCGGAGGCGCACCGTCGTCCTCCTCATCAATCCCAATCTCGTATTCCTTCTCCTCCTCCGCATCCTTTGCGCCCGCTGCCGAGGCGGGTGCCGTACGCCCCGTCTCCACTGCCCTGTTCGCCGCCAGAAACTCCTCCACCACCGACTCCATGAAGCTGGTGTCGGCCGCAGCGGCATCTGTGGGGTACATCCACACCAGCGATTTGCTACACAGCCAAAGACGCTTAATAACTATAATAAGCTAACCTAGTGCTGCGGCATTGCGAAACAGGCACTATGGCTCTGAGAGGATATGGAACATGGCGACGGCACAATGCTATTTGGCGACAGACAGCGGGCCATCCCCTGCTAGACGTTCCCCAATACGGACTATACCCTAAGCATGGTGTCTACAACCCTCCAACAGACGCTTTCATGGTAGCCAAACACCGTTGTTGAACTTACTCTTCGCCGCTGCAGCAGCCACGAGGGCCGCCTTGGACGCTGCCTCCTCCTCCGCCTTTGCTGCCGCGGCCGCTAGCGTCTTGCTAACCGGATTGAACACCGCTCGACGCGCCGGCAACAGGTTGTTCTTACGAATGACAAAGAAGCCCTTCTTTTTCTCCTCGCCATCCGCTGCCGCACCGCCGCCGGCACCTGCCGCCTCCGCCTTCTCACCGGCCTTATCCGCCGCTGCCGCTGCCTCCGCCGCTGCCTGCGCCTCTGCCGCCGCAACCGCCGCTGCCAGCGCAGCTGCCGCCTCCGTCTGCCCGGGTGCAACCACCGCCGAAGCCCTTGCCACGGACAGCCGCTGCGACGCCACAAGGTCCGCATCAAACAGCGCATCCACCGTCACAGGCTGCGCGGCCGCCTCCGCCTGGCGCCGCCGCAGCTCCTCTTGCAGCTTCCGTTGCCGCTCCCGCCGCTGCTGCTCCTTGGCTTTGGATGACAGCGGTAGCTCGCCTGGAGCCGTGCCGGGAGGCACGTTGCGCAGGCCGCCACCTCCGCTGCCGCCTCCGCCGCGTGCTGCCAGCGCAGCAGCAGCGGCGGCGGCCTGCGTGGTGGCGTCCTGGCGCAGCAGGTCCAGCTGCTGCTGTATCTCCAGGTTGCTCATGCGGCTGATGTCGGCCTCTCCGGTGGTGGTGCTGGCGTCGAGGAGGGAGGGAGCCAGCGCGGCTGCGTTGGTGGGTTGAGACCAGCGGCAGCGACGCGGCGGCGCAGCAGCAGCGGCGGCAGCGATGGCGGCTGCTTCCGCTGCCGCCACTGCGTCGGGATCAGTGAGAGCGTGCGCGGCGTCGGCCGCCGCCGCGGCTGCTGCCGGCTGCTGCTCCGGCAGCTCAGGTGGCGCAACTATGGCGGTGCCATCCGCAGTATGAGACCAGCCAGGATGCTTGTCGACGGCGAGAGACTCATCGGTTACGGCGGGTGCAATCACCCAAGTAGCTGCGGTTGGCTCCTCCTCCTGCGTGTCGGGACCCTGCTGCTGCGGCTCAGTCGCAGGCGGTGCCACAGCAGCTCCTTCACCCTCCACTGCCACAGTCGCGGCTGCAGCTCCTTCCTCGTGACGTTCCGCAACGGCTTCCGGTGCTGAAGGCGGCGGTGGCAGCGATGACGGCGACCTGCGAGCAGCGGCCTCTGCCGGCGCCGACTCCTCTGCGTCACGGCTGGCGTGCTCAACGCCGTCGCCATTAGCTGCTGCCACCACCACCGCGCCATCCGCCTCACCCCCTGATGCCGTCTGCAGCACGTCACCTACACCATAGTCCTGCATCACGACGTCGCCCTCCTCTGCGCCCTTCGACTCCGTGCCCTTCTCCTCCTCCTCTTGCTGCTGCTCACCTGCTGCTGCACTCTGCATGCCGCTGTCATCCGGTTCCATAGCGGCCGCCTGCCCGTCGCCACCCGTCTGCTGACCACCCATGGCGGCTTCCTCCTGCTCCGCTTCCTTCCCGCCCGCCTCCTCCTTATCCCGCCCATCCTTGCGCTCCCGCCGAGACCGTCCATGTTCCCGCCGCCTAGGGCTCCCGCTGCGAGCCCGCTTCCCACCTTCAGGACTATTATGGCCCTTCCTGCTACGGCGCCCGTCACCGCGCCCTCGGCTGCGGCTCCTGCCAGCAGGACTCTTGCTGGCACCTGCTGTACGCTTCCTGGCGTCACGACTGCGACTGCGGCTGCTGCGCTTGGTGTGACGCGCCGGGCTGCGGCGTTTCGTGTCGCGTGCAGGGCTGCGGCTGCGACTGTGGCTTGCCCGGCGCTTAGCGCCCCGCGCCGGGCTTTGGCTGGAACGGCGGGTTTGCTTGCCCTCAATAGGGCTCCTCGTGGAGCGGCCCTCCTTCCGGTGCCGCTCTCGATCCCGATCTGCATCGCGATCTCGGTCGCGGCCGTGGTCCCGCTCCCGATCTCGACTGCGGCTGCGGCGGGATGCCTGCTGGTCTGTAGGGCGCCTGGTGCCCTCAGGGCTCCGTGCTCGCCGCCGGGAGGCATCGGGGCTGCGACTCTTGCTGCGTCGTCGGGAGGAGCGCCCTGCTGGGCTGCGGCTGCGACGATGGCCGTTTCCGTGCTCCTCGGTGCGGCGTGGTGGACTCCTGTCATTGCCCCGCCTTGCCGCCTCCGGGCTTTTGCTGTCCCGCCGACTGGCTCGTTGATGACGCTCGGTGCCGGGGCCGGGAGTTCGCTTGCGCCCTTGACTGCCGTCATCGCGCCGCTGCGGCTTTTTCTCGCCGCGGCTGGGGCTGCCTCGGCGCGTCTCGCTCCTGCTTCTGCTGCGAGGCTCCCTGCTTGCGGCGCGCCTGGTATGCTCTTTACCAGCACCATTGTTATTACTACGCGCTAGATCGGTTAGATTGTCGACGTCGTTCCGCTTGCCATCGCTGGGCACCGAGCCAAAGGCTTCGCCATCTGCTCCTGCGGTAGGTCCAGCCTGCGCGGGCTCCAAAGCCTTCTCCTTCTTCCGATCTTTCTTGTCCCGTTTCCCCTTCTTTTCTTTTTTCTCCTTCTTGTCTTTCTCCTTGTGCCTCCTCGAACTCTTCTCGCGGTCTATTCCGAGCTCTTCGTGATCAGAGCCCATCGCAGCCGCAGTGACGACTTCCGTGGTGGTTAGATAGAAAGGCACGTGAGAATGCTAATTGCACCAAGCCATTTGTTCTCCAACGGTGAATGCCTCTTTTTTGGGAGGTAATTACGTAGTTACCAAAGAAGGATTTCACCTACATCAACGGGAAAACAACATGGAACGTGTAACTGCGCGAGAACGGAGCGGGAGAGGTGGGCTAGAGTTGTACGGCAATACGAGCACATATAAATTCAGCCCGCTAGCCATCTTCGACTCTTCGGCGAGAGGATCTTGCTTTGACCTAGGGCCTACTGCAAGTGCCTATTTGCATAAACCGCCGCCGGCGGCTGGCTTAGGTTCTTCAACCAAGAGAAATGGACGGCACCGACAGGGACGGTGCAAAAGTTCAGTTTACGAACCTGGATGGCGTCGTTCAGCCTCCATACACTCCGCCACCTCGCAAATGGACGTGCGCAAGGGTCTGTTCTGTCGCGCTGGGCACCACGTACATGGTCCTCCTCACAGCGGTCGCCGTGATTGCCTTCATCTTGGGCTGCTACAGCACGGCTAAAGTTCGCACCCTAATCGAGCCTGCCGCTGTTCTCGTCACCGACCCCCGCGCCGCTCCTGGGTCGGGCTACTCCGTCTTTTCGCTGGGCACCGGCTTGGGCTACTGGAGCCCTGTCACCGATATGGAATTCGCCAGGAGTGACCACGGGGTAAGGCTGGTGCAATTCGCGCGCTCGTTACCGGACGGCGTGAGTCTACGACGTCGCGAGGCGTTGGCTTAGGTGGCACTTCCCAAACGGGGCATACCATTTCTATTGCCTTCAGCGCTGCCTGCTGCTAAGCTTTTTCCCTTCCTGGCTTGGCACGCAATACGTCAAGCGGCCTGCTATCCGATTAGCTACGGGACAGCCGCTGTAGCAACGTTGCAGTCTGCAAAGCCGTGTGCACAGTACCTAATTCAGTGCCCTAGTGTCGAACGGGTTGATCTGGGTCGGTCAGTTCTACTATCTAAAGCAGCAGTGGAAGGGTGCAACAGCCCAAGGGACACGTTTGGCTCTTTAGGTTTCCAATCAGTACATGCCGCTTTAGCTGACCGTTGGTGGCCCTAACCGGCGTTTACCATTTCCACTGCATCTCGCTGTACCCTTCAGCTAGCACTGGGTTCCGCGTACCACGTAACGGTGCCGTTGCTGCTTCTTCAAACCTCCCTTCACCCCAACCTCCAACCTTGTCCGTCGTACAGGTCATCGCGTACGGCAAGTACGCGTACCTTGTGGGCGGTCAGGGCGCCGATGGTTCCATCTTGAAGCGCCTGGTTCGGTACGATACGGAGACTGGGGAGATGAAGGATCTGAAGGACATGTTGTGGCCCAGGTGCGGCAACGATGGACGCCATCGTCTCGTGACTGCCTGAGTGACGGTTGATCCCCATCCGCTCTCATGCCTTTTAATGCTGTCATGTTACCCCCATCCGTTCTCATACCTGCTATTCTGTCAAAGTTACCCCGATTGAAGCATGCTTGTCTCCTTACCGTCTCCATGCAGGTATCGCTTCGCGTACGCACTCCTGAACGACAAGATATACGTTATGGGCGGCATGGACTCCAACGCCACCGACGCTGGCCCGCTGGATACCGTCATGGTGTACGACATCAAGGGCAACAACTGGACCCTCACCGGGCAGCTCAACACGAAGCGCGTCGACGCCACTGGCGCCGCGGTGAACAACAAGGTGCGGTTGCAGTGGCAGCGACCCGCGGGTCGGTAAGGTGCGCTTGATGTGGGTCATGAGCGCTGTCGCTGCCGCTTTTGCGCAGCGTTTTGTAAACCTCTCCCTCTCTCCCCACATGCGTGGCAAAACACTTGCAACGCGTTCAATTACTGCTTACATGAGTACGTTAAGTTCGCTCGATGGCAACCGCTTCCTTGTAACCGCAGGTGTATGTGTTTGGCGGCTATGACGCCAGCTTTGTCAGCCTCGCCACCATTGAGGAGCTGGACCCCTTGTCCGCTACTCCAACTGCCGCGCCTACGTGGACGCTTCTGGGCAACACCAGCAACCTCATCACTTCTCGGTAAGGCCCGGAAACTGGGACGTGGCATCTGGGCCGGGGTTGCGTGCTCGGGCAAGGTAGGAGGCGAGGGAGAAGCCGGGCCCCGTCCACGTGGACCTCTGTCCCGTCCCATAATTGCATGCAGCCATGGTAACAGCATAGCCCTCCTTGTCCATGTGTCGTACCGCTGCTGCTGCAGTGGTGACGCTCGCGCTGTGACCCTGGACGGCTCCATCTACGTGGCTGGCGGAGTGGAGTACTACATAAACCCCAACAAATCGTGCGAAGGAGACTTCTGGATCTACTGCTACCGCTTCCTGAAGAGCGTGGAGGTAAGAGGAGGCAGGAGGAGAAGAGGACCCGTGGTCATGTGATGGGGCCACAGAAAAGAGGGTTTCGGGGAGAGGGGAACAGTTGCTGTGGCTGTTGACAAGCTGGATCTTCGCAACCCACGTTGACCCATTCTCCTCACCCCCTGCCCCACTCCACTCCACCTCAGAAATTCAACGCCACCACCAAGACCTGGTCCGCTGTGGCCAACATGATCAACCCCCGCGGTGACTTTGGCATCGACGCGCTGCCCAACGGCCGCATCATCGTGGCGGGCGGCGAGCGCGGCAACGGCACACACACCCAGATGGCGATGTACGATGTGGAGGAGTACATTGCAGCGGACGACGTGTGGGTGGCGAAGGCGCCGCTGCCACAGGCGCGCTTCCGTGACGACCTGGCCTACGCGTCTGGTCGTGTGTATGCGTTCGGCGGCACCCCCACCTGCGGCCTGGACTCCACTGCGGCGTGCTACCAGGTGGCGCTCAAGACGGTGTTTGCCTACACGGATGTGGAGTACCCGCGCCTGTACGCGTTCTACAAGCCGAGCGACGGGTCCACGCAGGTTGGGGCTTCGTCGGTGGGCAGCAGCAGCAACCGGCGGTTGCTGTAGGAGGAGGGCCCTTTCAGGGCGATTTGGCGCGTGGGTTGAACAATGCAGGCTACTGTGAGTAGGCTACGACGAGCTGAGAGTTTGACTCATGTTTGGTATTTTGCGGTCTGTGTTCGTTTGTGGCTTGCGTGTGTGTGTGTGTCTGTGGGAGGATTTGGACGCAGGAGAGGAGAGCTGAGGTTTGCGGAGGTGGGAAGGATGGGTGCAGCTGCACAGCTGCGGAGTGCGTACTCGTGTGTAGTTGGCAAAAGGGTAAACTGGTTTTCCTATGACCAGCCGGGTGTGCTTGTGATGTTGTGCTATCTATTTGTGTGCGCGTAACCCCGCTTACAAGCTCCGGGTCGGTGCAGTTACGTATTAGAGAGTACTATTCTTGGGTCATGTGTGATACCTGACGTGTAAGCGCCTATTGGTTGCTGTTTTGTTGTCCTGACCAGCGTTTGCCTGGGTATTTCGAATTGTGCGCACCCCTTGACTCTGAAGTCTGTCTTCTTCGGGGGTTATTGTTACGAGGGACGGCGCAAAGAGGTGCCCCCCGGGGTCTGTATGACCGAGATAGGACGACGGCGTGGGTGGTATTTCTCTTTATCAGCTATGGTGGTAGGTTACTCGTCATTCAGAACTGTTTCGTTGGACTAACTCGTATGATATCTTGCGAACTGCACAAACCTAGGGGGATTGCGTGGGCGAGAGTGAGGTAAAGCCTGGGTGAGGAAATCTTTCACTCAGAAGCAAGGTGCTTTCGTTGGATGGCGGCGATAGGGCAGCGGCGCTTGGCGAACCCATCAATCAGAACAATCATTGCGCAGGACAAGGTTGCGGCAGTCGATACAAGCAGTGCCACTCAGCCACATTGGCCCGTGTAACTGCTCGAGTTAACCCGAAGGGCTTGCGGCCTGCAAGACCAGCAATGTGTCAATTGCAGCTTGCTGCGTTATGCACGGATGCTGTTGCCGTACAGGAGCCGCACATGTCGCTGACGTTCCATCAAAAGCTCTCCTTGAACATTTGAGCTCTCCAACACTAGTCGGAGCAGTAAGCCTTCTGGTTGCAGTGAATGTGGATGCAGGCATGCGCGCATGACGTCCAAGAAGAAGACCAATTCCTTTCGAGCGACGACGTGCCTCGCAGCAGGAAAAGTAAACACTCAGAGCACCCTTGGGCCCTAGACGTCAGTATAAATCGCACGCCGGCGTGTCAACAACCAGGCACAAACAGCGCAGGAACTACGTGTAGCAACGCCGGCAAGAGTGACCAGCGGATATGCGGGAAGGGTACCTACTTGGTGTTTGACCCGCACGCCTTCCCTTATTGGTAGGGCGCAAGAGACACACAGCCCTTCGCAGAGGAGGAACCCTTGCAGACTGCATTTGGGTTTTGACACGCGAGCCTGCCGTGGGATACGTCGGAAACGTCGTCGGTGAATGATTGCAAAAGACCCAAAAACGTAATAAGCGTAAGCTATACAAAGAATAGTCCAACCGGGCGAAAGATGGTGTAGCAAATACTCTGCATAATGCATCCTCCTGCCCTAAATACAAGGTTAATGTACGTATAACACCACCGATACCCCACATCGCCGACAGTTGTACCAGAGAACCCTTTTCCTCCTGACCACCTTCCTCACCGCCACCCAAAACCCACGATTAATACCCAAACCTTCCAGCTACCGCCTCCAAACTACCTCCGCACCACAGCACCCCCCATGCACCACATCAGGACGGACAGGGACCCGTCACGCCTCCATGGCCTCCGCCGCCGCTGCCTCCTCCCCCTGCACGCCCTGCCGCACGCTGTTCAGCTGCGCATAGTGCGCCCTGCACACGGGTGCGTAGCTCTCCGCGCCGCCCACCAGCTGCTGCTGCGTGCTGGCGGCGATGCGCAGCGTGAAGAGCGAGGGCTGCTCACAGAAGCTGCAGCGCCCCTCCAGCTTGTCTACACGGTCGGCCAGCGGGATCAGCTCCAGAAGCTGCGAGCCGGCCGGGCATGCGGAGGGAAGAAGTGGTGAGGGAAGGCAAGGTGGGGAGGGGAGGGGATCAGGAGACAAGGTTGTGTGAACAGGGTGGGCAACAAGCGATACGACTATAACCCTGCCGCCTGTCGCAGGCAGGGAGCCGTTTTACAGGCTAGCCGTCCTGGACGGACCTGCGTAATAATCGCACAGCCGCCACCCTTCTCGCAAGCGTACTCAGCACAAACACCATCACCCCTTGACCCGCCCCACCTGCCCAAACCGCTGTCGCCTGTAGTCGCCGCTCAGCCCAGCCACGATGACGGTCTTGCCGTCCTTCTCAGCAGCCTCTACCACCGACTCCGTGAGGTCTGCGTGACATGGTGGCGGAGGTTGAAAGTAGGCATGTGCACAGTGCCCCATCGACAGCTCCGGCGGTTAGGAGTTGTACGACGCCACGTCCAACACGCTGCACCCGCCGTACTTAGGCCTGCCTCCACCTCCCGCGCTCCCATTCCCTCCAGGCCCTTCCCACCCGCACTCTGCCCCCATGCCCTCACCCTCAATGAACTGTGCCTCGTCCACCGCCAGCACCTCCACCCGCTCGTACTCAGCTGGCCCCAGTCGCTCCCGCAGCACCCCCAGGCGAGCCAGGCTGAAGCACGGCAGCCGCTGCCCCGTGTGCGACACCACATGGTCCACCGAGTAGCGGGTGTCTATGGAGCTCTTCACCACCACCACACGCCGGCCGGCTGCTTCTTCCTCGCGGACGCGCTGCAGCAGCCGCGTGGTTTTCCCAGCGAACTTTTCGGGTTGGGGAGAAGATGGAGGTGTGAACTTAGCGTACGCAAACTGGGATACAACGGTTAATGGCCATGCTTCTCGTATTGTGTCGGTAAGGCTTATTGGATAGCTTGACCCAAAGCATATGCATGCAGCACGTAGGTAACTACTTTGCGCCAGTTGTAAGACCTCCCATGTTGCGGAACCAGTAAAGTCCTCACCATGGGCCCCATAATAAGATGAATTTTGCCCATCTGCTTTTCATCTTTCGGTACTTCATTGCTGCTTGTCGAGAAGGCTGCCCCAAGCTCTGCCGCTTGCGCGCGCAACGATTGGTGTTGGTTACGCAATAGGCCGTCTCTACTTGAAGACGACAAAAGCCCCGAGCGTCCAACTAAACAAGACAGTCTTCGGCTGCATTGCGCCATAGGGCAACGCGGAGGAGCGACTGATTTCATGCGTCCGCCGCCGAGCACTTTGAGCGTCGCCGAAGCACAGCCCTACTGAATAGTATAAGGTACAAAAATAGAACTAAAAATATTAGCTTGGGGTGACGCCTGCACTGCCAAGGGTACCGGCTTCAAGCGCAGCTAGGACAACGCGTCAGCCTAAACAGCCACGCCAGCGACTAAGTAACCTCAAGGCTGGCAGCAGTTGTCCCCCGGGGTAAGGCGCCAGCGGTGCCATGTCGCCTGGACTTGCCGTTTGCCGTGCGTGCGTCTGTCGTACTTGTACTGTTGCGCGCCAACGCATGACAGCGATTATTTTGAGATATGGCCTTGGGTGGTCAAAGCAAGAAGGCAAACCAACATCGTGCTGTTACTGGGAGCTGGGTCCTTGTAACATATCACGGGTTTAAGTAGGTTGCTAGCATGTGGCACCGGTGTATAGCTAAACCCCAGCGACAACTTGAGTTCTTGACGTATGACTGCCCAAAGCCATTCCACTGAAACTTTTAAAGGCTTTCGTGATATCCGCATTCTGTACACCTGTGCCATACAAGCCTAATGCCGGCGTGCAAGGACCTGGCACACAAAACCGTGCGCCCCTTAACTCACAGTCGCGGCGATTACCCAAGGCCAACCCAATTCCACAACATGGGAAGAGTTAGGGAACCTCAGGGAAGTCAGTTGGAGGTCGTCTTATGCAATTATGAAGCCTGGGCAGCCCGACCGATGCGAAACAGATGCCTGCACAGCCCTGGGCGCTCTGAGCACATGCTGTACGACAGAGCACGCCCAGCCGGTGCTCAGCCATGCTAAGGCCTGGGCGGGCCAGTTCAGAACGGTGGAAGAGTTGGGGAAGCCTAGGGAAATCCATTGGAGGTCGACCGATGCAAAACAGGGCCCTGCACAGCCCTGGGCAGCCCTGAGCATGCGTACGACAGAGCATGCTCAGCCGGTGCTCAGGCCTCGGCGGGTCAGTTTAGAAAGGTGGAAAGGTTGGGGAAGCCTAGGGGAGTCCACTGGCTTATCGACTTGTACTTGGTATCCTTGTGGTATGCAACTTGCCTTGGTATGACGGCTCAGCAAGTTTCACACTTTCGCGCATTCGAAATTTACAGATTTGGCTACGAAGTTCTTCTCACAGAGCATTGCCATCAGAAAGGTACATGAACGTCTTTTGCTTGGGAAATGCGTCTTTTGTTGAAAGTGTGTCCGGCTAACTACCGTCCGGCAAAATCCACATGTATGCTGCATAGCCTTGCCTTTGGCATCGAGCAATAGTGGGCCAACACCGTTTATTGTAAGTACACTATCGTGGTTCTATTATATGAAGTACGCGCTTGAGAGCGAGCCGCCAGCCGTGGAAAGGGCTCAGTGGCCTGCCTAGCGGAGCCAGTAAGGCTAAGGCTGATCGCGTAGTTAACATGTGCTTGTAAGAACTAAGAAGAGAGAATGGCTTCGTCAGTCGACACGTTTGCCATAAGCAAGGATGCTGCGGCATCAGACGTTGAGCTGTTGAAGGCTGAAATCCTAAAGCTGTTGCAAAATAAGTCTCGGGAGGTCAGAGGTGAGCAACCTTATCCAACGTGCATCCAAGGAACGGTGATTGCCCTCCACACGGGCAGTATGGCAGTACGGCACATTACGACCGACGGTTCGGAACAAAGCAGCTTCTACGTCCCCCCCAAATAACTTCCATCCTAGGGATTCACAAAGATAGCAAACTGTAGACCCCGAAGCCTCTCATAATCCATTACCGCCTCTTGACCTCCATAAACCGCCCACAGAATTGGATGTGGGTCGACATGTGGACCGCGTGCCCATCAGCCAGCTGAGCCCCATGCGCTTTGCCACCGAATACGTGCAGCGCAACAAACCAGTGATCATCACAGGTAAAGAGTTTCACACTGCCACATGCATTAGACGGCTGGTTTCAAGCTGGGGAGATGCCACCGATTGCGGGCCAGCTGTCGTGCATGCCGTACGGCCGTGTCGCCCCTCGCCGCCAAGGCACACACAAAGACCACACAACCTCCCCTATAACCCTCCCCCACCCCCTCCTCCACCGCCTCCTTCCCCGTCCCCAGGCGCCATCGACTCCTGGCCCGCCATGCGGCTGTGGGGCGAGCGCTACCTGGTAGCCCACCCGGCGGGGCGGGTGCCCGTCACGGTGGACGTGACCCCCAACGGCCGGGGGGACGCCATCACCGCTGTGGGTGGGTGCTGCGCGGTGCTGCTGGGAGGCCGGGAGCGATCAATGAGGTCCCTGCCGTGCTGTCCCTCCTGTCGTGCAGCTGCATGCAGGATGCAGCGCACCCCCCCCCTCCCATGCCCCTTCTTCCCATGCTATGCATGGCATGCAGCCGACGTCAGGACCTGGCTCACTGCCCCCCGCTCCCATGCCACATGGTGGATCCTGGTCACGCACGGCTGATGTTTCCTCACCCCGCCCTTCCCCCTGTCCGCAGCCCCTGCCGGCCACTCGGGCTGCCCGCCTCCCCGCTGGTTCGTCACCCCGCACGAGCGGCGCATGACACTGGGGCAGTTCTTCGCGCTGATGAAGGTAGGCGGGTGGGTGGGTGAGGGTGGGGTAAGGGTGGGGCGGGGTGGCTCTCTGAGGTACTCTTCCGGTGCTGCCGCCTGCTGCTGCTGCCCTTCCGTCCCTGCCCCTGCTGCCCCTGCTGATCCCCAGCTGCCGCCTGCTCGCCTCCATCCCGCCCCAAACCCCCCAGGAAACCCGCGCCCGTGACCAGCAGGCGGAGTGCGGAGGTAGCACACCGCCTCGTGAGGTGCCGTACATGCAGGTAGGTAGCACACCGCCTCGTGAGGTGCCGTACATGCAGGTAGGTAGCACACCGCCTCGTGAGGTGCCGTACATGCAGGTAGGTAGCCTCGGCACCAGCACAACTGCACACTCGTCCTTTCACAACTGCACGGACCGTCCTCTCCCCACTCAATCCTCATCTCCGCCTTCCCCTCCATCCGCCCTCCTCTCCCCCCCCCACACACAGCACCAGAACAGTAACCTATCGGAGGAGCTGTCCCCCCTGCTTGCTGACGTGGGGGAGGAGCTGGGCTGGGCGGAGGAGGTGTTCGGGGGGCCACCGGAGGTGAGGAGGAAGTGGGTGGTGGTGGTGGTGGTGGTAAACAGGAAACCACCTGGCAAAGGCCCCACCAAGGAAGAGCTGCGGACGCGGTGGTGATGGCGATGGTGTTGAAGAGGGTCCTCGCTCCTCCTCCTTGCAGCACCCCGCTAATCCCCACCCTACCCCACTCCCACCCGCCAGGCCATCAACTTGTGGATAGGCGACGAGCGCAGTGCCACCTCTTTCCACAAAGGTAGGGAGCGGCACCACGCCGGGGAAGTACCTGTACATGGATGGAAGGGGTGATGAGTGTCAAACACATGAGCACCAGCCCTGCATGCCTGGGCGCCGTCCCCTCTATCGACCCATCCCCTCCTTCCCCCATGCTTCACTCACAAACTAATTGTTTAAAGATTAATTGTTTAAAATTCTACACTGTAAACTTTGTGAGTTCGGCCCGACTCACGGATTTTCCATCAGCGCTTGTCAGCATGTTTACCACTATCACACCACACATTGGATATTCTTTTTTCCCTCCCCCCCCCTTTCCCCTCCAGACCACTACGAGAACCTCTACGCCGTCCTCCGCGGCACCAAGGTCTTCACGCTGCTGCCGCCCGCCGACGTGCACCGCATGTACCTCACGCGCTGCCCCGCCGCCGCCTACATGCCGCGGCGGGAGGTGCCGCCGGGGGCGTGCTACGCGGAGGTGGCGCCGCGGCCGGGGGGACTGCCGCGGCTGCGACCTGCACCAGCGGCCCCGAGGGAGCAGCAGCAGGAGAGGGAGGAGGAGCAGCAGCAGCAGGCGGGACAGGAGGGGGTGGAGACGGAGGAGGCGGAGGAGGAGAGTGGCGACAGCGGCAGGCTGGTAGCTGTGCTGCAGGTAGGGGTGGGGCGGGAGGTGGGCAGCAGCAGGCCACCCAGCTTGCCAACCCATGCGCTTGCGGTCGGGGGTGTGCTGCGAAGCGGGTGTGTGCTGGTCAGCATGTGGTTCATGGGGGAGGAGGCAGTAGTCTGAGTGGACCGCCGAACCGCCGTTGCGAGCAAGGCGTGCGGTTGTCAGATGTCAGTATACCGGCCACCCGCAGCAGGCAGTGGGCACTTTCTCCTCCTCGTCCTCGTCCCTCTTCTGCGCATGTAGTGTCAGCGACCGCTCCTCCTCCTCCCCTGCCCATTCCCTTCTCCCCTTCCTCCTCCCTGGTTTATCTCTTACCCCTGGTTTACCCTTACACCTCTCCCCCCCCCAGGACCCGGGCTATGAGGTGCTGTGGAGCGCAGTGGACACCACCGTCGACGGTAGGGTGGGGTAGGGTGGGGTGGGGGTAGGGTCCCCTGGGGTCAGGTGAGGGGACTGGGATGACAGTAGCAAACACAAGGCAGCAACACCACCATGCCGCAACCCGGCAACCCACCCCGGCGTCCCCCGGCCTCTACCGCTCACCTCTGCAAACCACCCCCCACCAAATCGCCAGCACTGGGCTCACTCCCCCGCCCCTCCCTGGTCCCACCCGCCCCTCCCTGGTCCCACCCGCACCCCCCCCTGGTTCCACCCGCACCAGACCCGCGGCTGAGGCGCCAGCAGCCACTGTTCTTCGGCCCGCCACCCTCCTCATCCTCCTCCTCAAGTGCATGCAGCGGGGGACGCGAGGGGTGCGACGGTAGCGCCAGGGCTGGCGGCAGCGCTGGAGGCGGCGCCGGCAGCCGGAGTTGCAATAGTGATGGCGTTGTGGAAGATGACGACAGCAGCAGCAGCGGGAGCAGCAGCTGGGAGGAGGAGGAGGAGGAGGATGACCCATGGGTCGCTGCTGGTGGCGCCCCGCTGATAGCAGAGGTGCGGCGGTGTGCATGTTGCATTCCATTCCTGCCCAGCACTCAGTAGATCCTAATTGGCTGGGTAGGGGGTGCTTCCGGCTTGTCCTTCTTTTCCTTTGCGTGGCGCCCTATGCTCGCACTCTGCCCCACCTCCTCTCTCCCTCTCTTCCCCCCATTATCCAGCCTAATGCGGAATATATTTATGCCCCTCCCCAGGTTGGCCCCGGCGAGGTGCTGTACCTGCCCTCCATGTGGTTCCACCAAGTGGAGCAGCGGCTGGGGCCGGCAGCAGGGGCGGCAGCAGCGGCGGGGGCAGGGGAGGAGCAGGAGCAAGAAAAGGAGGAGGTAAAGGAGGAGGAGCAGCAGCAGGAGGCGGAGGGCGACTACGTGATCGCAGTCAACTTCTGGTAGGCCTCCTTCCCCGCCTGCGCTGCGTTTTTGGTTTCTCTTTGTTGCCTCCTCCTCTGTTGCCTCCCCCCCTCTGGTACCGTACAGGTATCCTCCCCGATGTGTACCGCCCTACCTGTACCCCTCCCTCCTCACCTCCCATGTTTCTTTCTTTTTCATTTTCAGTTCTCCCCTGCCCTCTCCCCCCTGCCCTCTCCCCCCTGCCCTCTCCCCGCTCCCGCAGGTACGACATGCGGTACGACAGCCGCTACGCGGACTTCAAGCTGGGTGAGGGGCTGGCGGTGCTGCTGGGGATGGCCCAGGAGCCGCCGGGCAGGGAGGGAGGGCGGGAGGGGGAGGAGGAGTGAGGGGGCGGGGGAGGGACTCGGAGGGGGGCGAAGGAGGAGGAGCGTTGAGGGGGAGGAGCGTTGAAGGTGTAGGGGCAGGTAGGGCCGAGTGATCAACGTGGCAATAGCATTGCGAGCGAGCTGCGGGGTGTGGTATGTGTGATGGAGGCTGGGATAGGGAGGGCAGGTGGGCAAGGGAAGAACACCCGATGTGTTGTATGGGAATGGCAGGCGGACTGGAATGCAGTCCTGCCTTTGGTCGTCTTGCTTTCGCGTGGCCCCACTCGAGGCTGGTAAGAAGACAAGTAGGGCAATGGCAAGGCGTTGCGGAATGGGTTGGTGGACGGAGGGTTGGTGGACAGTCGGCACTCGGCAGGAACGGGCGACCAGCTCCTGCGCTGGTTGGTGCGAGGTGGTCAGGTGCTGCGGGGCGGTCCCAAGCGAAGGGCGGTCCTTACGTGCGTTGTAATGCTTCGCTTTCACGCAGCGAAATGACTGGCCTAGATGCTGCATCCAACCGTATACTTAAATAATGGTTAACATGTGTACGTATGCGCGATATCTGGGCAGAGGCACTGACGCAGGTCATGAAACGCGGCAAATGGTCCTGTACGACGCATTGCACGCCCAGCATACACGTCTCCTTCGCGCCTCCCTTGCAATATGGAGAATAGCATCGCAGCTAACCTGACTACACAATAGGTACTTACTTCCAAGATGGGATCCCGCTTTATGGGAGAAATCTTTCAGCTTTAGCTGCGAAGCTAAGCGCAAGCAAGATTGTTTTATTGCGATAGTCCTAACCCAGCAATATGTGTACCGTTGAAAAGGTGAGGGCTGCTCAGAGCTGCTTCATAGCAGGCTGGCTGGCTGGCAGGCAGGCTGGCTGGCTGGCTAGCTGGCTTGATAATGTCTCCCGCCTTTCGCTTCTGTCACGGCACCTTTCGCGGACGGCAATCATCTTTACCTTCGTATGGCTCTGCTTACTAGCTGCGCTTGGATTAGGGAAGCCTGGCTGGCAACTGGACCCAACTGTTGCATTGCATCGCATGCCAATATCTCCCCGGCCACAGATCCTCATCAAGGGCATCCGCAGCTTTAGCCCCGACAATGAGTACGTCATCGAATTCTACAAGCCGCTCACGATCATCGTCGGGTCGAATGGCGCTGGCAAGACGGTGGGTGCTGACAGCTGAGCGGGGTTGCCTGGGTCATACGCCCGGGGAAGACGCTAATCCCCATGCTACAGCTTAGCTGCAGTCACATAACTAATCTCCAAACCTAGCGCCTGCCGTATGTCCGCGCTTCTAGCCCGCTGGGCGCCCTGCTGAAGTGCATGCCGTTGACCCAGTCAGCGCCTCATGAGCAGAACGCCACCTCTGGGCTTGGCTCTTCCTTCCACCCCTTCCTGTCCCAACACCACCTCCTCCCCCCCCATTTTCTCCCTCCCCACCTCCCTTCCTCCCCCCCTCATCAGACCATCATTGAGTGCCTGCGCAACGCCACCACGGGCGAGCTGCCGCCCAACACGCGGCAGGGGCAGGGCTTCGTGCACGACCCCAAGGTGGGGGGGAGGGGGGGCAGGGAGGGCTGGGGTAGGGGGGGTGCGGGGAGCGGGCAGGCATACGCACACGGAGGCTGACGGGAGGGACAAGGGGGTGGGTGATGGGTTTGGGAGCATTGTCCGCAAAGGATATGACTGTACGAACGCGCTATGGATGGGGTGTCAGCCTGGTGTGGAGTTGCGGCTAGGGCAAAAGACATGCGGGGGTGGTCGCGGTGCTGTGTAGGTTAGGGCGCCCAACACGACCCCCTCCCCCTTTCCTATGGTTCGGTATGGTCTTTGACGCCCCCCCCTCAGGTAGCGGGCGAGTCGGAGGTGAAGGCCCAAATCAAGCTGTCCTTCCGCACCGCCACCGGGCAGCCCATCTACGTCACACGCTCATTCCAGGTGGGGGAGGGTGGGGGGGGTGGAGAGCCGGGGAGCTGACGTGAGGGGGGAGGAGGTGGTGCAGGTTACCGGTACTGCCCGGTTCAGAGCGTCCTGGGAGTCCTGCTGTTCCCCGCATCCGAAACCCATCAACACCCTTCATCTTCCCACCTCCCTCCCTTCCCCTCCCACCCCCTGCCCCCCCCAGCTGACCCAGAAAAAGACTGCTCTGCAGTTCAAGTCGCTGGACGCGGTGCTGACGTGTCGCAACCGGCTGACGGGGCAGCGCGAGAGCGTCACCTACCGCTGTGCGGACCTGGACCGCATGGTGCCCACACTCATGGGGGTGTCAAAGGTGGGGAGCGGGGAGCGGGGTGGGGGTTCGGGGTCAGAGATCATATCGAACCACAGGAAACCACAGGGAGGCGGGGGGCGCGGGGTGCACAGAAGCAATGAAGGTGTCCATTGTGACCAGGGGGCCAATCCACCTCCCTCTCCTGCTCACCCGTGTTACGGTACCTGTATCTGTCCCTCTCCCCTCCCCTCCCTTCCCGCTGCCCCCGCCCCCCCCCCAGGCGGTGCTTGAGAACGTCATCTTCGTGCACCAGGAGGAGTCCAACTGGCCACTGGCGGAGGGCAAGGTGCTCAAGGAGAAGTTCGACGACATATTCGCCGCAACAAAGTACACCAAGGTGGGGTGTGGGGGTGTGGGGGTGTGGGGGCGGGGGGGGTGGGGGTCGAGTAGCTGCTGCTACGAGCAGCTGCTTTGCTACTGTAGTATACATTGCAGCTCATTGGGCCTAACAGCCCCTCCCTCCCTCGCCTCCCCTCTCTCCCCTCCCCCACAGGCCCTGGAGGCCCTGCGCAAGCTGCGCAGCGAAAAGGCCCAGTCGCTGAAGGAGGGGCGGCTGACGCTGGAAACCATCAAACAGGTAGGAGGGCGGAGGGGGAGGCCAGGGGCAAACTGAACCACACACGTGAGGGCAAGACAAAAGGGAGAGGAGACGGCAGGGTGGGGAAGGGACTTGGGTACAGGATTGGGGGCTACGACGCACGTATGGGATGGAAGGAAGGAGCTATAAACTGCTGCTCCCCTCCCCCCCCCTTCCGTGCTGCCTGCCAGGTTCGCGACATGGCCTCCCACCACACCCGGGAGCGGGACGCGGCGCGGGGGCGGGTGACGGAGGCGCAGCAGCAGCTGGCGGGATTCGAGGAGAAGGTCAAGGTAGGGGGGGAAGGGGTGGGGAGGGGTGGGGTGGGGCAGAGGGTGGGAGAGCGAGGGGCGCAGCAGCTAGGGAGGCGCTGCACGTCAGCTGGCAGCCCACCCCGCTCGCAACGTCCCCACCTGCCCTCACACTGCTCATCCTAACGCCCGCGTCGTCCCCTCTCCCCTCCCGCCCCCCTCCCCTTTCCAACCCTCCCGCCCCCCCCTCTCAGGACCTGGACTCCCAGCGCTCCTCGCTGTCCTCCCGGCTGGCCGAGGTGGAGGCGCTGGCCCGGCAGCTGAGCGGGCGGCGGGGGCAGCTGGAGCAGCTGAGGAGCATGAACAGGGAGCGGGAGGAGAGGTTCAGGGTGGGGAGGGGGAGGAGGGGACGGCAGGGGATGAATGGAGAAGAAAGGGGAGGGGGACTGGGGGATAAAAGGGGAGGGAGGGAAAAGGAGAGTAAGAGGAGATTCGCTTTTCTAGTGGATTACAGCCCTTGCGGTGATACTCGCGACCCGTGGGTCACACTGCCGGTATCCTAGCCAGGCGGACACGTAGGTAAGTAGCAGCAGCACCACCCACCCGCTTACCTCCTGTTGCTGGCGCTCCCCTTCCCCTCTCCATCATGCCCCCCCCTCCCCCCCCTCCCCAGGCCGCGGGTCGTGCCGACTTCGAGGAGAGCGACGAGGAGCTGCGGCGGCACCTGGCGGCCGCGGAGGCGGGGGCGGAGCAGCAGGCGGCGCGGCTGCGGCAGCTGGAGGGGGCGGTGGCGGGGGGCAGGAGGGACAAGGCGGCGGCGGAGGAGGCGTACCAGAGGGTGAGGGGGGGGGGGAGGGGGGGCGCGAGTGAGATGAAGATGGGAGGCATGCGGTTATCCCCCCGTCACCATGTCTATCCCCATCGCCACCGCCGAACCCAAGGCCCCGCTCTTGAACTCTTTCCATCCCCTCCCCCCCCACTACACCCCCCTGCAGGAGGTTGTTCGTCACGGCCAGCTGGTGGGCGAGGCGGCCACCCACTCCGCCAACATGGCGGCCCGGGATGCGGCCATTCGCGACACCGCAGCAGCACTGGGGCTGCAGCCGCCGCAGGAGGGGGAACAGGAGGGGGGCATGGAGGAGGAGGAGGAGGGGGGGCCGGCAGCAGGAGGCGGCAGGCGGGGGGGCTGGTCGGTGGCGGCTGCGGATGCGTTTTGCTTTGGGTCGGTGGGCGAGGTGGTGCGGCGGCGGGAGGCGAGGCTGCAGGAGCTGAGGGCGGAGGCAAGGTGGGGGGGGGGAGAGGGAGGGAGGGCGGGAGGGAGGGGCGCGCATGGTAGGCTGGGAGGCAGGGCGGTGGAAGCTAGGGGGTTGTTAGGGGTCTTGAAGTGGGAGCCAGCCGGATGACTTGTCGAGACTCCCCATACCCCTTGCCGCCCACCCCCCCCTCCCACGACCCATGCCTTGTCACACAGCCCGTTCGTTGTCTCGTCAGTTTCCTTTATTTTACCCCACCACCGCCACCGCCAGGTCCACCGAGTCGCGTCTGAGTGCCGCTGTGGACGCCGCCAGCTCGCAGCTGGCCCGGGCGCAGGAGGGGCTGCGGCTGAAGCGGCAGCAGCTGGAGGAGAACAGGGCGGCGATCAGCAGCTGCGGGGCGCAGGTAAGGGGGGGTTCCATGAGGAAGAAAAGTGGGGGAAGGGGGGGTGAGAGGACAGGACTAAAATTCGATGCCACTTCATCCGGGGGTATCGCCAAATCCGGGGGCGCAGGGCGGGGTACCTGTGCACAGGCTGAGTGAGCAGGTGTGGGGGAGCTACGGTCCACTGTACCAGGAGGCCCTTGTCATCTTCCCCTCCTCTCAACTGCCCCCTCGCTCCCCCCCAGATCCAGAGCAGCCAGGTGACGGAGGTGGGCGCCCGGGCGCTGCGGGAGGAGGCGGAGCGGGCGGAGGAGGCGTACCGCAGGAAGCAGGTGGGTGGGTGTGGCGGGGTGCAGGGCCAGGTTACAGGAGGGACCCAGACTTATGAAGGCGGGACAGTAAGCGCTTGGGTTCCTGCCCCGGTGCCCTGTCCCTCTCTCACTCTTTCACTTGCATTACCCACACCCACGTCAACCGCAACCCGCTTTCCCCGTCGAGCTCTTCACTTCTCTTTCCTCCTTACCCCCGCCCGTCCCCCTCTCTCCCCGCCCCTCCCATCAGTCCGAGGAGTCCTGCAGCCCGCTGCCCCGGCAGCTGGACGCCGCGCGGGCCGAGGTGGAGGGGCGCGGGCGGCGCATCTCGGAGCTGCGGGCGGAGCGGCAGCGGGCGGCGGCGGCGGCGGAGGGGGGCGCGGCGCTGCGGATGAAGCGGACGGACCTGGAGGCCAAGGAGGAGCAGGTTGGTGGGGTGGTGGTGGGGGGTGTAAAAGGAGGAAACTGACAAGCTAGGCGGGAGGTAAGGGGGTGAGTGGCTCCATGCCAGCAGTCATCGTCGCACCCATCATTACTCCGCGTCCAACACGAAGGCCCTCACATTCCCTACTGCTACCCTCTCCCTCCTCCCCCTCCCCCCCCCAGCTGCGCAACGTGCTGTCCGCCCGGCGTCTGGACCTGTCCCGGGCGCTGGGGCTGCCCCCCGGTGCGCCGCTGCCGCCCGCCGGCCCCGGTCCGGGGGGGCTGCGGGCGGCGTGCGAGGCGCTGCTGGGGTCGCTGCGGGGGCAGGAGGCGGAGCGGCTGGCGGCGGCGCAGCAGGCCAACAGGGAGGCGGAGGCGGCAAAGGTGGGAGGGGTGGGATGGGGAGGGAAGGAGAGAAGGAAGGAAGGAGGGGTTCGACAATCGTCGTCCTAATCCTCAATGGTCCCCACTACCCTCATCCCTGTCCTCCTCTTCCTCCTCCCCACCACCCTGCCCCCTCCTCCCCCCTCCAGTCCGCAGCCACCTCCGCCGCCCAGGCCGTGTCCCGCTGCCGCGGCGACCTGGAGCGGCTGCGCGGGGAGCTGCGGGGGGGCATGGCGGCGGCGCTGGGTGACCCGCGGGTCGGCGAGGAGGACTACAACAACCGGGTGACGGCGGTGCAAAAGGTGGGAGGGGGAGGAGGGGGTCTGTGCTGCCATGGGGGGTGGAGCCTTGGAGGGTTGACGGTGGGGTGGGAGGTGGTGGGATGGATGGTGGCAAGATCCGTCGGCGAAGAACGGGTCTGCTTGTTGCACGCCTCCCTTCCCTTTCTGTCTGTCATGATGCTGAGGCACAAGTCCCTTTCCCCCCATTGCTTTGCCCTAACCTGTGGTCTCCTATGGTTTGAATGGTCTTTGATCCCCCTTTCCCCCCCTTCCCCCGCCCCCCTCCTGCCCCCAGGCCGAGGACAAGCGGCGCTCCCGTCTGGGCAAGGCGCACGCCATGCAGACGCTGTTCGGCTCCTACCGCGAGATGGTGGTGGGCGGACACGACTGCCCGCTGTGCAGGAGGGGATTCAGCGAGGAGGAGCGGAGGGCGTGTGTGGAGTACATCGACCAGGACATGAGGGTGGGAGGGGGGAGGGGAGGGAGGGGAGGGAGGGGGTTGAGAGGGGGGCATGATGGGCTGGAAGGCCTGCATCCTACCCTGCTTACGGGCCCCTGCCGCCTGCCAGCCCGGGGGGGCTCCGTCCTAGCAGCGCCTGAGACTGAATGGCGTCAGCCATGCAAGTGAGATCGCCTGAAGTGGCTGTCGCTCAACAGCCACGGACCGCACCCCTCACCCCCCCCCCTTCGGGTGGTTTGGGTTTTCTCTCTGCCGCCGCCTGCTACCCTCATTGCTTTGCCCTAACTTATTCACTCCTATGGCTCTTCGACCTCACCTCCTCCTCCCTCCAGGACCTCCCCTCCTCCATCGCCGACTGCCAGTCCTCGCTGGCGCAGCTGCAGCGGCAGCTGGATGCGCTGCGGGGCCTGCAGCCCACCTGGGTGCGGCTGGGCGACCTGGCGGGGCGGCTGCCGGGGCTGGAGAGGGAGGCGCAGGCGGCGAGGCAGGCGGAGGAGGAGGCGGCGGAGAGGGTGAGGAGAGGAGAAGCAGGGGGAGACAAGAGGGGGGAGGTTCGGGATGGAAAGGCCTCTGGTTGTGGGAATGGGTGTGAACAGGATTGGCATGATTGCGGGAAGAAGAAGTGTATCCTAATTCAAAGACTGTCTACCATTTCTTACTCCTGTGCAAGGCTCCTGGCACAGCTGCAACCCCCCCTCCCCGCCTCCCTTTCCCCTCCAGGCCGAGGCCTCCCAGGCCGACTACGCGGAGGTGCAGGAGCGGGTCCGGGAGCTGGGTCGGCTGCACGCGGAGGTGGTGTGGCCGCTGGACAGGCTGGGGGCGGAGGTGGAGGGGCTGAGGAGGGAGGTGAGGGGGAGGGGTGGGGCTGGGGATAAGGTGGGGAAGGGTGTAAAGAGGAAGAAAGTAACTAACCGTGGGCGACGAGGCTCCACCTGTGCGTTGCATCATGGTTGTCGACCCATACCGCTCAGCCCGAATGGTCAAGTCAAGACATTAGGAGGACTTACCAACCGGATGTACCGTTCCCGCCCCTCCCTCCCCCCCTCCCCCCCTTCCCCCCCCCCCCCCCCCCCCTCCCCCCCCAGGTAGCCCACCTGGAGGTCGCTGCCGGTCTCTCCTCCTCCTCCTCCTCCTCCTCCGCTGCCCCCCCTCGCAGTGTGGGCGAGGTGGACGCGGAGCTGGAGGCGGAGGAGGCGGGGCGGCAGGCGGCGGAGGCGGCAAGGGACGCGGCACTGCAGAGGATGAACAGGTGAGGGGGGGGCAGAGATATACCAGGACAACTGGTTAGGGCAAAGCAATGGAGACAGAGTGAAGCAGGCTGTCACGGTATTTTCTCATCCATGTGCAGCTTGCTGTCCGCGTCCGTCCTTTGCTGGAGGCTCCAAGGCTTCTACATGCCTGCCCTTTCCACTACCGTGCTCCTCCCCCCTCCCCTCCCGCCCCTGCAGGCTGCGCGACGAGGTGTTGGCCGCCCAGCGAGTGGCAATGTCGGCCCAGCAGCGGGCGCTGGAGGCAGCAGCGGCAGTACACAAGGTGCAGGAGCTGCAGAACAAGGTAGGCAGGGGAAGGGGGAGAGGGAAATCCTATGCTGTGGACCGGCGCAGGGCTTTCCGTTCGTTTGTTGCCGATGCCACCTGACAAGCGCTGTACTGCCTCTCTGCGCTCCTCCCCCCCTCCAACATCATGACCTCCTCCTTCCTTACCGCCTCCCCTCCCCACCTAGATTCGCGAGCTGGAGTCCGCCAGTGTCGTGTTGGAGGGCGAGGTGGCGGCGGCAGCGGCCCTGCTGGCCCCCCTGGAGGCGGAGAGGGAGGCGGCGGGGCGGGGCAGGGAGGAGGCGAGGCAGCGGGCGGCGGCGGCGGTGGCGGTGGCGGAGGAACAGGCGAGAGGGGGAGGGGTGTGTTAAGAAAGCTGTGGGTGCGGGTGGGGTAGCAGACGCTTGGGTTGGCGTGTAACCGCAGCGGATGCAGCTGTCCATAAACCGCAGCGTTGAGCAGGCGTACCGCGCGGTTTAAGCAGAGGCTGCGTCGCCTTCCTTGCTCTCCTATGCCACCGCTTCCCGTCTCATTCCTCCCTCCCCCCTTCTTCCCTCCCCACCCCCACCCCCATACACCCACACAGCTCCGTGACGCTCAGCTGCGTCAGTCGCAGCTGTCAGCGCTGGTGCGGCAGGTGTCGGAGTACGAGGGAGCGGGGCGGGGGCGGGCGCTGGCGGCGGCGGGGGAGGCGGTGGCGGCGGCGCGGGGGCGGGTGGAGGCGGCGGGCAGGCAGCTGGCGGAGTGGGAGCGGGAGTTGGAGGAGATGTGGGTGCTGGGGGGGGGGATGGGGGGAAGGCTCTACTTGCAATGGATTTGGCGAGTGTAAACACGGTGCGGTTTTACAGTGTATGGCAAAGCTGTAGCGGGATACCTCCCTATCCCTGTTCGCTCTGGCTTCGGTAAGTCTTCCTTTTTTGGTAAGTGCATTACACGTACTGGCTTCGCTAATTCGGGCTGGGCGGGTCGGGCTGGCTCACATGTTGCAACCCATGTTGACGCCTTATCCCTCAGTCAGTTAGTTGTTTCCTCTTTACCTCCCTCCCCCAGCCGTCAGCAGCTGGTGGAGGACGCTGCGTTGCGTCGCGACGTGGCGGACGTGTTGGAGCTGCGGGCGGGGCGGGCGGCGGAGGAGGCGGCGGAGAGGGAGCTGGCGGAGGGGGCGGAGCAGCTGGCCAGGGTGGGGCAGGGGGGGGGGGGGAGGGGGAGGGGAGGGGGACAGCATGGGGAGGAGACTAAGAGGACAGTGAAGGGGGGAGGGAGCCTCAGTCCTGCACAACGACGGGCCGTGTTACTCGGGTTGTCCTCTTCTCCTGCACCCCGCTTGCTTCCGATGCCTCCCTCCCTTCCCCCCCCCAGGTGGGCGACCCCGGTGCCCTGCAGCGGCAGCTGGCCGCCCTGGGTGAGCAGCGGGATGCGCTGCGCTCGCGGCAGGACGTGCTGCGGGGGCAGCAGCAGGCGGCGCAGCAGGCGGCGCAGCGGGCGCAGGGGGAGCTGAATGACGCCAAGTGAGGGGGGGGGAGGGGATGAGGGCGTTACGGGCTGCCGCTGCGCATACCCGCATACCGGTACACCACCGGCCGAGGCGCCTTGCCTCTCATGTCTCACCCTAACCTCCTTCTTTCCCCCACCTCCCTCCCCCCCCCCCAGGTACCGCGACATCCACAAGCGCTACGCCTCTCAGCAGGTGGCGGTGAAGACCACCGAGCTGGCGCTGTCGGACCTGGACAAGTACTACAAGGTGGGGTGGGGGGGTGGGGGGGTAAAGAGGAAACGAGGTGGGGGGGGGGGGGGACGTGAGGTGAGGGGTGTCTCCCAGCAGCCAGTCCTTCTTGTCCTTGGAGCTCGCACGCCCCCTCGCATGCTCCCTCCTACTTCGTACGGTTCGTTAGCTGGCTCCTCTTTACCCTCTGCCACACCCTGCTCCTTGTCTTACACTCACTTATGTGTGGTGTTTCGCTAACCCCCTGCCTCATCCCCCCCCTCCCATCGCCTCCTCCTACTATACGCATTCTCTACACGCTACCCCTATACCGCATTGCAGAATCTACATACCCCGTTATGCTATTAACTCCCTCCCCCCTCCCTCCCTCCCCCCCCAGGCCCTGGAGAAGGCGCTGCTTGTGTTCCACTCCAGCAAGATGGCGGACATCAACAAGGTGGTCAAGGAGCTGTGGCAGAAGACCTACCGTGGGCAGGACATAGACTACATCCAGATAAAGGCGGACACGGAGGGGGCGGGAACGAGGTCGTACAACTACAGGTGAGGGGTGGGGGGGGGGGGGAGAAGAAGTACCATGCATAGAGGGGAGGGTTGGAGAGGGAAGGACGGGACGCGGGTGATGGTATTGAGCAGAGGCCCTGATCAGGCGACGCTGTCCTTCGTTCCCTCCTTTCATCTCCAAGTGTGGTGAGCACGTGAGCCTCTCGTTCTGTCACACTCCCCCCACCGCCCTCCTCTCCTCGCCCCCTTCCCGCCCGCCCCCAGGGTTGTCATGTACAGCGGCTCAGCTGAGTTGGAGATGCGGGGGCGGTGCAGCGCGGGTCAGAAGGTGCTGGCCTGCCTCATCATCCGGCTGGCGCTGGCGGAGACGTTCTGCCTCAACTGCGGCATCCTGGCGCTGGATGAACCCACCACCAACCTGGATGCGGGTGGGGGGGCTGGGGTGGAGAGGGGGAGGGGATCAAAGACCATACCAAACCACGGGGGAGAGGGAGGGGGGGAGAGGGAGGGCTTGGAGCGGGGCGGCGGGTGAGTGAGATCCCGCAGGGGGGGGTAAAGAGGAACCAACTAACTGACCGTGTGTAGGGAGGAGGGGCTTGCTCGGTCCTCTGGTCTGACCGACCTACAACGTTTTTACTGACTCCCAGCCCCCTCGGTCATCTACCATCCACCATCACCACCACCTGCCACTGCCTGGTTTGGTTCTCCTCCCTGCTAACTCCCACCCTACCCCATCCCTCCTCCTTCTCTCCTCCTTCCGTCCTGCCCCCCACCCCCAGAGAACAGCGCCAGCCTGGCTCGCGCGCTCAAGTCGCTGATGGAGTCGCGCGCCGGCCAGGAGAACTTCCAGCTGATCGTAATCACGCACGACGAGGCGTTCGCCACCCTGATCGGCAGCCGCGAGGTGGCGGACAGCCTGTGGCGGGTCACCAAGGACCCCGCAACGCAGCACACGCTGGTGACTCCGGAGGCGCTGAGGGACTAGGGGGGTGGGGGTGGTAAGTGCATAGGGTCTAGGGGGGTGGGGGTGGTAAGTGCATAGGGTCTAGGGGGGTGGGGGTGGTAAGTGCATAGGGTCTAGGGGGGTGGGGATGGTAAGTGCATAGGGTCTAGGGGGGTGGGGATGGTAAGTGCATAGGAACTAGCGCGACGGGATGGAGGGGGAGGGGTCAGAGGTATTCCAAAGCCACAGGTTAGGACAAGGCAATGGGGAGAGGGGGGGGGGTGTCAGCTCAGCCAGGGGAGAGCTGGCGAGTGGCGGGATTAGGGGGGAAGGAGAGGAGCGAGGTGAGGGGGAAGATGAGAGGCAAGAGAGCAGGGGAGAGGGCGCTGCAGGAGGTAGGCGCGAGAGGGCCGGCATGGGGAATGGCGTAGGCGCAATGCATGGAGCAGCAGTGGTGGGGGAGGTAACAGATAGAGATGCAGGGTCAGCAGCTTGCTGTGGCGATAGTACCGGAGTTCTAGCAGCAGGAGCACGAGTAGCAGCAGCAGGAGTTGTGTATGCAAGGTGATGTTGTTGGGTTTCCCGCCGCATCCTACCTGGCTACCTGGCTTACTTGGTTGGTTGGTGAGGACAGCTGAGGATGTCTGATGGCCCCTTTGGGGACGTGGGTTGGGCATGGTAGCTGGAGGAGCACAACGAGGTCGCATGGCATGGGCACGTGCGCTGAGCAGGATGTGCGGTGATAAACGGTAGGTTGACGACACTGTGTGTGACAGTAGCACCGTAGTACTACCGGTAGTAGTTGATATGCATAGCTCGTTGGGTTGCTTGGTCGTACACGTATGATAGCGTAGCAAGGAAAGCTGGTGGGGAAACCTTATTCTTAGCGGCAGGTGTCAACAGGTAGGAACTAATTGTGTTTCAAGAAGGTTGCCCTGTTGGGTGAGACCCGGATGTAGGTGTGGGATATCCGCACCGTGCTATCGACAGTAGATAGACCACATGTGACAGTGCGGGGCTGGGGTCACCGATATCCGGGATGCGGGGCGGGGTCCTGTAAGAGGCACCTGCTGCAGGCCTGCAGGACGTACCAAGCGGGGAAGCGGCACGCGCTAGGCAGGTCTCCGCACATGGTGGGGGACTAAGGGGGCAACTGCAAGGTGCGCACGGATGCTGGGTAGACGGGTCCTTAAGCTTTCCCGTGGTTGTGCGCATGCACGGTAGCTGAACATGGCTGCCATGGTTTGTGGGCAAGGTGCGAGCGTCTTGGCTCTTAGGCTTGGCCGTGTGCCTCACGTTTTCGTCGGCCTCGCGCAGTGTAGCCCAATGTCACCAACCCACAGCATTCATCCATGACAATCTATGCTATATGAAAGGCAACTAGAGCTCTGGTACGAAATACAGAGCTGACATGTCCAATAACCGAAAACGGTGCACGTTTACACAAACGCGGATTTCGGAATGCTGCATACGGTAGGTCGGTTTGCAGTTACGTACAAGACTCTTGACGGTTGGAGCATGCCCACACTTGCCGGATAGATCTGCCGGATCCTGAATGCAAGCCAATTTTTCTCAATCTGCTCAAGTATATCACCGATGAGGAAGACCCATTTGGAAGCCAAGTCCACACTCCGAAGCCTTGGCGCCAACGGGCCAAGCTTAAGGCATATCAATAAAACAAAGCTGGCTTCTATCGTTAACAGACTTTCATTAACTTAGCGGCTGCCTGGGGTAAAGATGAGCACTGCAACAAAGGCCTTCGCATCCCGGCGGGAGGAGCTGCGCAGGCGCTTGGTTGTCAGTCAACTACTTGTAGAGCAAGAAGAAGGCCATCGTCACGAGGCGCGGAAAGGCCGATTGGTGGTCCGCGAGCCAGAGACGTCCAGCAATCGCGACATACCAACTGGTCCCTCCAAGTCTGCCGCCCCTCCTCCTCCCAGCCGCTCCGAGCAGCTGGCTCTGGCCAGCCTGCACCGGCGGTACCCCATCGCCACGTTCCTCGCCACGCGGGGGCGCGGACGCGGCAGGGGAGGCGCGGGCGGACCCGCCAGGAGGTGGAGCAAGTACCTCCACCTTGCTCCGCCTAAAGCAGCCAGCAACCACCTTGCTTCCGAGGCCGTACCGTCCGAAAAGGACGAGCGAGCTGTCATGGAGGAAAGATTCCGAAAGCTGCAGCTGGAGATGGCCATCTATGCTCTTCAGAAGGGACTGCTGGCACCACACGAGCTTCAAGCCCAGCGGCGCTTCGACGAATGCCTGCAGTTCCAAGCGACTTGCGCGCCGAAGATCCTGCGCGCATACCAACTGGTGACCGCCTCCGAAACCACCGAATTCACGCCGGTCGAGCCTGAGGGCCACGGCTCAGGTGCAGACCGCGAGGGCGAGACCGAGCAGCAGCAGCAACAACAACGTCCCCGTAGGAGCAGCAGCGCTGGCGAGGTAGCTCCCGCCTCCTCCTCCGCCTCCGACCCTCCAGCAGCCCCTGCGGGAGGCCTCCAGGAGCATATCGCCCCTCAGCGGTCTGGCGCTCAGCGGGCTTGCGCTCGCCTGCGGCCGCTGCTGCGCTGTGGAACCGCCCTGTACGACAGCTACAAGCAGGCGGCGGCTAGGGAGGCTGCGCTCAGGCCCCTGGAGCAGCTGCCACACCGGCTGCGGCTGCTGCTGGAGGTGGACTGGACGGAGGAGGTGGCGCGGCAGTCGGAGCGGCGGCAGCGCAGGCAGATCCCCGAGCTGGCCCGACAGCTGCTGGAGGTGCTGCGAGAGTTCTGGCCGCGGCTGGCTGCAGCGCCGGAGAGGTGGGGAGGGTTGAAAGGAGAAGGAGAAGACGAAGAGGTGAAGCACTGGAATCCATTTTACAGTGCACAAAGGGGAAGGAGATGGGGAGGGAGCGCAGGGGAGGGGGCTGCAGCAGCAGCTGGGGCGGCCTGGGGCCCGCTGGTAGCGGCGGTGAGAAGGGTGGCGGCTGTGAGTAAGATGCAGGGCGGGGAGGCGGAGCGAGAGGAGGAGGAGGAGCAGGAAGGACGGAATGCAACGCTGGTGAGAGGGGCGAGGGCGGGATGAGGGGGCGGTGGCGTGCGGGGCGCGGGTTTTGTTGTTTGGGTTCCGGTTGGCTCAGTACTTAAGAGAGCGAAGGGGCATACGGTTACAGTAGCGGAAATCGGTTGGCCGGGGCGACTTGGGGCTGACATGGTTTGTGGGTGAGTCTTGCGTGTTCGCGAGGGGCCGCCTGTGTTTTTTGCTGTGCACGTGGCCGCATGGCTCCTCCCTTCCTACCTATAGCTGTTTCGTGCCTTACCCCATGTGCCCGCATTGCCTTACCGCCCTTCACATAATCCCCTTACAACCCCTTGTACGACAATCACCGTACGACACCAGGTACTGCTGACAGCCATGCAAGGACTCGCTCTCTTGTACGGCAACGAGCCACTGTACGACGAGCTGGACCCCCTGGTTTGCGCGCACTTGCTGGGCACATTGGAAAAGGCGTTAACGGTTGATAACGGTGCAACAACTGGTAGGGACAAGAACAACAGCGCTGTATCAGCACAGTACGAATGGAACTTATCGCGACGACAAATGTACGACATCATTGCGAGTACTCCGCCGCCGTACGAAACGGAATCCGATGCAGTGGATTACGGTGCGGTTGGCGATGACGAGACCTCAACGAGGGCCCCGGCGGCGTCATCGCTATCCTCCACACTGCCAGCATCGTCACAGCCGCCGTCGCCCTACTTTCCTCGTTTCTCCGAACAACACATGGCCGTCATCCAGTCGGCTCTGAAGCCGGGGACGTCTGCCGTACAATCCCTAGCGGCGGTGGCGCTCTTCCGAGCAGTGGCCGCCGCCGCCGGCTCTTCTCGACAGTCGACGGCGGACGTCATGTTCGGCGCCGTGACCGATGTGTTGGCTGCGCAGGCTTTGCATGCGCACTGTGGGGTGGTGGAGGAGCGGGTGGCGAGGCGGGCGGCTGGGGAGTCCTTGCTGGCGGGACCGCAGGAGGAGGAGGAGGATGAAGAGGAGGGGATAGCCGCGGAGGTTCTTGCAAGGCTCTCCTTGGTAGAGAAGAGCCTGGCGGAGGCAGGATATTCACTGCGATCCCTGGCGCCTGCGCCGCCGCTGCTGCTGCCACCGCCGCCGCTGTCGCCACCACAACGACCGCGGCAGAGCGGCCCGCATTGGCGGCAGCAGCATCTGGAGCAGGAGGAGCAGGAGGCGGGAATCGGGGCAGTGAGGGCAGGAGCTGCAGTCATACGGCGAGGGCACGTGGTAGTGGACGATGATGCGTTTGACTTTGACAGTGAGGACGATCTGATAAGCAACAAGGTGCTGGAGGAGTGGCTGAACGTACCGGCGGAGGGGCTCGGGTACGAGGAGGGGATGCCGCAGCACCAACGGCTGCACTATACCTTCACCACTGGCACTGCCACTGCCCTCTCCAGTCCTACTACCTCTTCTGTTGAGGGTGGTGGTGAGGAAGAGGAGGGTGAGCCGGGGGCGGATGATGATGAGGAGGAGGAGGAGGGTGAGGTACGGCGGGAGGCCCATCAGCCGTGGTGCACCAGGTATCACCCTGCCGGCAGGGGCCTGCATGCGGGTGGCGATGACAGCTCGTCAGAGGGGGACAGCTCGTCAGGGAGGGGGCCGTCTGGGTACCTGGAGGAGCAAGAGCAGGAGGAGGAGGATGAGCCCAGGAGCACCCTGGAGGGTTTCCGCGGCCGCTTCGGCGCAGGCGTGCTGAGGGTCATGCACATGCTGCTTCGTGGGAAGGCCATGCTGGAGGCCACGGTACGGCACAGGCCGATGCAGCAGCAGCAACAGCCGCATCAACCGCAGCCGTTGGTGATGGATTTGGAGAACGCGGGCCAAGCTGCCATGGCGATGCTGCTGCTGTACGAGTGCTCCGCGAGGACCCGACAGGAACTGATGTTCCAACCGGTGAGTGGAGTGGAGCAGTGAAAACTGGCTGCGAGTGCGTTTGAAACCCCTGCCACAAATTAGAACATACTTGTGTGTGTGCCGTACCCGAGCGAGGTTGTGTATGTGTGGGTAACTGGGCATGTGCACGCCCCGAATACGATTACCAATCGCCGCATGCAGCGTGCTCCCAGTGCTCACATCCCTCCGATGTACCCGCGCTGCCCAGTCCACAAAGCGGCTCATGCAGCATGCTGCTCTTGCTTCCTCGCCACACCCTGGCGCGCCCCCGCGCCACTGCAACACCACCCCTCGCCGGCCTGCTGCCCCGCCCCTCCACCCCCCGAAAACGCCTTCTCCTCTTAACCCTCCTATCCCCTTCCTGCCGCCTTCCCGCCTGTCCTGCAACCCCCGCATCTCGCACAGGCAACCAATACACCGTTACCCACGTCACAACCGACCCCACCGACCCACGGGGAGCCCCCGGGTCCCCTGCGTCTGGAGGTGCGGCCCGGGTGGTTGCCGCGGCACCAGGTGCAGGGCTCGCTGGGGCCCGGAGGCGCGGAGGGCGGTACGGCAGCACGTGAGGGCACGCAGCTGTACGACCACCGCAAGATCAAGAGCGTCACCGTGACAGGCAGCAGCAAGTGGGTGGGGAGGGGTTGAGGGGCGAGGAGGGAGACAGAGAGGGGTTACGGGTCTGATGTACCCTCCGGTATGGAGGGAGGATAGGAGAGTAAGGAAGCAAGCGTGTGACTCGAGTGGATCCACCCCGTGCACTGCATCATGTTGCATGCCGCCTCCGCCCCCGCTCTGCCCCCACCGCCCGCAGGTGTGCTCCGCAGCTCAAGGTTGTACGGCGGTCGTTGCTGTCGGAGCAGCTGGGCGCGTGCTGGGTGAAGGGGCAGGGTGTGATGGGGGTGCTGCGGGCGCTGCAGCTGGTCGCGCAGGTAGGCTGGGCTGGGGCGGTGTGGGGCGGGGCGGGGGTGTCAGAGTGTACCGGTACACTGACTGCACTGGGGCTTGAGGATGGGCAAAGCTCGTCGTCGCCCTTGTACGCCCTTGGCCTGTCTGGCCCTTCCTCTCCCTGCATGGCAGCAATGCTCGACTCCATCGCGTTCGACTCAAGGCACCATATGTACGGCATCTGCATTTGAAGTGCTAATCCTGATCTTTTGCAGGTACGGCAGGAGATGCTTGCCCAGGGGCGAGATCTGGTGGCTGGCGTGGCATACCTACCAGCTGAGCTCCTCGACTCGCTCGAGGAGGAGCAATGTGCGGAGCAGAGACGCGCGCAGCGGGAACGTGGTCGAGCTCCTGCTGGTTCCAAATCCAGGCCGGAATCCAGATCTAGTTCCTGCTCTTCGCTAACCGTTTCGTCGGGCCCGCGATACCGCCATTACAAGCGGGTTCGGGATGCCGCGCGGGATGTAATGGAGTGCGCGGAGCGGCTCAAAGTGGATGTGGATGTGCAGCTGGTGTGGCAGCAGCGGCAGCAGCAGCGGCGCCAGCGTGCATCCCATAACCGCCAGCACCGGCACTGGTGGCAGCGGCCGCACCTCAGTACCAGCAGCAGCGGCAGTCCTACCCAGCAGGGGGAGCAGGAGGAGCAGTGGGGTGAAGCGGGCAAGCCCCTGGACGCCTCCGGTGGTGGGGGTGTTGATGAGGGCGATGATGATGATGATGATGACGAGGAGGAGGAGGAGGATGCCAGGTTGGCGGCTTGGTGGGCGGGTGTGGGAGACGGGCCGGGGGAGGAGCGGGTGTGGCTGGAGGAGGTGCGGAGGAGCAGGGAGGCGGTTGGTGTGCTGGGGAAGGCGAGGGAGGGCGTGGAGGTTTTGGAGAGGAAACTCAAGGACGAGGGGGGGCTGGTGTGGGAGGGTCTGGAGGTGCGGCTGCTGCTGCTGGAGTGTCAGCCTGGTCGGCCGGAGCGGCTGGTACCGCCGGGCAGGGGGCAAGCGGCAGCAGCAGGAGCGGCAGCAGGGACAGCAGGAGGAGCGGCAGGAAAGGCAGGAGGAGGGGCGGCAGGGAAAGGATCAGCTACGGCTGGGAATGGTCCGGGTGAGAAGCGTCAGGGGAAGGGGAAGGCGCAGGAAGAGAAGCGTGGCGGTAAGGGGCAGGGGGGTAAGGGCGGGGAGGCTGCGGCGAGGAGACGGGAGTTGGAGAAGTTGATGTTGGCGGTGTGGTGAGGGCTGCAAGGAAAGGGCTGCGGATGATGCAAGGAGGTCAGAGATATGAAGGGCGATGGGCGGTTCGGACGAATGCGGTTTAGAGCAGAGCATGTGCTTAAACGAGCACCGTGCCTGTCCTGATAGCTGTACAGGTTACAACGCACTGCTTCCAGGAATTTTGTTGTGGGGTATGGTCGTATGGTCCAGGGGCACAAGGCAGGATGTGACCAAACCGTGTGTGATAAGCATGATCATTTTACAACAATGTACGTAGCACAAGCCGCGTAGACACATTGCCCGAGCCCTGCACTACGCATGGGCGTTCCGTACAGTGGGAGCTATACAGAGTCTGGGGGCGCCGTGTCCCTGTGCACGCAGGCACGCCTCCCTTGTAATGGTATCTGTCTTACGCGATGCTTAGCCAGCTTCCCTTGTTGTTTGTCTGTGCTGGACGGCGCGTTGGGATCCCAGGCCAGTGTACCGGTAGTTAGGATCTGAGACAGCTGGCGACTAATGCTGGGGTTGGTCCATATTTGGTAAGTTTAAAGGTTTGATGGACGTCCAGATGTGGCAAATTCGGCTCGAGTGACCTAGTTCCATTCACCAGGAGCTCATCGGCTTGTTTGCCATTCTCGGTCAACACTATATTCTTCCCCACCTTGAACTTGGTTATTCAAACAGAGCTCGCTGCCTCGTATCTGCAGCAATTTCCTCTGGCTATAAAGTTGCATAAAAAAGAAGGGGGTACAACAACATGGGTTGCAGATGCGAAACTACAACAGAACACAATAGGTGAAGATTTCACACTTTAAGGGGTAAGGTAGTATGCCATCGGAAAAACCGTCCGTCGCGAGGGTGGCAGGGAGACTTGTAAGGCAAAAAGGCACGGAAGCCAGACAGTGTGGTTACCGGTACGCAGACCTGACGAGGTGTTCCTAATTTCTTCCTTTGTCGGTATTTTAAGTTGGCCGAGGGTTCGAGCCTATAGGCTGTACGGAACTGGTCTTGGCGATTTGGAACTGGAACTTGTTGCTATGTCCTATTTCCGATGGACCCAAAGCATCATGCATGGTTTGCAATCGATGAAGGAATTTGGCAATTTTCTGTAGACGCATGCTTTTGTATCAAGGCCGTGGTTCTGACAGACTCTGACAGGTGTAGCTGCTCTCTGTCCTTCAGTACTATTTTTTGCGCGCTGATGACGCCCTTCTATCTCTTTACTGCATTCACATGAATGCGTACCGGTAGAAGAACGGTTTACATGTATCACCTCAGACTCGAGCTGTGACCTTACCTCTCTCTTTTACTTCTGGTTCTGCAAAGACTTTATATTCTTGAAATGTCTGGCAGCGGCAATCTGCAATCGGTCTCTGTTGGTATGTTCTATTCTTTCGCAATTGAAAGTTCCTTGGGCACGTTTGGGCTGGCCTGCCACCGGTTCGTGCTCCGTTTTCTGGTGACACGAAATCGCAGGAGGCAACACGTCCCCGAACGAACCTGCGCTCGTGCTGGCTGCAACCTGCTCTGTTGAGGCTACATGTGCTCACTGTGTGGCTGGCCCGGATGCGGTGACGCTAACCGTTCCGCCGATTGAGGTGCCGTTAACTTGTGCAAGCTGTGTAAGTTTGGCCCAAAACAGTTGGCTCAAAGATTGCATTACCCAAGGGCCCCATCATACATTTGGTCCGTATCTGACAACACTCTTCGCGACGCAGGCAGACGACAAGTCAAACGCGACAGAGGCCGACTGTAAGTCGAACAGCGTGTACCATGTGGCCTTCCGCATTTTCTGCGAGGTGCTGGTGTCCAGCAAGGAGGGTTTCCCACTGGACCAGCCAGTAATCACGGCGCTGTTTTTCCTCCTGGTCAGCGCCTGGCTTCAGATCCACCTTCTTGTCGTCATCCTCCAGAGCATCAGCTGGCAGCTTGGCCCGAGTGTCAGCGACATCGCCAGCTCCCTCTACTCCATGTCAGGCGCTCCCCCTGCACCTCCACCCTCCCAGTTTGGCGACTATTTCTATGCCAGCAACAAGCTAGCAGTCATTATCTCCCGCATCTTGGTCTTATTTTACATCACTGGGGTGGCGGAGGATGAGTTATCAATAGTTGACATCCCTACATCCTGTGGCCAACACCCCGTCAAAAGCTTCTTAACCTATGTGGCGTACTTTGGAGCACTCCTCTGCCCTATTACCCAGGCGTGCGTTGCGGGCTTCGCGGTCTACGTCACCTACGCCTACCTGAACAAATTCGACACGGTGGGGGAGGTGGTGCTCAACGGCGTGGGTATTTCATTCGTCCTTGAAATCGACAATGTAATGGGCAGCAAACTCAGTGAGGCAGTGGCTCGAGCCAAATCACTCAGAAGCTTGTTGCAGCTGGCGCCCGCGAACAACAGTAACGCCTCAAAGCTGGACATGGCACGATGGCACCTAACCCTGGCGTTCACCATGAGCTTCATCAGTATTGGCTACCAAGCCCTTTGCCTGTACTGCCTCTGCAACATCGCCGATTGGAGGTACAACAGCCGTACGATTGCCGTGTTTGCGTTGGCGCTCTTCACAACAATTTCCACCATGTCGTCCGGTCGTTGGCTGGTCAAGCTCCTCCAATCTTGTCGTTTGCTATTTCCCTCGGCTTTTAGCAAGACCTGGATTAGCTCAACTCTTTTGGCTAGGTTGGCAGCGATGAAGCATTGAAGAGCAAGGCATGATCCCCAAGGATGTGACCCTGTTAAAGAGAGGAAGTGTGGCAAGAGGTAACGACAACAAGAGACCGGTGGGATCATAGTTGCATTTGCTCCGTTTGCACGGGGGGGGGGCGTCCTAATTGTGACTGGTTTGTTAGAAACCCATGCCACGTTGACACATCGGCGTGCACGGGGCACCACAGTGGATGAAGGGCCGTTACAGTGGCTACAGTGTTGTTGAAGTTGAGGTTGAAAAAGGCGGGTGCTACTTCGTGTTACATGCAGCCTTGAGTGTCGCCATCTGTTCATAAACCCGTGGGCCACCATGTGTGTTGTGATCTTTGAACCATCTTAAGTACACAAAGTACACAATTACGGCAATATCATGGGGAGGCCGTGCCGCTTGCTCATTTCTCTCCTTTTGCATCTTGGTTTGGTACGCTAGCCTGGTACATTACACATCACAAATACGATTGGTCAGGAAGTGGGGTGCCGTGCATACGATACATGGATTTAGTAGGGCTGGGGTGTGAGAATTTGACCGCTCGAAAGGGTGTACGGTTGGGTTAGGACCCTGTGGCATTCAGCCCGTGCGGATTGCAGGGGGCGGGGGACTATTCCTTCATGGGCGTCCAGGATGCCACCGAGCCGGTAACATGGCATGACATTGAGTGATGCGCAACACGGTAACCGCGAGCTGAGACCAGGAGTAGTACAGCAGGGCCTGTATTGCAGGAGATAGCGTGTCGTGCAGGGTCCGTTTGTAGTGCTTCTGCTGTCCCTTCCCTGGAGACTAGGATTTGTAACGGCAGGCTTGAGTGTTTAGCCTACTGCGATGCCCTAGAAATACGTGTATGTTGTAGTTGTATGAGTTTGCGTTCGAGGAGTGAGTGGAGGCTAGACATGAGGTGAGTGCACAAGCAGGAATACGAACCCTATAGGTTATGGTTGCCATCCAGGCTGGTAAGTAAGGCCTGACATGACCTGTACCACCTGCACACGGTTGCTGGCAGGCGAAGCCCTGGGAGGTGTAGACCGTTGGCTATGCTTGGGGTATGGACAGGGGGGTGGCAGCACCTACAGCAGGAAGTGCTGCGGGTGAGAAGCGTCAGGGAAAGGGGGAGGCGGAGAAGAAGCGTGGCGGTAAGGGGCATGGGGGCAAGGGTGAGGAGGCTGCGGCGCGGAGATGGGAATTTGAGAGGGTGATGTTGGCGATGTGGTGAGGGGCAGGGAGATGGCTGCGGATGATGCAGAAATGAGGATGTACCGGAAAAGGGGGACGGGTGGTTTGGGCGATTACAAAAAGAGCACGCGTTTGATAAGCATGGGGCGGCTTCGACCGGCCTGTAGAAGAAGCAACGAGCACCGTGTCTGTCCTGGTTGTTGCACAACCTTACAAATTCTGCTTTCGCGATTATGCAGTCGGACAGACCACAAACTTTGCTTGGTAATTTCCAAGTGGTGTTCCTATTACTAAATGATACGTAATATTAATATTTAAGAATTTACCACATGTCTTCTTAGATTGTATCAACATAATACACATTCTACTTCTGAAGGTCCATATAGAAAGGACAAAGAAGAACATTACTTGTACGAGGCACTCATAAGGCCTGTCGCCCAGACTTTAGGCCGACACGCCGACCCATCGACGCCGGTAGGGGCACTGTACCATATCTTAGCAGTAAAATTCAGAGATATTGCCCCAAGTTTAGTACAGGAAGTAGTTGGCATCGTTCACGCTTCTACGGTGGCTGTGCCGCCCGTGCGCGGTAGGAACATAGTCTAACATGAATACTGAATTAGGAGAGACAAGGTGAAACGTTATCCTGTCCTGTCCTTCAGTACCGCTCGCGTACGCGATTCGTGAACTTGATTATAACTTGCGGAGTGCGTTCCATTCCAAAATGGGTTGCGTCTCACGCCCTCGTTTAGCTGCGACCTTGGCTGATCCAGCATGTTTCTGTTCTGTTCTGCAGATCCGGTAACTCCATCCATATGGGCACTGTGCGTCTCTCTGCGCTAATTGTTGGTACGTTCACACCTGCACAAACGAATCCTCTAAGGACCTTCCTGGTTGGCCCGCTTTTTGCTCGATGTCAGGTGACAAAATGAATGCAGGGGACGACATGGCCCCGAACGGTCCAGTTCCCGTACCCGTGGCTGCGGCCCCCTCTGGTGATTACTCTCAGGCCGCCCCGGATACGTTTATGCCGACCATGGATGCTCCGTCCGATGTGTCAATACGCCACGGAAACAATGTAAGTGCGGCTAAAAAAGATTGCTTTGAAGAGGACATCAAGAAGGGCCCCACAGCATGCTTGACCTGTCTCCAAACCTCCATTCAATGCAGGCTGCTGACGTGCTGGCTGCGGCCCCCTCTGCTGGGGCTATGGGCGATTTCGATGGATCTGTGGCTGGCTCGGGCGTAGTCACACTAACCATCGCTCCACCTATCGACGTGGCGTCGAATTTTGCAGACGACGTGCCGCAGGACCCTATGCCGCCAGTACCCGTTGACATTTGTTTTGGTATGTAAGGCTTGAGGGCAGGACTTGCCATGGCCCCTATCCTCTGGCACTGTTCAAATACGCCCCGAGGACACGCCTCGTGAATTGAGTTGTCAGTGGGTCGTGCCGTGCTTGCGCCCTTGCCAAGCTGTGACCTTGCCTGACGCAATGTGTACTATGGTTCTGTCCTGCAGAGCCTGTAATTCCCTCCAACATGGGCACAGTGCAGAACCCTGTGGTCATTGCTGGCGCATCCGCACCCCACAAATGAACAACGCCTTTTCGGCTGGCCCGCCACCGCTTCTTGCTCCCCTTTCAATTGACTTTTGATTTTTGGCCTGCCCTTGGTTCTAGGCGCTCCGATAGGCCGCGCCGTGGAAGCAAGGGAAAAGCCATAGGGAATACCGGGACTTACAGGGTGTTTCCACTTGGCAGCGCGTTTGAACTTTCTCGGCCGTCTTCGCGTCTTTCCTCCCGCCGTAAGCTCTATTAATCTTAAAATCATTAACAAATAACTATTGTAAAAAAGGGAAGTACAAAAAGGCCAGGAATCGGAGGCTCGGTAGGCCCAAGTGGAAACGGGAGGCCCGGTAAGCGCACGCTAACCTTTCGCTAGTTATCCCCTGCCCTTGACCGACCCCTAACCTTAACAATTCCGGTAACCAAAAGGCGGGAACCTCCAGCATCCTCTTTTTCGCTTTTTTCCTTGTCCTAGGGCACTACTGTTACCTCCTCAGTGCTAGACACAAGCCGTTCGTTGACCGGACGTCTCAACCAGACATGTCTGCACCCAGCTCTGAGGTTTTGCACAGCTCTTTTACCGTTGCTATTGACATTGATTAGCTTTTCAGAATACGGGCCGAACAGTGTCGCATTGGTGCTCAAATCGCACAGTAGCACCTTCACGTTGTCAATGGCCTTCTACTGGAAGTCGCCATGAACTTACCACAGACTGCTACTAGCAATTTCACAGATGGCAATGCATCAATATTAAAAGCAAGTAGTTGTTCAGGGCAACTTTTGTGGTCAAAAGAGGTCTCGGCGCCGGCTTAATGGAAACGGGCGTACGCTAAGGGCTTGTTAACGGCTTGTTAGGAATTAGCAAGACAAGTTACCGGGCCGCCAAGTGGAAACACCCTGTTAAGGTCCCCTGGAAATTTCCTATTTAGGTAACATCGCGCACGAAGCCATAACATTGACAATGTTTCGAAACTATTTCTATGTGTAAGCCACGGAACCTTGAAGAACAGTTGTTATCACGCGCAGACAACAATGTTACGGGTCATGGAAATGAAGTTGGTGTTATGCTTCGGTACAGTGAATGTTCGAAACAACTGCCTTACGTGTTTTCCTGATGTCTTTTGCTAAGGTTTAACGTTTCTATTCGGAAAGGGGCTGTCGTACACATGCTTTCTTACAGTGGCTGTTTGGCATCCCTTGTTGATCACGGATAGTCGTTGTAGATATACACAGTGCAGCGTATCACAGTAACGTTAGAATACTGATGTAGTTAATGTGTTGCTATGAAGCAGCATGGGCAAACGCCGCTGGACTGACGACCAACTGCTTGCGTTGCAACAAGCTGCAGAACGTATAGCTGCAGATGATGGAAAAGTTACTGTCAAGCGCCTTACAGAAAGCTTGAGGAACGACTCTCGATTTGCCAATGTTACAAAGACGCACCTAGATACCTTTATTTACAACACTAATCGTGGTAAAGAATTAAGGCTTGGTAGCGGCACCAATGAAGCAGCTGTTAACGAGGTGGAGAAGTCTGGTCCGCCACCACCCAAAAAACGCTGTCGGTGGTGTACTGAAGATGAGCAGGCTTTTAAACAAGCATTACAAACGATCGTGGCTACTGGGAAGGTAGCTTTGCCACAGACAGTGCTGCTTGAAATGGGGCGGCCCAGTGTTACAGCACGCATGGTGCGGATTCGACGGCGGAAGGAACAAATTCAAAAAGGCATGGATGCTCAAAGTGAAGCCTATAAAGGTAACCACTGTTTCGCTGACGACAATGCATCATTGCATAGACGAAGGTCACAATGTTGCAAGTCGCGCTCAAGAGGAGAGCGGTATAGGTACGTTGTTTGTTATGAGTGCAGTTCTGAAAAGGTGCAGGAATCCTTTAGCGACGATGATGAGGATGCAGGCTCGGATGGGGAGGACGAGGGAGATGACGGCTCGGAGAGCCACAGTCAGGACACGGATAAGGGTGACAGCGAGGGCAACTGGTTCATAGGAACGCGCTTTTCGTTATGTGCACGCCTCTGTTACGCCCTGTTCGCCAACACGCTTGTGACCCTCCTCAGCAACACAACTTGCCCCCGAGGGCCACAGACGCCTGGCTAGCCGGTGCAACGTGCCCATGGGCACAATTTGTGCCTTACGCTCGCCCATGTAGAAGTCCACATCCACGTCCCTACGCCGCCAGCTGACCATCCCAAATGTGACTCCCACACGCCGCCCTCGTAAACAGCCGCGAAAACGCACCCAACCACCCCACCGCACCGTCACCCCTCCATGCTACACACCCATTTGGGCAGGCCATGAGATCGCTTCGGTCTGGTAGGTGCCGGCATGGCCTTGAACGGCCCAGTGCCTGTGCTGGCTGCGGCCCCCTCTGGTGAGGCTACCAGGCTGGCTCTGAGGCCGGTTCGGGTATGGTGGCGCTAACAGTGGATGCACCAAACACGGTGGCGGAAGATCGTACATGTCATGTAAGTTTGGCCCAGAGAGTTTACTTACAGGGGACATCACCCAAGGGCCCCATAACATGCTTGACCTTCCTCCAATTTTCCGTGCAATGCAGGCCAAGCAGAACAAGAGCGTTTACCATGTGGCCTTTCACCTTTTTAGGAAGCGGAAGTTTCCTTTTTAGGAAGCGGAAGTTACACTGGAGGACAGTAGCTGAGACCATCGTCAGACGTACATTCTAACAGGGCGTCGACCGCCCTACCCCAGGGGGCGCCTTTTTAGCCCGTTAGGAGGAATAGCGTCATTGTACGGCAGAGCTCATAAGCATTTGACGCGGCCCGAGCGCCTGGCAATGAAAATGCGGGTGCATTAGGTACGGAACGTGATCACCTGTGGTAAGCACAAAATCGCTGCGCCGAAGGACGCTGGAAGACGGAGGGACCACGCTAGCTCGCGTTAGTGTACGTCAGAGCTCGTAAACTTTTAACACGGCCAAGGCGCCTGACATGGAATGTGTGGGTGCAATAGGCACGGAAGCTGATCATCGATGTTCAGGGCGAAACCGCAGCGCGGAAGGATGCAGGAAGACGGAGAGACCGTACTAACTGTAGATTGGACGGAGGAATACGGAGGGACCGCAATTGTGGGAGACGCCGCTGTGTTGTGAACGGGCCGCAGCGGCAAAAAACACATGAAGAAAACGGCGGTGAAGAACATAATCTAATTGTGCGTAGGAAAATAGGCGACGCCACAAGTGCGAAGCGGTTATACAACCAACTGTAGCCTCAGGCCCCTGACCTCTTTCCCAACATCTGCTTACCAGATCCCTAAACGGTACCTGTTCAATTCTTAGCAATCCATACTGGGCTAAAGCAAGAGAAGGCAGTGCTAGGTGTGCAGCACATAGTAACGGTCGATGAACTGTAGCCTGCTGCGGCTGTCCTTTTTTTAATGTTTTGTGTTTGTGACACTCTACCGCCTCCCATCCCCTTTGCTTTGCCCTTTATGAAATTTCCTATGGGTTGGTATGTTGTTTATTCCCCATCCGCTACCCACCTGCCCTCTCGCAAACCCTTTCCCATAACAAGGGGGTTCAGCTTCCTCAACGCTGGAAAAGGGCGGAGCCCCTCCTCATCAGTACAGGAACGTATTGTTACCACTGGAATGAATGCAATGCGGAAACACATAGCCCACCAACGAATATTGAGCTAGAAGTATGATGAATGGCGATCATGTGACCAGACCAGGAGGCGCCTCATCATCTTTAGTCATCCACCTCCCTCCCCCCCGCCCAATCCGCGCTGTGCGTGAGAGGCCGTGCAGGCCAGCCGCTCCCCTAACCGTAAGTGGCAGCACAATTACGTGACGCGTTGTCGGGTGTACTAGAAGCACGGGGAGGGTGAAAAGTAAGGCCCCTTCCCTAACCACAGCCATCATGACGAACCCAATGGTGAAGCCCCCTCATACAGCTATCGTCACCATCGACTGCCATATACTAGGTGCCCTTACATTTGCTTTACACCAAAGCACGATTTGCTGCAAGAGCCCGTGTCGTTGCTGTACATTACAGCTGAACAATACACCATAACTTGCCTAAGAAAAGGATAACGGGCCAAGGGCTAAGTTTGCGACGTGATGACCTCAGGGGCGCATAACGTGTTGACCGCAGGGGCGCATAACGTGTTGACCTCAGGGGCGCATAACGTGCTGACCTCAGGGTCGTCATATAAATTGAGCCCAGCATACTTCTTCCTCATGGCCAGCGCCTGGCTTCAGATCCACCTTCTTGTCGTCATCCTCCAGAGCATCAGCTGGCAGCTTGGCCCGAGTGTCAGCGACATCGCCAGCTCCCTCTACTCCATGTCAGGTGCACCCCCTGCACCTCCACCATCCCAGTTTGGAGACTACTTCTATGCCAGCAACAAGCTATCGGTCGTTATTTCTCGCCTCTTGGTCTTTCTCTACATTGCTGTAGTGGCGCAGGAGGAGTTATCGGTCGATAACATCAGTACGGTCTATGTTCAACACCCTATTAATGCTGCGCACGGCTTGGCGTACTTAGGAGCACTCCTCTGCCCTATCATCCAGTCGTCCGTTGCGGTCTTCGCGGTCTACGTCACCTACGCCTACCTGAACAAATTCAACACGGTGGGGGAGGTGGTGCTTAACGGCGTGGGCATTTCATTCGTCCTCAGCATTGATGACGTATTGGGCGGCAAACTCGAGCAGTATGTGGCTCGACCTGGGTTGAGCAGCAGCAGACGGCGCAGAGAAAAGTTGACTGAGCCTCTGAACATGAGTGAGGTCCGTAGACGGGCTTTCCTACGCAGCAGCACTCTGAAATTGGTATTAAACTGCATCAGATTGGGCTACCATACCGTTTGCCTGTACTGCCTCTGCAACATCGCCGACTGGAAGTACAACAGCCGTACGATTGCCGTGTTTGTGTTGGCGCTCTATGTTTACATGTTTGCCACAGTTTCTAACCATTATGCTAAACCGATGATGCTGCAAGACGGCGGTGATGCGAAGGAAAGGAGTGCCCTCAATCTCCGAAGATGAATGGGTGCTAGCTCCACCCGCGGCTAGTTTCGCATTGGTGAAGTAGTAAAGTGCAAGGCATGGTTCTGAAGACCAGGCCCTTTACGCAAGGGGGAATGTTTATAAAGGCAGGCTTCAATGGAGTCCCTTTAGGAGGAGGTGGTGTAGGGAGAAGTGGCAGGGGAAGACATGGAGGGAAGTATGTGTTAAGAAATTGGCCGCAAGCACGAAGGTACTGGATTGTCGGACGATGATGTCCCCACCAAGATGTCACGGAAGACGAGGATTTGCTGTCGTATCTAGGAGTGTATGGAGCCACTACTGGTGCTGGTTGTGTGTGTCTGTGTGTGAACAGGGCTGGCCGCGAGTCGGGAAATGTGGTAAGAAAACTGGTCGCAAGTTAACTTCTTAGGCTATGGGCCTACGGTATTGCCATGCATGTACGGCAGCGTCGCGACGCACTAGAAGCCCAACATTTTGTTTTCTTACTAGAGGGCACGGCTTGGCTAACTCGTAGGCACACGCCCCATTTTACAGGTCAACCCATGTCATGTTGACGCATACCTGACATGGCGTGTACTGGGCAATACGGTGTTGCAGCTTAGTGGGCAATACGGTGCAACTTCAGGTTACGTGGTTGCCCCACAACGAGCACTGCTGAAATGTCGCCAACTGCTGTTTGCAGATAGACCCGCGGGTCGCCATGTGGGGTGCGAATTATTTTCTGTACACCATCTGGTGGCGGTCCTCCTCCTTGCCCCCAAGTGATACGAATCAAGGGCATAGTTGTTACTTAGAAGCAGCAGGAGAGCAGCGCCTACCGGTATAGCTCTCTAAGTTATTTTGCATACGGCAGCTGTACAGCTCGTCCCTCTCGCTGTGTCTTAATGCTTGTTTGCTCCATAGTTCGGCATTCTGCCTTCACTGATGACCTAATACCATTGGACAAGCCGATGTTGATTGGCTGGCTGGCGCCTGAGCTCCACTTGCATAGCTGAGTGGGTGGGCCCCGGAGGGTCTTCCTGGGAAATATCGTGGCATTGGTTTACCATCTCCTACCTTACTTATTCCGCAGGGGTGCGTGTGGTCCGCGTGGAGTGGGCAGGGTAGCCTGCAGTGTGTTACGAAAGCTGGCTCTGTGTGTTGAAATAACTGGCCGCGAGGCGAAACGTACTGTGATTGCCGAAAGATGGCTCTGTGTGTGTGTGTGCGGTCCTCCTCGCGGTGGTGCGCATGACCAGGTCAGGGCATGCCCAATGCCGGCTGTCGGGCATGCCCACTGGTGTGCAAAGCAAGGTCATGGGGGTGGCATGAAGTGTGTTGTGCTGGTGCTACGTACAGGTTTGCTGTAGAAGTGTGGTATGTGTAAGTGTGGCGCATCAGATGGCTGCCTGCCGTCGAAAGGCACAGAGCAGCACATCGCGGTATACTTGCTTGCGAATGAGTGTGGCCGTGCCAAGGCCCTCCTCCAGACACACGACGTGGAAGCTCACGACCAGCGAGGTACCTGGCGATGTGCCCGGCAAGCTGTCGCGCCCCGTTGCCGGCATGTTCATTCTGTCGGCAGAGGCGGGTGCGACGGTGGCAGGTGTCCCGCGGTTCGGTCAAGTGATGACTGCAGGGATTGTTTGCTATTACGATGGCAAGTGATTCTGAATATATCATAAGGTGTTGCGTTGGCTCCTGTGCTTTGGGCCTTGCTGTCTTGCAGAAGATACGTGTACGGCGTATCGCATCAGGTTGTCGTACGAGTGGCTTTCCTGTTAGGCAGCGCGACGCCCGGGTTAGGGCGTTGCGCTCAGCTCGCAGTTACGCAAGTTGTAAGAGACAGTGCTTGATCCCCACTTGTCGTGGTTTCCTGCAGGAGCCGCCAGCTTGTATGCGCGTAGTAGCGTAGCCATTTGACTACCAGCGTAAACCAACAGCCATAGCAACCAAGAATAGCCGTAGTAGTTAGTTCTAGTCTAGATCACCGCCCCTCACAGGCCTGGTCAGCTTGTGGCCCAGCCGCCTTGCCGTCGGACCCCAGACTGCGGCGCAGGGCTGCTGGGTGGCGCCAACCTGGTCTCAGGAGATCTAGGTGCGCCCCTCTCTGTGCAAGCGGGGAGCGAAAGGGGACCAGCTGAGCGCAACTATGTGAAAAGGTAAACTCGAGATGGTCGGGAACTGCTTTTCCCGCCTGTGTAGCGAAGGACACGGTTGATGGTACCCACCATGCAACCTGCACCACTCCCCCCCAGGTGCATCTGCCTGCACGGTAGCTCGCGTGCGCAAACACCCCTCAAAGGCCCGCCACATGGGCGACACAAGGGTCACGGTGTTGCTAAAGCCGCACTTACAGCGCCGCGGCAATGCTGAGCTGCAGCGCCGTGTGCACGTCCGCGGGAGGGCTGAAGGGGTCTGGAGGTGCGGCTGCTGCTGCTGGAGTGTCAGCCTGGTCGGCCCGAGCGGCTGGTACCGCCGGGGTAGGGGGCAGGGGGCAGGGGGCAGGGGTAGGGGGTAGGGGGCAGGGGTAGGGGGCAGGGGGCAGCAGCAGGAGCGGCAGCAGGGAGGACTGGAGGGTATGGACAGGGGGGTGGCAGCACCTACAGCAGGAAGTGCTGCGGGTGAGAAGCGTCAGGGAAGGGGAAGAGGCAGGAGGAGAAGCGTGGCGGTAAGGGGCAGGAGGTAAAGAGCGGGGACACACAGCCCGAGAGCTGCACTGTGCAGGGGCGTTCATGCACCGTACCCCGAACCTGCAGTCGAATGGCGGTGTGTTAGAAGCAGGCATGTTGCGATCCTGTACACGTGGATGTCGTGAAGAACGCACTTGTACCATTTCCCCTTGGTTGATAGGGTGCACACTGAAAGACAAGAAGGAAGCACTGCGACGGAAGGCGTGGGTTGCATGCGCGCAGTGACATCCAGTTATACCAGGTTATAGCGTGAATTACACGTCTTTGGTCTGCTCAAGGGAGTCATGGGAACAAGCCGTTCGTCGCAGAGGAAGCAGGGAGGCTGTATAGAAGGCCTGCCCTGCAAGACAAACAGTCGTTAAACGTACAAACGTATAACAACGTAGCAACAATCTAATGTTTGGCTATATTGCTTCCTCCTGTCGGTATGACGAGGCGGTCGAGCCTATGCGCTGTACGGAAATGGTTTTGGCGGATTGGTAGTGATTGCACTGTCCTAACACTCCTGGAGAATTTTGTACATGTATGCAGTCACTCGTACTTGCCAGATCTGAAGGCTTCTGGCCAATGTATGGAGAGCAACGTTTTGATAGTGAACTAAGACCGTGTGCTGTTAAGGCCGAGTACCTACCCAGCTATATGAACAGCATATTACTGTTTTTCTACTTCCTCCAATGAAACAGCGCTGCTAGCGGCAGGCAAACTGGCGCGGAATTGGTGGGACCCATCCGACATGAGCGCGGCAGCAAGGGCCTTCTCGGCCCAGCAGGAACAACGCCGCAGGCGCTTGGTCACCAGCCAGCTGCTAGCGGAGCAGCGCGAGAATGAGAATTCCGACCAACGGAAGAAGGGGGAAAGCCGCGAGCCGGAAGCCTCCAGCAGCCGCCCTGCCGGTCCCCCTCCATCCTCCTCCTCCGCCCCTCTTCCTCCCAGCCGCTCCCAGCAGCTGACTCTGGCCAGCCTGCACCGGCTGCACCCCACCGCCACGTTCCTCGCCACGCGGGGGCGCGGACGCGGCAGGGGAGGTGCGGGCGGACCTGCCAGGAGGTGGAGCAAGTACCTGCCGGGGCAGGTGGGGCCGCAGCAGCAACCCGGCCAGGAGAGCGGAGCGGCAGCCGATCCAGGTCAGATACCGTAATACAGCGTGTAGCTGGATTGAGAGGCATGCACGAAACAAACCAGCACACGCGTAGCGCGCTTACCTCCCATAATGCGGGTGCAACCGCTCTTGTCAACATAAGCCACATCGCGTGTACCAGTACCGATAGCAACACCATGCGTCTGCGTGCCTGCCGTGATGAGAAGTGGGGGACCGAGTTAAGCAACCTTCCTGCACCCTGCCGTACAGGCTTACCGTACAGGTCAATTAACGACGACAACGACGCTGCTAACGACAGCACCGACATAGAACAAGGCCGGCAGCAGTCCACGCTTCCCCAGCAACAGCGCAACCAGCAACAGCAGCAGCAGCCTGATCCCGCAGTTGCCGAGGCAATCAGCAGGAAACTCCGTCGGCAAAAGTCCTCAATCGCCCTGGGCAAGACCATTGCATTCCTGCGCGACTTCCCAGGCATACTTACCGAGCAAGAGCTGCAGCAGTGCCGCGAGCAGGACGCCTATGTGTTCATGCAAACCCGGCAAATACTTGGGGTCGAAATGGCAAGTTACTATGAGGACGGGGTTCAGAACTTTGCAGTGCCGGCCGAGCGCTGTCGGGAGCTAGAGCGACACATGGCGGGTCAGGCAGCCCTGGAGAAGGAGGAGCTGGCCCGGAAGCTACGGAACCGCGGCTGGCAGGGCCTGTTAGAGGCGGAAGCGCACTTCATGCAGCGGGGCGTGCTGGAGTTGCTTAAGGAGGTTCGGGAGGTCCGGCCGAGGCTGGCGCAGCTGGTTACACAGGCGGCGCGGGATGCGGCGAAGGGGCCAGCGGAGAGGGGTCGGCACACAGCTGAGGTCTTGTTGTGGGCTCGGCTGATTGATTTTGCGGAGACCTTCCCGGGGTACGAGGCGAGCGCAGGGAGGCAAGGAGGGTTCAGGAGCATGGCGCTGGAGGTAAGGGGCGAGGGGCAACAGGGGGGCGAACGTTGTTTGCTGTTTTGTCCGCTGCAATGAACTACTGTCAATGTGCCTGTGCTCCTCCTCCCTCTCCAACTGCATACCACTCATATCGTCATATGCAGGTCTAGCATTGGTTTCCGTGCTGCAAGCTGCAAGCATTCCGTTTTCCAGCGAGTGCCATTGTTGTCGTACACATGATGTTACCATTAGCGTTCCTCTCCCCTCACTTCCCTCGCCCTCAGGTGTTGCAGTACGCCGTACTTGGCCTCCTGATGCTGCCGTACAAGGACCCCCCCGAGGAGCAGTTGGACCCCTTTGCATGCGCGCTGGTGGCCTGCGTGTGGCAGTACATGGAGGCGGAGTACGAGGTGATTACGGCGCAGCTAAGGGTATGTATGTACGGCAGACAGATGTGTATGTACGGCGGAAGAGGCGCTGAGGAACAGGCAACAATCTCGAAGCTCCTGATGTCAAAGTCAAAGGATTACAACGAGCGAAACGGAATTGCGTATGTTTGGTAATGCATCGTTTTAACGACTGCAAAGCTTTATGCAGTTTGCATCCTTTCCCTTCATCTCAATTTCTCAAAGCACGCCCCGCTTCACTCTCCATGCACCCCTTCACGCACCCCTCTGCCGCCCCTCCACGCGCCCCTCACCAGGCCAGCCGAGGCACCAGCGAGGCCCCTCAGTCCCGACGTACCCAAGAGTGGCTTCGCGCGCTGCTCACCCCCACCGGCCTCTTCCGCCTCCTCCGCTACCCCTCGCCCGTCACCGTGCTCGACGCCCCTTGGGCTGCCGGCGACGACCCGAACGCGGGTATGGTGGCGGCGGCAAGGGCGGCGTATTTGCGTTTCTCCGACAACCACCTCCTGGCCCTGTTCCGCACGCTGCTCCAGGATCCGCTACGGGCGCTGGCGGTTGCGACGCTGGCGGAGGAGATCGTACGGCAACGGCTTACGGGGATTCCAGTTAGTTTGGACGCCGCGCTGGACGTGGTAGCTGTGGAGGTGGTGTTGGGCGGGAAGGTGGCAGGTGGTGGCGGCGGCGGCGGTAGTAGTGCCGCTACGGTTGGCAGCGCTTCCCGGGACTTGCAGCGACCACCGCCGCCGCCAGTTGAGGCGCTTCAGGGGCCACGACAGCAGCAGCAGCAGCCCCAGGAGCAGCGCCAGAAGCAACAGCAGCAGCAGCAGCCTCCGCAGAAGCCACGATCGGCGCTTCTTGGCGGTTGGTGGGGAGGCGGAGGCAGCGGCAGCAGCGGCAACGCTGGACGGCAGGAGCAGCAGCCGCTGGGGCAGCAGCGGCAGGGGCAACCTGCGGGGGATTGGCAGGATGAACTGGAGGAGGAGGAGGAGGAGGAGGAGGAGGAGGAGGAGGAGGAGGAGGAGGAGGAGGGGATGTTGGGGCGAGGGGGCGTTGGCGGCTTTTGGAAGGCTGTCCGCTCTCGGATTCCTGGGTTTGCGGGCACGAGGGGGCGCAATGCCTGGGAGGAGGAGGAGGAAAGCGAGGAGGAGGAGGAGGAGGAAGAGGGGGCCAAGGGCGAGCTGATGCTGCGGCGGCACCCGCCAGGTGGTGAGGAGGCGCTGCAGGCGGGCAGGGACACGGCCAGTCGAGCAGACAGCGAAGGCGGCAGGAGGAGCGTCTCGGAAGTACACCTCTGCTCTTTGTTCGACTGCTTCTGGGCAGACTGGGCTAACAGGGGAGACCTGGGAAAGGAGGAAGTGCATCAGGAGAACGACAAAGAAGGCGGCGACTCTGCCCGCCGCGCGTCCCCGTCATTTCGTGAGATGGTGACAGAGCTCCTGGCGCGTTTCGGGCTGCTGGACGTCCTGCCGTACGGCAGCAGTACGGCAGATCTTCTTGCCGTACTTTCCGACGCAGAGGCGGCCCTGTACGACAGCGACTTGTTGGATCGCGACAGCGAAGCGCTGTTTGACGCACTGCTGGACGAAGCGACGAAGCGAGTGAGGTTGACGGTTTACGACTACGAGGCCGCTTGGTGCGGGTGGTCGGGGTCACATCCGCGGCTCGTGGAGAAGGCGATGCGCTATTTTCTTGCAGGACAGGAAGGGGAGCCGGAGGACGCGGAGGAGTTCGTTGAGGTGGTTGAGGCGCTGCGTCCCGGGCTGTTCGCCGCGCAGCGGGAGTCGTGGGGCAGGCTTGCAGACATGCTGGTGAGGGTCGGCAGCAGCAGCGGGAGAGGAGACACGCGTGCGACGGTGAGTGGGAGGGGCGAGGGAGCGAGGGAGTGAGGGTTTGGGTGGCCTGCATGGATGGCTGTGAGGGATGCAAGGGTGTGTTAGGGTGTGTGTGTTTTGTGACCACGGTTGTTGTTTGTTGGGCAGGCGTGCCTTGGATCTGTGTAGATCTGTTTAGGAGGCAAAGCCACCCACACCTTCCGCTCTCACCTCACTAAAACATGCTGATGTTACCCCCCACCACCACCACCACCCCTCCTTCCCAACTGACCCTGGGGTGAAAACCGCAGCGGTTACGGGATCTGTCGTCCTACGCCGTGAACGGTCTGCTAACGCTGGGAGCGGAGGGGCTGCCGCTGCAGCTGCTGCGACTGTCGTATTGTATAATGGCAGGGGTCCTGCAAAGAGAGGAGGAGCATCGGGCCCTGGCAGAGGCGCATGGGGGCCATGAGCGCCACGACCCACGGGACATATCGACGGTAAGTAGCTACTAGCTATAGTGGAGTGGGCTTGAACCGACCCAGTAAGCTCGTCCAGCTTCCGACGCTGATCGGCGTCCCCTTGAAGATCGCCCCTTCTCCACCGTTGGGCCTTGAACCGCCGACCGGTCTCCCTCCTCTGCCGAACGTCACCCACTCTTGCACACTTACCAACCACCACTGCCACTTCCAAACCGCCCTGCCCACCGCCTCCCTCCATGCTTCTGCTTGCACCATCCGCACCCGAGCTCCCCCCTCACCTACTGTTCCCAACGCAGCCGTTCCCTCCCTTGCACCGCGCCCGCCCCACCTCCAGGCGGACGTCACTTGGACACACGGCCGCGGCCGCGGCGTCGACCTCTTTTACTTCCTCGCCTTCGTGCCCTCGCCCCTCGCCCTGGTTCCGGAGCCCTCCTGGGTCACACCGGAGGTACGGCAGCTGCTGCAGTACGACATGCCCGGCCAGCCGCCACCGTCGTACCTGCCTCTCCATGCACCCCAACACCAGGCCTACATGGCACAGCTGCTCAACCGTTCAATGGGTGTTTACGCCGCTTGTGGCGGCTTTGCATCCTTGCTGGCAGGCTGCTTGGTACGGCGCTGCGAGCAGCGGCAGCAGCAGCAGCAGTCGGGCGGGTCTACTTCCTCCTTGTTTGGGTCACAAGCGCGGGAGGCGTCAGCGGATGCGTTGTTGCTCCTGGCGGTGCTTGCGGCTGAGAGCAGCGAGTGTATGTTTGGCAGTGCGAGAGGCAGCAGCAACAGCAGCAGCGTCACAGTTGTGGGCGTCGGGGGAGCAAGAGGAGGAGGTGGAGGAGCGGGAGCGGGAGCGGGAGCAGCAGAGGTGGAAGGCGGAGAGGGGTGGTCGTACACGGATGACTTTGAGGAGTACTCGCCCACGCAGATGTCGCCTTTGGCGATATCGCCTGTAGGGTCCCCAGTGACCCGGGGGTCGGCAGCGGCGTCGGCTGCCAAGGCGAACGCTCCTGCCGCCCCCCCTGCCGGAGCGGGAGCCTCCGCTAGCGGCAGCGGTGCCGGCAGCAGCAGAGCACCACCCCAGCAGCAGCAGCAGCAGCAGGAGCGCCGGCAAACGTACGAGCGGGCTGCTAGCTCCGACTGGCGGGCGGCAGGAGGCGCCGCACCGCCGCCCATGGCCCGGTACCTGCCTGCCGGAGGGGCCGGCAGCAGCGCCTCCACCGCCCCCTCCGCCCCTCTGGCGATCCTTCCTAGCTGCAGTCCGGATGATGTGGTTTCGGCGCTGATGAGGCTCTTGCGCTGTCGACCGCGTTGGGATGACGTGGGGGGGTCGCGCGAGGCGGTGGGCACCACCCGGACCCCTGCTGTCGCGGCTCCCGCCTCCCTGCGGCTGGCCGGTGCCGCGGAGACGACCCTCGTGCTGCTGTTCCTGTACTCAATCGGAGACTGGAAGCAGTGCCCCATGTGCTTCCGACCCAGGCTGGTGTCGCCGCCGGCGGCAGCTGCGTCGGCTGCGAAAGGGCAGGTGAGTGGGTCCTGCCGTGCATGCAAGCAGCCCGGAAGGGCATGTAGGTTGGTCTCTCTGCGTGGTGGTTGATTACGAGGGCCTGTTTTGTAATAGGGGTGACCAGGGTGACCCATGGGTCGTGTGACACGCTGCATTGGACCCTTTTGATGCAGGCCCCGCCGCCGCCGGTGGAGGTGCTGCTCGAGGACGTGCAGAAGGGCTTGGTGCCGGCAGAGGCGGATGCGCCGTACACGCATGCCTTTGAGTGGAACCACATTCGGAAGCTCAGCAGTTGGCTCCGAGTTACCGCCACCAGCAAGTGAGGGGGCTGAGCTGCGGGTCAGCAGCTGAGCTGCCACCTCCCCTGCCCCTCTCACACACACTCGTATGCGTGGCAAATGCCTTGCAGGTTAAGCCCTTGGACCCTGCGTTGGCTTCTGCTCCACATACCGTTGGCCACCCTTTCCTCAGAGCATGCGCCCATCCTAGCCTCGACACCGATAGGAAACCACACAAACCCTTGACCACCCCGCCCTGCCCCGCCCCGCATTCCCCCGCAGGGAGGGTGAGCACATGCGGCTGCTGCGGAAGGCGTTGGTGGCCAAGCGGCTGGGCACGTTTTGGCTCCAGGCGGAGGGGGTGGAGGGCATTCAGCGGGCCCTGGTGCTGGCAGCGAAGGTGCGAGGAGGGGTGGGTGGGTTAGGGAGGAGCCAACCCGTACCTGTGAGGCAGGCATGGGGCCAGAAGAGAGAGAGAGAGAGCGGAACATGTTGTGTTGGGGGCATTCTTTAGCCCACAACACCCGTTCCGTGCGCGTTGTTTCTATTGTTGTCCCCTCTTCTTAAAGCCCCCCCCCCTTCCCTCCGCCGCGAGCTGAGCTGCGTGTTTCTAGAATACCGGTAGGGTCTCCGAATGCGCTCACTGCATGAGTCGGGATTCGGGATTGGGACTTCGTTGATGCATTTATCTATATTTTTCCTCCCTCCGCCGCCGGCTCCTCCCTCCTCCGCCCTCCCCTCCTGCGCCCCGCAGATCATCCAAGAGATGCGCGACAAGGGGCTGGACGCCTTCGTCACACCACCCTACCTCGTCTGGCCAGAGCTGCCCTCCTCCCTACCCCCTAATGTGGACTTAACCGACGCCCTAGCTCAAAACCATCTCAATGACCTGGTTTCCCACGTCGACGAGCTCCTGCACATCCAAGACGACGATAACGACGACGCGCTGGACGAGCAGGCCCCCGCACGTGACCTCTGGCACCTGGCGCCCCACCTCCACCCCGTCTACTCCGCAGCTTCCGCCATGGGGGCGGACGTGTGCGGCCACTTCATCCGACTGGGCGCGGAGGAGCGGGTGCGGTGGCTGCTGCAGGCGCTGAGAGGAAACCCCGGAGCAGGCAACAACAACGCAGGCAGCGGCAACAGCGGCAGCACTAGCAGCAGCAGCAGCAGCGGCGGCGGCGGTGGGTTGCGGCAGAAGCTGCACTTGGAGTTGCGGGTGTTTGAGTGCGAGCGAGGGAGGCCGGACCGGCCGGTGTTGCCGCTGGGTAAGGTGGCGGAGCGGAAGCGCATGGCGGCGATCATGTACGAAAAGGTCTGAGGGAGGGAGTGGGGCTGCGAGGAGGGGGGAAGGGAGGGATTGGATGATCAACGGGAGGGAGTAGGCAGAGGGAGGGATTGGGGCTGCGAGGAGGAATGGGAAGGGGAGTTGGAGGGGGAGGAGGCGGAGGCGGAGGAGCCGGCTGGCGGCGGGCGTTGGTGGATGGTTCGGGAACGCCTCATCGCTGGGGTGGGGATGTGTGTGGGCCAGTGGGCTGGGGAGCATGCATGGAGTGTTGTTGCTGGTGATGGTAGTGGATAGGATTGTCTGGGTGTGTGGGCCTTGGTAGGGGTAGAAGTATGTGGTGAGGCTGGGGAGCGAGTGAAGCGCTGGAGGGTTCATGGGTGCGGGTCCCCCAGCGGCCCTATAGCACGTACATACATACGCCGTTGTCGTTTCCTTGGGGTCGGTGTGGGGTCGTGGAACAGGGAGCAACGGAGAAGGGCGGGGGCTAGGTAGTGGTAGTGGCGCAGGGGAGGAGTAAGGATGTGATTGCATTTCGCCAATTGGGTTCCTTTGTGGATTCCTTCTATCGAACGGGAGTTGTGTGCATCGAATGACAACGGATGAGGCATGCTTACCGTATTCTTTGCGCAGCAGGATGGCTTGAGAAGAATGGCAGGCGGGCAAGCGTCGTAGGTAGGTTACTGGAGAACCAGGATTAGCGGTGCATGGACGCCTAAATCCGTTTGCTAGGTGTTCATGCCGGGGGGCTGCTGCGCCCCTGGAGTGCAGTTGAGCTGGTACCATACAAGGCTAGGCCTAGGTAGGTAGACGAGGAAGAAGGCGGGCATGCCCCGCGCAGGAGTTTAGACACACACATTGCACTGCCTATGAGCAGGCTGGGCTTGCCGGTGGCTCATATGCCGTAAACTGTACGAGGAGAGCGGGCATTGGTTAGGCAGGTACACGACAAAAGAAGATGGCTCCTTGTCGAGCATATCATGCATCGGATGCCAGCGGGAAGGGAGTATCGCGTTTTACCTGCATGAGCTTTGTTGCGTGTGTGGCGCTTATCTTACGACACGGTAGATGCATGCAGTGCCTGCTGCGTTACATCTCCTGTGATTTGTTGACACCATTCCTTGGCCCCCCCTGGCTCGTACGGACACACTTACATGCGTACAGACTGTAACTGTAGCTGTAACCGGTGGGGGGGCGGGGCTAACCAGCGGAAGATACATGTGAGGTGCATGTACGGTAACAACCGCAGCGATTGGGGGCGCTGTGGGGGCTGTATAGCTTTCGCCCGGCATTGCCGTTGCGCAGCCCCCTTCAAGCAGCACGAATTGCCCCAGGTAGGCAGGACCCGAGCACCCCGCCAGGGAGTGTTCCCAGAACATGGGCTATCCTGCATCACCACATTTCAATGTTCCATTCCCACTTTCCCAGGCTCGAGTCAGTCCTGACCCATCCTGCTGAGCTAAGAAGCTTCTTAGACACTTGAGACTCAGCCTCAGTGAAGTTGAAAACCCAACGTACACCCCATGTACACCAATAGGGCCTGCTTTGCACTCTTCTCACTCATCCGCGCCTGCCCACTGCCGCGTCCGTCCACACATAAATACACACGCAGCCAGTTACGTTCACACGCGCGCACGCAATTCATCATGCCATGTACTCAATCCTCCAGCTCCAACTCGTCTTCATCCGCAGCCGGCATCATCCCCCGCGCGAAGAAGCCGCCGCCCAGGTTGCACCCCACCCGCGAGCCCGCGCTACCCATCTGCGCCCCATGCTGGGTACCTGCCGAACCCCGCCCCGCCAATGTAGCAGCAGGAGCAGCAGCAGCGGCGGGGAAGCCAGGAGCGGAGGCGGCGGAGGCGCTGCCACTGGCGGTGGGCTGCCGAGGCGGAGGTGGCGGCAGGGTGGCGGGTCTGCCTGCTGGGTAGGCTGGGACCCCGCTTCCTCCTACTCCTGCTCCTGCTCCTGCACCCGCGGGAAGTGCAAAGGAGGGAGCGCTGGGTGCAGCCCTGGCGGCTTGCGGCTGCGGCGGCTGCTGTTGGTGGTGGTGGTGTGGGTGGTGGTTAGGTTGCTGCTGACGATGAGGAGAAGGATACGACGGCCGCTGCTGCTGCTGTTGCTGCTGGTGGTGGTGGTAGGGCGCGGGTGCTGCCGCATGCGCCTGCTCCGCCGGCTGCCCCTGCTGGGACGGCTGCTGCTGCTGGGACTGGCAGGCGTAGTAGAACAAGTCCAGGGCCGAGGCAATGGGTCGTCCCGCCTGCACGGCTGGCGCCCCAGCTGATGATGACGAGGGTGGTGCACTCCGGGCGGCTCCTCCAGCACCCGCTCCTCCTCCTCCTCCTAAACCCCCGCCCGGCGGCCGCACCCCTGACGCCACCTCCTGCTGGCTTGGAGCTGTCTCATTGCCGTCCGCCTGGGTCGCCGCAACCGCCGCCTCCGCACCCGAGGAGGCACCCGCACGGCCATAGCCACCGCCGGCAGCAGCAGGAGCAGGAGGACCGGCACCAGCAGCTGCCAGCCTAAAGGAACCACTCAAGTTTTGTTGCCGCTGCTGGTGCTGTAGTTGCGGATGTGGTTGCCGGTTGTCCGAGGGCGCCGCGCGGCTGCTGGTCAGCTGGCTCAGCGGCGGCATGTAGACACCGCCCGGCCGGCGCTGGGGGCCGGAAGCAGGTGGTAGGGGTGCGGGGGCAGGGGCAGGGGCGGGAGGGCCGGTTCGCCGCTGTTGCTGCTGTGGCGGTGGTGGCGGTGGTGGCGGCTTTGGCTGTTTCCCTTGGAGGCCTTGTGGTGGTTGCGGTGGTTGTGGCCGTGGTGGTGGTGGCTCTTGTCGTCCTTGACCTACTCCGTGCGGCTGCTGTTGTTGCTGTTGCCGCTGCTGGTTGCGTCTTTGCAGCAGCGGGACGTCCTCAGCAGGCCTCTTTCCGAGTATGGAAAACAGCGGCGGCTCATCCTCCTCATCGTCCTCCATGTCAACCACCCCACCATGCACCGGCTCCCTGTCCCCTTCCTCCTCTTTCTCCTCCTCTTCCTGCTGCCGCTCCCCACCCTCCACAGCCATGCGATTGCCCCCAGCCGCACCACCGCTAACAGGCGGCCTGGCAGCCGCACCCAAGGGCGGCGGCAGCGGGGCGGTACGGGCAGGTGGCACAATACCCCCATCACCACCACCACCACCCGGCGACGGCGTCGTCACACCGCTAGCGCCTCTGCAGCGTGCAAACAGGCTGCCACCGCTGCCCGGCTGCACTGCTGCCGCTGCGGCGGGTGCTGCGGGTGCTGCGGCGGGTGCTGCTGAGGGAGCAGCAGTGAACCCAGCGGGCCGCTGCTGCGCCGGCGGTGGGCTGACGTGGGAAGACCGGCCCTGATCTGGCGCCTGTCGTACATCTCTGTCCAGGTTTCGGGTAGCATTACCCGCGTTGGTCTTCGGTACCGCCGCGGCTGGGGTATGCCTGGGGTCCACCATACCCGGCTGCTGCTGCAGCTGCGGAGCCGGCGGCGGTCCGCGCATTGCCGCTCCTTGCTCCCTGCGCTGGTCTTGCAGTGCCGGCTGTTGCGGCAGTTGCTGCTGGGGTCGTTGTGGCGGTTGGTGCGGCGGTTGCTGCTGTGGCGGTTGCGGAGGACCTCCCCGGCCCGCCGCCTGCATGGCTCCCGCAGTCCGCTGCGGACCTCCAACCGCAGAGGGCCCCGGACCCCGGTCGGGTCCCCCTGGTCCTAAGCCACTCCCGAGGTCTGCCCCAGGCCCCAAACCCAAATCCAGATCCAAACCCAGGTCCAAATCCACATCCATGTCGTCGTCATCCAGACCGACCATGCGCCGTCGCCGTCCGCCCGGAGCACCGCCTGCTGACGTGGCGTTGCTGCCGCTGCTTGCCGTGGGTCTTGCAGGACCCGCTGTCGTCGCCGGCGGCGGTGGTGCCGGCATCGCTGCTGCGACTCCCAACGACGGCGGCGGTTGCAGTTGGGTCGGGCGGCGAGGCGGCGGCGGGCCCATCAGCCCAACTGCCGTTGCCGCTGCCGCCGACCCGCCAACAGGTCGCCCTCCGACGCCGGGTGGGGGTACCGCAGGCGGCATGCCGCAACCTACTGCTGCAGGCGCGGGTCGCCCTCCGGCACCCCCTGGCCCCGCAGTGAGCCGCTCCTCGTCGCGATCCAGATCTCCAAAGTCAAGATCCAGATCCAAGTCCTTGTCCAACAGACCCAAACCCAAGCCCACGTTCCTCCGCATGGCACGCCGACCTGCACCGCCGTCAGCAGTACCAGCAACACCTCCAGCCCCTGCTGCTGCTGCTGCCCCGCCGCCCTGGGGCCGCTGCTGGTGCTGCTGGTGCTGCTGCTGTTGCCGTTGCTGTGCAGCCGAATGTGGGGCCAGTCCACAACCGGCCGCTGCGGCTGCTGCTGCTGAGGCGGCGTTGGCGGCAGTGCCCCTAACATTTGCTGCAAGCGGCGGCGGCGGCGGTCCCGCAATGGTGGTGGCCGTGTCGTCATCGTTGTCAAAATCCATAAAGTCGTTGAGACCGTTGAACGTGACTTGCTGTGAGCCGCCTGTGGTGGCCGTGGCGGCAGGGAAGGCCCTGCCAGCACCACCTCCACCTCCGCCACCACGCATGCCGCCGAAAAAGCCTTGGGAGTCCGCAGGAGCAGCAGCACCGAACCGCTGTTGCTGCTGTTGAGTGCCGTGTCGAAGTTGAGGAGCCCGCAGGACGGGATGGCCCTGCGAGGGCTGCTGCTGCGTGGCTTGGCTTGGCTGGTGCTGCGTGAGGGTGGTCTGGGTGAAGGCGGGGCGCGGAGGTGCGGGCATGCGGGGGGCCCGCAGCGGCCCGGGATGGGGGGCTGCAGCGGCCGGAAACACCTGTGTTGTGCAGGTAGGTGGAGGCACCGGTGGGGAGGTAAGTGGGTTGATTGCTGGAAACGAGGAGTACGGGGGAGGGGGCTGTACGTCACGACTCATAAGGTAGGTATGCGTCGCATGGCCCTAATGGTGCTGGGTGTAAGCGGGCTGTGCGCGCGCAAGGGGACCTTCCAAGCACCCCTCGGCTACGCTCCTCACCCGCATGACGTTGTCTGCGGTGACACAGAGGTAGCAGAGCCCTTGACAGGGGCTCACCACACACACCTGGCGCAACGGGAGGTGGCGGCAGGGAGCGGGAGTGTGCGGTGGTGAATTGGCCAGGCGAGTGAAGTACACACGCAGATGACTCAGGGAAGGAGGTGCAAACAGCCCAGGAGGCACCCCCACGTGTTTTGAGGGTGCAGCCGCACGGCATTCCGATCGTAGCACAGTACATGCCATTTTGCCGTTCGTACAGTTTACGTTGTCGTACACATGCATGTGCCGTACACACCTGCTGCAGCAGCAGTACCGCCCGAGGCGCCAGCTGGCTGCCCGCCGCCTCCAGCACGTCCCGGTGCAGCGCCGCGCCCATCTGGCCCTCCGGATCCTGCATGGGGACCGTTGCATGCCGTACAGCGGTAGGCACCGGGGGCCAGCCAACCAGTCAACCGGGAGTCAACGAATACCAGTCAGTGACGTTGATCACGGCAAACCATTACCAACTGAAGGTTCGTTAACCCGCAACGCCAGCTACTTCCGCGCTGGGGCATAACAACCATGCCGTACCGCAATGTGGTGCCGCACCCGCATCCCATCCAAAACTCAGCCGCCCGCCTGGCCTCTCTTCCTCACTGCTTCCCTCCACACTCCAAAGCGCCATACATCCCTACTACTGCGTTCCGCCCCGCTCCACCCGCTCCCCACCTTGAGCAGTGCGAATGCGTCCCCCGCGGGCGAGGGCGTCAGCGCCGCCACCAGCGCCAACAGGCGGGGCACCTTGCGGAAGGGCTGCTCAGCGGCGCTGCGCAGCGAGTGAGGCAGCAGCACGCGGGCGTCTGGGGCCAGGCAGGGGGGCATGCATGGGGCCGAGGGAAGGCGAGAGCATGGGGCGGCAAGGAGCATGGAGACAGGGCGCGGGTTGGGTAGATGGGAGTGAGTTGTTGGGGAGCAGCAGCAGGACGACGGCAGGAGCCCGCAGCCCCGCGAGGGCGGGAGTGCGATTGCGGTGTACGAACCGCGCTAGGAGTGAAGAAGAAAGAGCTGAAGGCAGCACACATAGCAGGCAGGCATGTAGGCAAGTGTAGATAATGCAGGCAACCCACCATCGTAGCTCTCCGCGTCGAAGCTCGCCAGCGCCGCCATCCAGGCGGGCGAGGAGAAGTCCGGATCGCTGCCGTCCACACCCGTGGCGCTGCCGTACAGTCCGCCGCTGAGGGCCCCCATGCCGCCTCCGGCTGCACCCCCGGGATCCACCAGTCCCAGGCTGGCTGGGGTGATCTGCGCCACCGAGCAACACGGGGCATCACGGGGCAACACAGGGCAAGGCAAGGTGGAGGTGTGGTGCGTGTTAGTTGTTAGAAGCGCAAGGAAGGTGGTAACTGGCGGCATCGGTGGTGCGGTGTTACCCACTGGCTGGCCGGCATCGCGAAGTGCTTGCAGGCGTCCGGCGGGACCTGGGAGGTAGGGCACTCGCGCCTGCATGTTGCACGGGCGTTCGGACAGGCAAGTGGCCCAGGTTTGAGTCCAGGGTACCAGAATGTAGTGCCATTAAGAGCTGTATACTAGAGCGACGGATTAGAGCATCGACCAGCGCTAGGTACTGGAACGCAAACAATGACAGCGGCGAGTTCCCGCCAAGTCGCGAGCCCACCATTTGGCCTCTCGACTCCACAAGGTGCTATATTGATTACGTTCAACTCATGGTAAGCTTAGATGATGTACTTCAGTTGCTTGTGGCCCTAGCTAGCATACGGTATCCAACTGACGTATCGAATGGACACTAACTCCCTAAGAAGGCTACTAATTCGCCATTAAGACAGCAATTTTAGGGAACCATTCTAACGGTCATCTATTAGGTACATAGCTCATTCTGGCACGTCGCGGAGGGAGGTTGCATCTGATTGGCGGGTTGCTGGGTCATCACCCATGACCCATCGGGGTCGTTGAATCAAGTGCTTTAGCAATTCAGGCAATGAATTTGCGAGCTAGAGCATTGTTCTTGATACATTGTGCACTCTAACAGAGCTATTCGGTACTTGGGGCTGACATTCTTTTGTGAGCTTTGCTTGCTTTCCTTGTGTCATCTTTGACCCATATTCTGTATAAATGTTAGCATCTAATCAATTGCGATCTACGGTAGGCAGCCACCGGCCTTGTCGTGGTGGCCGGTTCAGCCGAAGGTCGACACTGGCATGCACAGCCGCCTCTCGCTCGTCCACTCCTGCCCCGGCCCCAGCCTTGACAGCAGCTGCAGCGGCTGCCTTGGCCACAGTAATCCAGCTTTCGGCGTCAGGCTTGTCTCTTGCGGCTCCTCTGTATGACAATCTGCCGAGCTTCGGAGGAGACAGCCAGAATGTATTCTACCAAGCAGTCCGAGAGGAAATGCAGCATCAGGGGGAGGGCTTGGATGATATCTTTGACGAGAACCTCATGACGGAGGACCTCCGCAAATTCGTGGACAAGCTGCTGGACGGGAAGCTCAAGCCTGAGCAATACCAGGTATGCCAGCGTGCGACCTCCCCACACTGGCCCACACCATGCCAACCTACGCCCGCTTAAACGTCATCTGTCTTGAAACCACTTAACAGTTCAGAGACACCCTATGCACTGGGCCCCCAAGCTGCCCTTCACCCTCGCCCAACCGCCGTTAGCGTTGCCCCCTCATTTGCCTCGTCCTCCTACAACCCGTACTGCATGCAACCACCCCTCCTACTGGTGATGCCTCCTCTCCACCCTTTCCTCCTTCAGCATTCCCAACACTCCCCGACACGGCTGAATTACTCCCACGAATACGCTCCCCCCTCCAGGCTGAGCGCCTCAAGCTGAACTTCCGGCGCGACCCAGATGGCCGCGTCTCCCTGCGCAGCCGCCAGGGTGCCTGGTTCAGCGTGCGACCGGACATGCAGGTGCTGCCTGCGGGTGGGGGGGGGGCCTTGCAGGGCAGGGCAGGTTGAGTGCGGCCTGCGGGGCATGCTTGCAGTGCACAGTGTCCGCTGCTTGTGGGGATACAGTGCGGATGCTACGGTATGCCTCTCGCGGCTCACTCACCGTGACTCGCTCTCCTCCCCCAACCTCTTCCCGCCCGCAGGTCCCCGGCTTCCTGCTGCTGCGCGACCAGTCCAGCGGCGCCGTGTTCTTCCTGCCGCCCGACCCCGAGGGTGACGGCCTGGCGCAGATGGACCTGTCGGACGACCTGGCGGTGGCGCAGCTGTTCAGCAACACGGCGTGGCAGGTGGGGAGAGGGGGGAGGGAGGTGGGGAAGAAGGAGGGGTGGGGTGGGGAGGGGAGGCAAGGAAGGTGGGTTGCGGGCCGGGGTGGCCCGGGTGGGGTGGATGCAGAGAGGGACCGGCGCGGACCGTGCGCTGGGGATGGCTGCTAACTTGTGTAACTCCGGCGCCTTCTCCAACCCAAGCCTTCTCCTTTCCCACCATGTTGCTTCTTCCCCCTCTCATCCCGCACCGCACCCGACCCCTCCTCCTCCGCAGGACGTGATGGCCCCTCTGAGCTACCGCGACGGGTCAGAGGTGACGCAGCTGCGCATGTCGGAGGGCGACTTCCGGATGGTGGCCAGCCTGGTGGAGGGAGCGGAGGAGGAGGCGGAGGAGGAGGCAGGGCAGCAGCAGCAGCAGGAGGTGCCAGCAGCGAACTAAGGCGACGGCAGGGGGTGTAGGCAGCGGGGCGGATTGGATGGTGTTGTGGAAGGAGGTAAAGCGGGCAGGGGTAAGGTGAGGGGGAGTTGCGGACAAGTTGCGGGAGAGGAATTGTGTGTATGACATGCACAGAGGGTTGAAGGAGGTGATTGAAAGCGAGATGACGGCGAGATAGGCCTGTGAACTGCCGTGCCGGCATGTGGTTTCATGCCCGACTTGTGTCGGAAAGCTCGGGTGCGGCAGGTCGCACCGACCAAGTATTCTAGCACCAGCCAGATATGGTCTGTATCCAGAGTCATAAGGCCGCATCATTGCATCCATATTAAAGCTGGAGTTGGTGGTCGCCGTTTTGCAATTTTCCCTGTCGCATGCGGTTGGCTGCCGTGCATGAAATGGTTAGTAAACTATCGTACTCTTGATGCGCGGCGTGTTTGACGGAGGGTGGCTCCTGTGTAAGGTTCTATCTTAACTGATGGAAACATTCGCTGGGTAAAGCCACAGCATTCTACGCAACGTTGGTGTGTAGACGGACCGCCTGCCCAGCATTACACGAGCTTACAGCGGCAGCTATCCAGGTCAGCCCGACTACCGTATAGAGGCTTATCAAATAGAGGACGTCCTGTAAACCAGCAGCTGCATAGAATTCGATTCGGTGATGACGAGTGGTCTCGGGAGCACGGCAACCGTTTAGGACGCCCTTTCTCGGCCCTTCATACTTTTGAAGCAAAGGCTACCGAGCCTTATACGCAGCTTGTGCTAAGTTCTTTCAGTTGATTTGGTGTGGTCACCGACCGTAGTCACGCACGCAGCAACAGCCAACGTCCCTGCCACCATGAAGCGCTCACACGCGCCCAACTTGCAGCACCAGCAGCACCAACAACAGTACAAGCGGAGTCGCAGCGACATGTGGGAAGGAGAAGACGACGCGGCAACTGTGCTTGGCGATGTTCCTAGCGAAGCCCCGGCTGCCCAAGCCGAAGCCTCAGAAGCATCTGCTGAAGCGCCAACGGTCAGCAAAAGTGTCAAAGCACCTTATAAGGCAAGTAGGGTGAAGTTAATCCAAACAGCTGATCTGGGTCGGACCCTATGATGGCAAACTTCCTAAGCGCGGCTTGCCTACGACTTTCGGTTTTCTGCGTCGCGTTTCTGGCTGATCAGAACGCAAGGCTTCCTCCAAATGACCATCTGGCTCATTGCACCAACGAAGCGGCACCGTAGAGCGGACTTTAACGAGAGTGCCCGCACGGTTTCTGTACTGCCGCTTAAACAGTATGGAGCGCAACTTTCGTAGCTTTGCTATTAGCGAGGTCATGAACCCGGATAGCTTTCCTGCTCTTTAACATGCTCCTTCCCAAACCTTGAACCCCTCCATTACTCTTCGCAACCCCACATCCGTTCCCCCTCAGTGCCCCGTGCCCAACTACAGCGGCCCCCTGGGCTCGCGCGGCACACTGGGCATGAAGCGAAAGAAGCAGGACATGTACACCTACCTGCCCCTGCGCTACAGCAAGTACGACAACGATGAAGAAGATCCAGGAGGGGACGAGCGCGAGTACGACGGACGAACCGCCAGTGAAGGCACCTTTGCGACTGGCGGTGGCGGCGGCGGCGGCACTGCCGCAGGCGCCTCTGCGTTCCGTGTAGAGTTTGAGGAAAGCGAGGAGTGTACGGCAGCTAGCCCCCTCAATGCAACTGCCACGTCAGCCCGACGTCCTGCTCCATCTGGGTCGGCGGCGGGAGCGCGGCTGGGGCCAGCACAGACGTTGACGGCGCCCAACAAGTGCGGCGCGACCCGTGGGTCAGTTCCGCAGCTGCGAAGGCCCATGCGGCCGGCCGCCAAGTTTACGTCGCCGTTGCCGGGAGCCACTGCCGTTTCCGCTCATCCTGCTGGTGTTCATGACGACCCAGCAGCAGCCATCTCTGCTGCTGCTGCTGCTGCGGCGGCGGCGGCGGCACGCATTGAGGCCGCGGCAGGTCAAGGACGAAGCGGGGTCGCCGCCGGAAGCGATGCAGCCTTGGGCGGTGGTGTTCACGCCAATGGGGACATGGATAAAACCACAACGATGATGGCCCATGACGCAATGCAGACTTGGGCCGCTGCGCCAACGGCAGGCGGCGCCCTTCCCGGCCTCTTGCATGCGCCGGTAGGGCTGGGCATCAGGCCTTGGGGAAGACCAGGGGCACCAGTGACCAGGCCGGAAGCAACGGAGGGCTTCACGCGTGGGACGCAAGCTGGGCCTTTGCCGGCGGGAGTGGCGACCGTGGCGGTGACCCCGCCCCCGACCCTTCCAGTGTCGATGTCCCTTGTGGGCATGACACCGCCGCCGCCGTCGCCGACTTCAGAAACGGTGAAGGCAGCGGACAACGGGACGCTCCTCCTTGTCAGCAACACAACACCAAGCGCCTCCACCGCCGTCGCCACCCTCAGAGCAATTGCAGCAGCCGACACCGCCGCCGTGGCGCCCAATCTTGTTGGTGGCACCGCCGCCGACGCCGTCGTACCGCGAGCCATCCCGGAAGCTGAGCTACCTGCCGTCATGACGCCCCTCGCGGCCAAAACCTCTGCTGCGGCCCACACGGACATCGCCGCCATTACCGGAACCGCCGCCACACCTGTTGCCGTGATTGCGGAGACATACGGCTTTGCTGCAGAGACGTCACCCGCTGGTGCCGGCGGCGACGCCTGCGCCGCCGCAGCCCTTGGTGCCGTACATTCGCCAATCGGCACCCCCTCCGCCGCCTCGCACCCCGTCACCGCTCGTTGTGCCGGCACCGCAAGCGCTGCTTTCGCCTCCGCTGCAGCTTCTCAGGGCATGGGAGACGAGGGCAGCCAAGCCGCCGACGCCAGCTGGCCACCGCCGCTGCTGCCAGCGGATAGAGCAGCACTCCACGTCGCCGATCCCGCGGCTGATGCTGCCGCGGCGCTTGACGCCGCCGTCGCCGCCGCCCTCGATGGCTTCCTTCCTGTTGAGCCGGCGTTCGGATTGACGCCAGTGGCAGCAGCAGCTGCAGCGGCGGCTCCATTGGTGGAGGCCCTGGATTCGGCTGCTGCTCTTGTGCTGGGCTCTGCTGACGAGGAAGCTGCTGCCGGAGACGGGGCAGCGACAAGACCGGTGGCGGATAGCTTACCACCGCCGGCGACGGTGGCAGAGGCGGGCACAGATGTCGACCTAACGCCGCCACCTCCCGCGGCAGGTGATGTGCCGACGCCGGCGCCAGCGGTAACTCCGGAACCTGGGCCAAGCCCACTAGCCGAGGTAGCGGCGGTGGCTACGGATGAGAAGCCGGCGGCAGCGGCAGGGGACGGGATGCCAGTGCAAGCAAGGGAGGAATCTACGACGCCGTTGCCTAAGGAAGCGACGCCTGCTGCCAACACGACAGATGAGCTCGGGACGACGGAGGCGGCGCCCGTCGCCCAGTCTGCACCGCCGCCGCCGCCACCAAACGCAACGGAGGCAGTGTCGCCTCCGGTTCCGCACCCTGTGCATTCTAGGGCGGCGGCGGAGCCGCAGCCGGTAAAGCAGCCGTCGCATGCAGCAGCTGCGTCTGCAGCGGTGCCGAAGTCCGAGGCAGTACCAGTACCTCCCGCAACGGCAGCAAACACAGCGGAAACACCGTTGGCGCCAGAGGCGGTAGGACTCCCGGCTGCCCCGAAGGCACCGTTACCGTCGTCTGCGGCGGCGGAGGCGGCAGAGCCGATGAAGGGCGAGCTGGCGGCCCCAGCCGGCCAGATGAAGGCTACGGACTTGGCAGCAGCAGCAGAAGCAATGTCGGTCCACGCCGCGTCCTTGGCAGGTGCGGACGGGGCGCTGGAGGCCGCTTCAGCAGAGGCGAAAAATTCGGAGGTTGCGGAGGTTGCGGAAGCACCGCTGCCAGCCAACGCCTCAGCCGCAATGGAGGCGGAGGAGCCGCTGGTTGCGGCTGGAGGGGGAGAAGGGGTACCGGTAGTGGTTGCAGCGCACGGGGCGGAGGAGGGAAGTGGGGCAGCGGAGGGGGACGTGGCAGCGGAGGCCGCGACCCCACAGGCAGCGGCTGCAGAGCCCGCGGCTGAGGCCACGCCGGCACCGGAAACAGCGCCGCCACCCCCTGGTGCTGCTGCGGCTGCTGACGATGCTGCTATGATTGCAGCAGCTTCGGAGGCGGGAGCCCAAACGCTAGACAAGACCGCACCGGAGGATGTTCCTGTCGAGGAGGCGCCGACGGGCGTACCGGTAGAGGCGGGCCCGCTGTTACCGGTACCAGACGTCGCCATGGAAGACGCGGCAACGGGGGCAGCTGAGCCGGCGAGCGCGACGGAAGTCGTGGCGGCATCAACGGCGACGGAACCAGCCGCAAACGACGCCGCAATAGAGCCCCGCGTTGCGCCGGACACCTCGGCTGGTCTCGAGAACCAGGAAGGCAGAGGTGGACCAGCGGTGGCCATGCAGCTGGTGGAGCAATCTGCGTCGGCAACGGAGGCTGCACCCGTCTCCGGCGCAGCAGCCATCGCATCTGTAACTGGCGGCGCGCCGCCAGCAGCGGCACCGGTAGGTGGCGTGGAGGCGGGGTCGGGGGCACCCGATGAGGCGCCGGAGACCGGCTCGGGGATGCAGGCGGACGTGGGGCTGCAGGGGCAGGCAACTGCTGGAGTTGTGCCTCCAGCTGCGGAATCCCAGCAGCCGCGGGTATGCGAGGTGGCGGGCGAGGGGGTGCCAACAGTGGCAAGCGGAGACATGGAGGCGGCAGCCGCGGCGCCAACGGCAGGGGCGGCGCCAAAGAAGGCCGCCGGCGGGGCCGCCGATGAGGCCGAGGCTTTACTCACATTCGCGGTAGACACCGCAACGGACCCAGGAGCAGCAGCCGCCGGCACGTCCGATGCTGACGTGGTCAGGACAAAGGTCCCATCGCCGCCGCCGCTGGAGGTGCCTAGGAACGAGAACGAGGACGGCGCTGAGGGCCGCCGGCAGGAGGAGCATGCAGGCGCTGACGTCGCCGCTGAAGGCTGCGGTGGCGCCGGAGGCCCCGAACGGGACCATGATGGGCCCCGAGATGCGGCTGCTGTGCCGACAGCAACAACAGCAACAACAGCAGCGCCTCCGGGTAGTAGCGCTGTTGACCCGGCAAGTGCTGTAGCAGCAGACGAGGCGGGTTCGGAGGCAGCAGCAGCGATCCCGGAGCCAGGTCCCGCGGATGGCCAAGAGCAGCAACAGGTGGCGGGTGGAGCGGTCGAGGCGAGGGAGGAAGCAGGCGACGGAGGCAGCGCCCAGCCTTGAAGAGGTGAAGGGAGGCGTTTGCGGGGGCTGACGCGCAGCCTTGTTGGTTGTTACTGCTGTTACGGCCAGCGTGTGAGGGTGCGGGGGAAAGTTGTTAGCGGGATGACGATGCGGGCGCGGTTTGCACTGAAGTAAAGGCTGGGTTTGTAGACTGCGGGCGGTGTTGTGTGACTTGGGTCTGATCTGGGTTTAGGGATCGCTTTGGTAGT